GGTGGCGCGTACTAGAGATAGAAATGGAGCAATGACCATTTGAAGCCAGCAAAATCCGACGAGGTTAGCGCGTTGCTTATCGTGGTCTTGGCATTTTGCTATCGGGCAAATGCCGTCAACGAAACTCCGCCGGAGAAGGGCATCACCTTCTTTCCCTTCTACTTAAACTCTCCCCTCTTCTTCTTTCACCTCACACACTTCCAATTCCTTTCCTCTATACCTCAAAATGTCCTCCGTCGCCCGCGCCATCCGCCCCTTCGCTTCCCGGGCCCTTGCCCAGAAGCCTCTTGCCTCCGCCTGCCAGGCCTCGCCTGCTTTCCGTTTCCCGCGGGGAACCATGAGCTTCTCCCAGAGCCCTCTCTGTGAGTACCATGAACCCCCAAAACTGTGAAATGCTGTCCAGGACGAGGTACAAGACATTTGGACTGGCATTGAAGCATCACAGACTTTCAAACATGCTCCCTGGAGCTATATGATGTCACATTTTACTAACGGCGCATCAATTCGCAACTATAGCCCAGCTGAAGAAGTACACAGAGTCACACGAATGGATCGAGCTTGCCGACGGCGGCAAGACTGGTTAGTTTACCGCCCCCCCCTCCCTCGATCAATTGGTCCCAAGCCTGCCTTTGACCCATCGGACCGACGTGCCAGTTGTATATGGTCTTCCATAGTTATACGGGATATGAAGCAGTGAGGTAACTGACACGCTCTCTACAGCCAAGATCGGTATCACCGACTACGCCGCCCACTCCTTGGGTGATGTCGTCTACGTTGAGCTTCCCGAGATCGACCTCGAGATCGTCGCCGGCGAGCCCGTCGGCGCTGTCGAGTCCGTCAAATCTGCTTCCGACGTCCTCTCCCCTGTCGCCGGCAAGGTCATCAAGGCAAACAGCATCCTCGAGGATAAGGCTAAGACCATCAACGAGAGTCCCGAGGGTGAGGGCTGGATTGCTGAGATTGAGGTCGCTGATGTTGCTGAGCTTGATGCGTTGCTTGATGAGGCTGCCTACCAAGAGATCATCGATGCTTAGATTTGTCGAGTGTAAAGACTGGTCGTGATTCATGGTTTATAAACGTCTACCTGTGCTGGATGTGGTGGATTCTTTTTTTCTTTTTAAGTGCGATGTTATATTGTCATGTATGCCCAATGGTGACCGATTTCCTTCAACGAAAGCGTTTAGATTCGTCGATCCGTAAACGGATCGATATACTGTTCAACAAGATTACTGTATATGTGAATGGATTGTTTTATTTCCTTGTAGAGAGATTATTGTCAATATATCCAGGTGGATGTGTATTCGGAGATAGATCACGCAGGTCCCAACAGTGGAATGCAGCAGGTCTGTGTACAGGTGGATGATATCATGTATGAAAAACATTAAAACAGCAGCTATACAGGAGGTATGGATTCACGACAGATTGGACACTGGAGGCGAAGTCTCATCCAGCTTTCCAGGCAGGCAGTGTGGAAGATATGACGACAAGGAGTGACCATGTACAGCCGGCGACTTAAGATGCTTGAAGCCCCATCGGTGACGCTACTTCCACCCGAGGCAGAAGGCGCGGGAAGAACAGGCACGTCGATATCCTGCATGCAGATAGCACAGTCGAATATGGCTTTCTTGCGATCTTTCCGCTGCTTATCGTCATCCTTGGAGTCGCTAACCAGATCACGCTCATCGCCACGCAGTGATGCAATCGACAAAACGCCACCTCCAGCTTCGAGATCATCGTCCGCTCCAGATAAATCACGCAGCATGGGATGGTAATCGTATGCATGCGGCGCCCAGCCACGAGGCACAAAGAAGCGTGGCCCGAGAACGTCCTGACTGACCAGGATCCAGGCTTGGATCCACACCCATCCGGTCATGATGGATGCGCTTGTGTAGTCGGGGCGGATAAACAACACGTTTCCCCGTGCTGTGAGGAAGTACAGGAATGGGAAGAGCCGGAGAAGACTTTGGCCGGCAACGAAGTCCCATCGAAGGGCCTTTCGGCAATTCCGCATCACGTTGCGGTAGATCTGTGGAACCCAGAAGGAGAGATAAACTGCTGCCAAGAAACGGGTATAGATAGAGCCGAGGCGTCTCGGTAGGAGGAAAGCCCAGATTGACAGGATGAGCATGCCAAACAGCGCAAGATAGAACCGTGCGTACATTGTTCCTATGTCGCTGCGAATTTGCCTTGGGGTCGGGGGAGCGGTTCGGGTAGCTGGTGGCGGTGAATCCATCTCATCGTCGGGGGCATCTTGGTCGGGCGACAAGATGATTGGGGTGGCGCTCGAGTCTCGCACTGCCGGAGCAGTTGCAGACAAAGGCAAAGTTCCAGGGCGAGTAGCTGGAACTGATGTATTGGGCGGGCGATCTTGCTCTCTTCTTTCTGGCTCTTGCACTGCCCATATTTCCATCATGAACTTCATTCCAATATAACTCACCGACAGGAACGCCAAAAATGATGCAGTGGTTAGAACCAAGAAAGATACTGCCGCGTACAGTTCCAAAACAATGAACGTCAAAACAAATCCATCGCCGAGCGCCATCAATGCGATGGTATAGAAGCTGATTCGACTCCGGGTAGAAGGAGTCGAAGCCTCTTTGATCTGTCGGAGAAGCAGGGCAATCTGTGCAACAAAAACACCAGAAACCACAAAAATGAGACGAGCTGCATATTTACTGTATTCTTCATGCTTGGGCCCAGTCACATATAGCGAATCAGAAGGAGGGAACTCGGGAGTCCCTTTCGTTTGAAGTATGTACCCGCAGTCTGGGGAGAAGACAACGGCAGACATGACCATAAGAGGAGGATCTGGGATCGGCGCTCCCATAGGATATCTGAGTTCTTGCTCCATACGTTCCAATAACAATCGGTCAGCAGTAGCATCCCCGAGCATGACTGGATGCTGCTGCAAGTAGATGATATGTTCACATTTAGGTGCAGGGAACTCCATCTGTTCTGTTCCTGCTAGAGATGACCAGGGAAACAGTGTTGGGGGTCTATTTTGCTTCTCCGAGATGGTGTCCGACAGCGACTTGAGCAGAAGCTCATGGGATAGTTCGTAGGTGTCAGAAGATAGCATGAAATGCGGCAACGAGAAGACGCCACCGAATTTCTCACTAGAAGTAGTCAAAACGATACTTCCGGTGTCTGGAAAGTGTAGACCAAACAAAGAGATGTACCAGGTACTTCCCCAGAAGTCCTCACTCTCGACCGTTAGGCTGGCTCGCATCTCTCTCAAAATTCCATCGCCTACCTGAATCTCTTCGCCACCTCCCTCTTCAAGATCGAAGTAAAAGGTGCCCCCATTGCCAGTGATATTATGGCTGAATTCATGGGTGAAGTATTCGTGTTCTTCAGCGATGGCCGTCGTGTTCAGAGGTTCACGGCGATCAGCGCCTTCAGTTCTGCGAACCCAGTCCCCCCGAAGCTTTCCGGTTGAGTTGCGATATACGGGTAGCAGGAGTTTGGTCAAGTTCAACGTAGGCGAGACGGTGGGGTCTTCTAGACCATCCGGGGGTTCTAATCCGGCATTTGAGACCGCTGATTGTAACTGGTGGCGAGCCAGGCCTTTGACCTGCGGGAAAAGGTCCCAAGCATAGCTGTCATTCGCCCTTAGGCCTGAAAAGGGAAGCCATCGATTGGCAGGCGGATCGAAGTCACCATATTTTGACCCATTCAACAGCCGAAGGACCTGTCGCTCATGGTCAAGTTCACGTTGCCGTGCCCGATCTTCATCGATCAATGGGGGTCGAGACTGAGAACTGAGAAGAAGGTAAAATACCAGCAGGAAGAAGAAAAAGGAGCCGCGGTTATCCATCTATGCCACGCAGTCTCGGCATCGGACTCTTCCTCAAAGACAGACAATAAGCATCGCGAGAAAGAGAAAAAAAAGACCCGAGAAGGATCGGGGAGCTCGGCTAAGTTACAGATGAGCAAAGACAAGAGAACTAATGAATGACGAGCGCAGTATAAGTAGGTGTCTACGGAGCGGAGTTGATGATGTACTCGACCCCGGGGAGCCTGCCCGCCGGGCACCCACTCCTTGCTGACTCATGACGCCTCGACATGATGGATGGGTCGATATCAACCCTGGAAACGCTCTACTTCGGGATTTATACCCCGTGAAATTAAAAAAAACGGACGAGAAAATTCATGTCCTATCCTTGTCCAGATTTTTAAAGAACAGAACAAAAAGACAAGAAATGCCAATGCATCCGTGGCAAGAATTGTCCACTAAATGTGAAGAACCGAATGCTGATATCAAACCGGTTGAATTTTGGTACAAATAGAAAAACGCATACACAGAACGACCATCTCAATCATAATAGCTCTTTGCTTTATGATGCAGCAGCCAGGACACCACCCTCGGGCTTCTCATCCCGCCGCCGACGCTTCTCGAGAATGGCCTCGCGGCGCTGTGCAAGCATCTTCAATTGTCTGCTCTCAACACCCTGGAGCCAGTAGCCAAAGCTTCCACCAACACCGGCGAAAAGAGGGTAGACCCAGAGGGATTCCTTGGCGAGGATCGGACGCATCTCGATGCCGAGTTGCCAGAGGCGGACGGCAATACCTGTGGGATTGACGCGGTTAGTTCCAATGGCCATATAAATAAATCCAAAAATATTGCTACCAAGCAGAATGCTCTTGTAATGAAATGAAAGCTGGGGAAGGATATGTCACGTACCGAAGCCGCTCCAGAAGAGTACTTTGTGAACCATGATCGCGGTCGGGCGCGGGGTTGTGGTTGTAATTCGAGTGCGGAATGGGATCCGAGAAGAAGGATAAAGAACGCAAATGTGTGTATTGGTTAATTCAATACCACAGCGGCCGGGGTAAATGGAGGCGGAATTGGATGTTGCCGTCGCAATAGTACAGGAGAGACGAGGTTGAAGCAAATCAGCGGGCCGCAGTTCCCAATCACGGAACAACGATTCTTCCGATCGCAGCTGTTATCGCTTATCGTTCGCGCGACTTTGAAACTCTCTCTTGTCCATGTTACTATGGCTTCTAATGAGGCAATGGGCAAGGGGATAGAGGATGTCCATTCTGTGGCTAAACAGCCTATTGATATTGAGAGCGTGAAGCGCAAGAAGTTCAAGACCGATGACCTTCCCTTGTCTGCCGCGCAACATGCAGTCATTGACAAACTCCTACATTCATTCAAGAAGAAGGGTGGCTTTGATAGTGTTCGCAAACAAATATGGGCTGACTTCAATGAAGGAGTATGATTGATTATTTACATGTTTTTTTGCGCCCTGCTAATCTTATTCGACCAGGAACTTCGAACTGATTTTACCAACAAGTTGGTCGCACTTGCCGAGTCGGAGATCGATCGCGAGCCGGCACTGCTGTCCCGCGAGAGAGGAAAAGCAGCTACACTGATTGAGGGTGCGGTGGACCGCGGTGATGTCTACAAGAGCGTGGAAGATTCAATCGACCAGTTAGCATCCAAACACCTGGATTTTATCCTCGAATCTGTCCGTGAGATCCGATGCCAGGACGTTGGAGAGGAAGTCGCCGCCCGTGAACTCGAGCTAGGGAACAAAACCGATGCAGATTATGAAGCATACGTCGGAGCCCAGCGTGAGGAGCGGGAAAAAGTGTGGCGCGAGGAGGAGCGCAAACAGAGGGAGATCGAGGAAGAGGAAAAACGTATCAGGGATGAAGAACGGAAAAAGAAGCGGGAACTTGAACGTCAGAAAGATGAGGAAGACCGGGCCCGAAGAAAGGAGATTGATGAACAGAGGCGAGCTGATCGTGAACGCCAACGCGAAGAGCAACGAATTCTCGACGAGCAGCGAGAACGAGAGCGAGAGGAAAGATATGAGCGACGAAGGCGGGAAGATAGAGAGCGATATCGAGGCTGGGACCGCGACCGCAGTCGAACCCGAGATAGAGACCGTTTCCGTGATCGCTCTCCGGCCTATCGCTCTGATCGTGGCTTATCACCTTGGCCCCGGGATTCAAAACACGACAAGTCATCTACCTCGAATGCTCCCACTCCTGTGCTAGTGCCCCTTGTGGATGAAAAGTCACTCGAGGAGGCTGCTTTGCAAATGCTCTTGAAAGAAGGCGAGGAACTTGCAGCCAAGGCTCGACAGAAGCCCGAGTTTGACTTTGAAGAGGCGGAGGCTATTGAAAATGGACTGAAACCGACAGTATCAACATCAGGGCCGACCAAGGGCACCAATGATTCCAGATTTTCCAATACATCTACCAGAGCGGCTAGCTTATCCCGAGATGCTGACGCGAGGCGTGGCTCTTTTGCAGACCGGGGTGATAGGCCCCGACATTTGACTCGGGATCGAAGCCGTAGTCGCTCGCGCCGGCGGCGCACATCCCGTTATGACACAGATCGCCGGCGTGAACGGTCCCGGGATACTTCTGTGAGGTCTCGAGATCGTGATATGGATGCGCGCCGTGGCTACCGCGACTTCCGGGATGACCGAGGTGGTGGAAGCTACAGACCAAGCCGTCGCAGCCGCAGCCGATCCACCGGCCGGCGTGACCGGGACCGCAGTATTGGCCGAGATAGAGATAGAATACGGGATCGATCGCGGTCCAAAGACCGTGACCGAGACCGCAGCCGCAACCGAGACCGAGATCACGACAATTATCGCCCTCGGCGCAGTCGCCCCTCTCGCTCACCCGTACGCCGACGTTCTCGAAGCCGCTCACGCTCGCGCCCTCGTGCTCGCGACCGCCCTCGGTCACGTTCTCGATCTACTCGACGGAGATCTCGGTCTCGGCGTCGTTCGCCTTCTCCTACTCTAGATATTGACCGCTATGTGCCCTCCACCAGCAACCGGAGCAAGTCACCCCGCCGTCGGGTCCGATCTCCAGAGCGCGAGCGAGAACAGCGGCCCCGGTTAGCCGACATTGACCGTTACAAACCTGTATCTGAAAGGGATAAAGATCCGACTCAAGCAAAAGAAGGGGATCTTGAGGTTGGCACAGAGAAAGAAAAGGAGAAGGAGAAAGAAAAAGAGAAGGACGCAGATGATCGCCGACCTCGTCGACGAACCCCTAGTCGCCGAAGGAGTCCTAGCCGACGAAGGAGCCCAAGTCGACGACGAAGTCGCAGTCGTAGAAGGAACCGGAGCCGATGATCTTTACGCAGAGGATTTGCCACATATAAAAAGACCAGGGAGGTCTTTTTTACCGGCTTGCTTTAAACTATCCTGTAATAATAACATGTATGATAAGAGGGACTATAGCTATTTGAATATCCTTACCACCTACGATTTCTACTCCATAAGCATCTCGATGTGGATGCATTGATAGCAGATAAGCTTATCCGTTATCAGTTCTCCACTCAAAAAAGTTGAAAATGCCCGACCTCTAACCAGACTCGCCAACTTTCACTCTTCCAAGTCACAGACAAGATCTGCGAGCTATCGGACACTGAGATCACATTTAGCCATATTAAGCATTTTGAAATATCTTGCCAGCACGCCTTCCAACCCTTAATCCCCATATCAGCGCATCACAATCTCCCAGAAATCTCTGCGACTTCCAGCAAACTGCACACCTCCAAACACATCACAAACATGCCAAAAGCAACGACAAGATCTGATGCTGCTGCAAGCGATTCCTCTCCACAAACCCTAAATCTAACGGACCGCACCGCGCCCCGTCGACAGCGCGCCAACTCTGTTCAATCATCTGACTCCGACCCAACCTCTTCCTCAGGCTCATCTTCAGAAGATGATAGCGATAGCGAAAAGGAAGACGAACAACACTCCGAGCAGGAAATGAATGGGACTGGAGAGTCGACCATCCATGCACATGGCTCTGATCCATCCTCCTCACTACCTCACATCGCCGGCCGCCCAAAACCGCGCATACATCGCATGAAAGGCGATTCGGGACTTTTGTCGCGGCTCAACGCTTTCTTGCCAAAGATGAAGAATGCAAATGAGGATTTACAGAGGCAAATTGAAGCTGGGGAGGCTGGGGATCTGGTTCTCGACAATGCGGACGAGAACGGAGAGCAGTATATTGAGATGGTAAGGTTTATTGATGGCGCTTGATGATTGTGATGGGGTTTGCTAACGGACATTAGGATCTTGGTCTTGGGGTTTTGGAAGAGAAGCGGGATGGTGATTCTTCAAGTGACGAGGAGACTGATGACGAAGGGTCTAAGGGTACCACTGGGGCTGGGAAGACCCCTCAGGAGATGAACGACTCAGACATCATTGGGAAGCTTATGGGAGGTAAGAGTAAAAAGTCGAATACGGATAAGCCGTCTATCGAGGAGATGGTATGATAGACACTTGTTTGATTTAGTGGTGAGTTGCATTATTTATGACATTATCGATTGAGATGTGAGGTCTTGATTCAATCATGGCGATTTACTGGCTAGACATTTGCATATCGTGAGCTCCGTATTATCATTTAGCGTCTAATGTTTTGTCTTTTCCCCTTTACCCAATTGGCTCCATATCAATTGCATGCACAAAGACACTCATACATTCATTCTCTATGTATACAACTCATCGGAAATCATGTCTAGATAATAGATATGGGGGAAAAAAAGAAAATAGTAAAACAAAACACGAGCATATCGCAGATCTCTCTCTATATGCATGAACCCATCATGCATTACCTGTGATCGAATGACATTATTAAAAAGTGATAAATTTGCGTTTCACCGTCTCATTTGTTAGACAACTTCCTTGATGCGGCAAGTCCAACCGGATTCCTGGCTCAGAAGAGGCAAGCTGTAGTAGGTCAGTATGCTTATTAGAAAGGGACAGGATGGAGTGAACTAACCTCGCACCAAGACACCAGCCCAGCTCGTTGTTCTTGATCTTCTTGGCGATCTTGACTTCGCGGGACAAGGGCATTTCGTAGCCGGTGTGCAACAGACCCATCATAAAGCTGAGGTCCATACACCAATCCGGACGATCCCGAAGTTGCACGAGCGCATTATCCTGATTTTCGAACTTGACACCCTCGAAGCCCTTCCATTCGCTCTCGCCAGCACATACGGTGGAGGTCAGCTGGTTAAGCTCATCCAGAGTGAAAGATTCAGGCATGCCAAGAGGAGCCGTGCGATCAAAGAAATAAGAGAAGATGTACACGTCCTCTCGGGCGAAAGTCTTCGCGAGAGAGGGTTGGTGCACGCCGTTGAAAGAACAGGGTGCAAGTTTACACTCGCCACTCTTCTTCAGGATCTTCTCAGCGATAGCACGGCACTGGGGGGCCATAGACTTGTCCTTCGGGCCGACCATGCTCACTGTGACTTGAGGCCCCAGGGGATGATCAGCGGGGAATTTGAGTGTAACTTCCTTCTTCATCCCAGGGCCAATGCAGGGGTTGGAAATAGGTTGCTCAACCCAAGACAGGTCCTTGGGACTCTGAGCTAGCATCGCTTCCACGACCACAGTGTTCATGGCTTCGCGAGCAGACATGAGACCGTATCCTAGATGAGAGTGCTGGTATAGCTCAAATTGGCGACCACCGAACTTGAGGTCATACTTGTGGTCACCGGCGGCGAGGTGCTCCGGCATACCACCAGCCTTGCTTTGCTCAAAGGTAGGCTGGAAGACAATCTGGGTGGAACCGCCACCCAAATCAAAGATAGCGGCTGTGGGGGTCTCATCTGGGCCACCGATCTTGCCCAACAGGTAGTTGGTCGTAATCCAGGCGTAGACACCCTCATCCGAACCATCCATGATCTGTACGCCGCCCTTCTCCTTGGAGACAACAGGGAAGGGATATGCGGTCTCCAGGCGGTGTCTAACGGCTTCCAAGATCTTGTCGCTCATTTCAGGACCTAGAAGACGAAGTCCGGCCGTGGCCTTGACGGCAACCGGAGAGCACGACCTGTACTCCTCAGGAACCGACTTCACAGCAACATCCATAAGAGGGTCCAGACTCAGAGCTGCGCCTTCGGCATCCTCTCTAAACGAGCTGAGACCGGAGCCTCCCTCCTTCTTTTTCGTTTGTTCGAACACCTCGTTCTCAAGTTCTGGGGTAGGGCCGCAGTTGTTGAATCGGTATACATGAATCCGGGACCCAGTGCTACCAGCATCGATCATGAGAGCGTACTGAATAAGAGGCTTGGATGAATCAAATGGCTTGGTGCATACTCTTGAAGTGGATGCGCCACTGCTAGAAGGAGTTTGCTCTACCAAAAATCAGTTCTGCGAACGGCAGTGCGCACAAGGGTAACACTAACCATTGGTAAGCCCTGAAGCGCTCGGCTGGGACGGGGAGAGCCACACTAGGACCATAAAAATGAAGGCAATGATTGCCCCCGTCTTCAAGTAACGGGATCTCTGGGTCTGTCCCATGTTGACAGGTTGTTTGTTGGAGGATTGACGAAACTCAATAGACTGCGATCCGTCACTCCGGGAGATGGAGCGGTGGCGGGTGGTCAAATCTATGTAGTCGAATTTGCTGTTATGGTTTTGATTGTCGACTCCAGTCGACATTCGAGCAGTTGTCGAATTATAAGTGTGCAGTGACAGGTGGCGTTTGTCGCTGGCGCAAGAATGGTTGAACGATCGTATGTGGTTAAGAGGAAGAATGAAACAAATAATTTACCATTGATCCCAATGTCCTCCAAAAACACCAAGCCAATCTAGGGGGAAAAAAGTGGATGGATGCAAAGAGGGAAATTGTCAGGAGAGAAAGGAGATTCAGGGTTTCATGGTTGTGGCGCAGGTGGCGTTGAATGCATGCATACCTATAGATGTGCATACTCCGTACATCGGGAGTCTAAGATATAGGTAAGACCAATCTTATTCTTCCACTAAGTGTAAAGTGGGCTTTCTCCCTAAGAATAAACAAAAATACGAAGGCTCAAGGCCTCTACGAGGGAAGTCAGAGCAAGCAACATTACAATTTTGTGGTTTGCAATCTAAAGTTACCAAACTACATATACATACATAAGTTGTAGGGACAACAGAACAACATTGGAGTTTACTCACCTTACTACAGAGTACAGATAGACCCTGTATTATTAACATGGACTACATGTTCTACATGTAGTAATTGATGGGTTATTGCGAGTGTGCCGCGATTCCCAAACTGAGGGAGAACCCTCTAATTTTCATGTATCGAGGTACCTAGTTTAGACTACGCGCCGGATGCCTAATATTCTGTGCAGTAAGGCCACCCTATTTGATAGGTACATATGCATCGTCATGGCCGGAAGCATCTAACCTTGGTATGTAGTACCTGGATAATCCCCGGGCGCGGCGGGCAGGTGGTTTACTTATGTTTGCCATGTTTGCATTCAATGGCATTTGACTTCCCCGTATTCAGCCTTCAGCGACCCGCCAACTGTTTAATAACCTCTGTGTTTTATCGTTGTAACACATCATATTTTCCTTCTTGGCAAGCTCGCCACCCCTCTCCGGCTCCTGCTACATTTCCTGTCACCAGCCGACAATATGAACCACACACGCGGTCTCATATCATCCACCCAAGCCCTACGTCAGATCTTCATCGCACCCGTTCGCACCTCCAGAGTTGGAATTCTTGCATTCAGGCATCTTCAGAATGTCCCGCAGACTCGATTTTTTCAACAATCCCATTGCCTAGAGCTGCGAGCATACCGGCCACCCGTCGAAAAGCCTCCGATGAACGAAGCTATCCGTGCGTCATTTGTCCAAGTTGTGAATGATGAAGGCGACCTCGACCCTCCGACCAGACTAGAGGATGTCCTTGAAAGCTTTGACCACACCGAGTTCTTCCTTCTCCAGGTGCAAGAAGGAGACTATGATAACCCGCCGGTTTGCAAGATCTACAATAAGAAAGAAGTGCGAGCACACGAAAAGGCCAAAGCAAAGTCAGCTCGCGAGTCCAAGGTTATATTCAAACAAATTGAGCTGAACTGGGCAATTGACGCCCATGACCTGTCGCACCGCCTGAAACAACTCTCGACCTTTTTGGAGAAAGGTCGCAGGGTGGAAATCCTATTGACCACCAAAAAGCGCAAGCGCAATCCTACAGTGGATGAGATCAAACAGGTTATGCAGAGTGTTTTGGACACAATCAGGGAGGCCGGTGGAACTCAGACTAAGGCAATGGAGGGAGAACCGGGGAAGCAACTTAGGATTACCGCACAAAAGAATATGTAGCGGAGAGGTCTAGTCACATGTATATTATATGAAATTGAATTGTACAACATCATTGCTTGTATAGCGCTGTTTATTATCACTGTTAAGACTATCGAAGAAATTGAATTGGGTCTGTACACGGCGATACCTGATGTCACTCGCAAATCCAAATACGTTAGAAGTAGATCTGCACAGAGAGCTAAGACTGTTTAAATCCTCTGCATCAGGACACACTTGCCACGCTGATCATCAAAAAATATTCATTACTATTATCCCCATGTTCAACATCTATTCTGCCCGCAATTCGAGGCCCGTGATTGGTTGATGACTAAGCTGCACTGAGGATCCATCCATCCCGGAAAGCCATCTTACTAGAAAATTTGGTGTTGATCTGGGCTTCTTCTCTCCCATCCTTACTCCATCTCTTTAATCTTTCCTTTTTGTTCTTGTTCCATCGTTTTTGCTTCGATTGAACCAAGATGTCGACCATCTCCCGTTCATTGAACCTCCTGGCGCGCACTAGCCGGTCCTCCCTGCTGCGTCCGACTACCGTCAACCCCGTCCACCATGTCTTCAGCAACAAGGTGGCTGGCCGTGGATTGGCTACTGCTTTCGAGCGCAACAAGCCTCACGTAAACATTGGTAAGATTCTTTCGCTAGCGCATCATCCATATCCATGCTAAAATGTTATTGCACAGGTACCATTGGTCACGTCGATCACGGCAAGGTAAGCTATTCGCGACTTGTTCCGACATCTCCGCCATCCGAACATGAAATTTGACCCGTCCGCCCATAGACCACCCTGACTGCCGCTATCACCAAGAACCAGGCCTCCAAGGGTCTTGCCAACTTCCTCGACTATGCCTCGATTGACAAGGCCCCTGAGGAACGCAAGCGTGGTATTACCATCTCGACTGCCCACATTGAGTTCGCAACTGAGGACCGCCACTACGCCCACGTCGACTGCCCCGGTCACGCCGATTACATTAAGAACATGATTACTGGTGCTGCCAACATGGATGGTGCCATTGTTGTCGTTGCTGCCTCCGATGGTCAGATGTACGGTCCCCAGTCTAGAAAGCTAGTTTGAAGAGTTTGCTGACGCAAATCACACGATAGGCCACAGACCCGTGAGCACTTGCTGCTTGCCCGTCAAGTTGGTGTTCAGAAGATTGTTGTATTCGTTAACAAGGTCGATGCTGTCGAGGACCCTGAGATGCTTGAGCTTGTTGAGCTCGAGATGCGTGAGCTGCTCTCCTCTTACGGATTCGAGGGTGAGGAGACTCCTATCATCTTTGGCTCTGCCCTCTGCGCCCTAGAGGACCGCCGCCCCGACATTGGTACTGAGCAGATTGACAAGCTCATGAAGGCCGTTGACACCTGGATCCCCACCCCCGAGCGTGATATGGATAAGCCTTTCCTTATGTCCGTTGAGGAGGTCTTCTCTATCCCTGGCCGTGGTACTGTTGTTTCTGGCCGTGTCGAGCGTGGTCTCCTGAAGAAGGATACTGAGGTTGAAATCGTCGGTGCCACCGACTCCGGCAACCCCATCAAGACCAAGGTTACCGATATTGAGACCTTCAAGAAGTCCTGTGACGAGTCCCGTGCCGGTGACAACTCCGGCCTCCTGCTCCGTGGTGTCCGCCGTGAGGACATCCGCCGCGGAATGGTCGTTGCTGCCCCTAACAGCACCAAGGCCAACAACAAGTTCCTCGTGTCCATGTATGTTTTGACCGAGGCTGAGGGTGGTCGTCGTACTGGTTTCGGTGCCAACTACCGCCCCCAGGTCTACATCCGTACTGCTGGTAAGTTCAATTTCCACTGATCTGATCTGATATCAAGTCGATACAACGGATGCTAACTATGCTCTAGATGAGGCTGGTGATCTCAGCTTCCCCGATGGCGACATGAGCAGACGTGTTCAACCCGGCGACAACGTTGAGATGGTCCTCAAGACCCACCACCCTGTTGCTGCCGAGCCCGGTCAGCGCTTCAACATCCGTGAGGGTGGCCGCACCGTCGCCACTGGTCTGATTACCCGTGTCGTCGAGTAAATGGTCCGCTCACATCCATGGTCAGGCACGCGAAATGTCTGACCCTTGTATTATGAACCCCTTTTCTTTCAAATCTTGTTTGTTTTGGCACCTTTTATTCCACAGCGCGGGAATCATCGATCAGCACGAGGGATCCGGGGGTAAACCGGAGTTTTCGCTTGAATCTTGTCCATGTACCTCTACTGTCTTGGAGATGTAGTCAGATTTCCTTTCATTTCTCCACTCCCGTGAAAATGTATTCAGACCAAATTCTTCCTAGGCTCATATATAATTTCAGTCCAAGTTCAAGTCAACGTGTACATGATATTTCTCTGCCCGGTCTTCATTTGGTCTACTCCATAATGGAGCAGGGATGTCGCAGTGTGTGGCCTGTCTGAAAAACACTGGACCACAGCCTACTTCGGAGAGAAACTACTAAATGTGGTATTTACCAAGGGTGCCGGCTCGGATTTATAGATAGCTTGGTGTGCGGACACGAGATCTTAGATATTGTGCTGTTCTCAACTATCTTCGCCGCAATGGATCTAATTCAATTCATTCGCTACTATCATACACTATATAGAGCTAGTCCTTGACATGCGCTCTAGGGCAGCACTACTACGAAGATTTTAGTGCGAATGTACGGTGGGGCACCTTGGCCTGCAGCACCTCACAACAACTTTATTATGCGATACAACGCTAGCATGATCTAGTCAAGATTCGCCGCAATGCTAAGCTATCATGATAAAATACTGCTTTTTTACCCTTAGCCTCTCCCAATGCTCAGCCTCAATGACCCTTCGCTTCGAAATAGCGGGACACTAGTATTAGTGTAGCATCACGGAGTTCTCTCCTCCGATACGGGGTGCGGGGGTTATAGAACTATGTTGTATGAAGTATACCTCGTACTCCGCACATCAAGCATTCAAGATCTCTACCTCAGATATCAGGGCTAACCTTTACAGTCTTCGAATATTCCCATAGCTAAGCCGCGGATAGTTTTAGCAAACCATCAAGATTTGCATCTTTGAATTGGAACTTTCTTGTGAAGTTCTAATGCGTGCATTATATTGATTAAAAGCGCACGGGGTAGGGAGTGTGAGATCTCTTATTGGATCAGTAGTTCCACATCGCCATATTTTCCTATCGTTAGGCCTTCTAGATCATCTGCAATACTCAGTTCACTGATACGTTATCAGACCGCGTTCGCTTATGCAGTTCGCTTTCATTGGTGCTGCCATTCCAAGGTTGTTACCCAGTACTATAGTAGCCTCGAGCGCCTGTAAACCAATCCGGAGAAAAGGAGAAACGCAACAAAAGGAGTATTATATTAAATATGTTGGGAAGAGCTCCACAAGCAATACCGGAGAAACGGAAACAAGGACCAATACTATATATATAGGGAAACGCCATGGACGCATGTGTAGCGGGGTTTCCTGGAATTTTGTTTTATTCTTCGAAGATTGCGAAGGTATTTGGCATTGCACATATTCTATACTACCATGAAGAATCGGGATGATCTTGATCCTATGGCCAGTGATGGGACAGTTGTTGCGACGCCCTTACAAGTTCAAGATGCACCGACTTACCTTTTTACATTGTAAGAGATTATTTTTGCGTTAATTGATCGGAGAGTAGTTTAATAACACACACAGTGGAGATTCCTACACCCAGACCGAGTTCGCTGTCGATGGCATACAGCCATCTACTACAAATCCGATGGGAAACCCGGCACTAGGTGAGTGCTATTCACCAAACAAGTAGGATTGACATACTCATAATGCTAAATAGGGACCGGTACAACGAGCGGTGGTACCAATTGGGTCGGATACCTGACCACTCTATACAATGCTTCGCCGGTACTCAGCTACAACTTCGCCGTTGGAGGAGCGACAATCGATAACTCTATTGTCGATACTAAGGTTAAGGACGTGACATCACAAGTCCGGGATTTCGAGTTAGCATATAGCAAGAAGCCTATATCTGCGCCGTGGTCTTCAGATAATGCGGTGTTTGGGTTCTGGATTGGGATCAATGAGTATCGCGCCTTAATACACCGTTGCCTGTTACGTTCTAATCTTTCTAATTTCTAGCATTGGCTGGGGTCATCAAAACACCCAGCCTAGTGCACTTTTGCCGACATTAATGGCCCAGTACAAATGTCTCATTGAGAAAATATATGCATCTGGCGGACGGAAGTTCCTTTTCCTCAATGTCCCGCCTACAGATCGGAGTCCTATGATAATCAAAGAGGGACCGGAAGCCGTCAAAACATACACTACGTGGGTGAAGGCTTACAATAACGGCCTTCAATCAATGATCAATGACTTTAAGTCGAGTCGCACTGATGTAAGCTTTGACCTTTTGCATTTTTTTCATAAACCTAACCTGATCGTAGACTATTATCGTTCTTTACGATACCTGGTCCTTTATGCCGAAGATCTTGGACGATCCCCAGACATATGGATTTTCGAATGCCACCTCTTTTAATGAGAATGGCACCTCCTGTATTTGGTGGAATCATTATCACCCCGGGCAGAACTACCATAAACTACAGGCAGCGGATATGGTTCAGTACTTGCAGCCTCTCGGTGCTTGGTAGGCTGAACAAGGCGGATCGAGATGGATAGACCTGTATTACAAGGGGTGATCGAAAAGTAGATCACGAATAAATGGCATTGTAAGAAGTCCTCAACGTTATCGTATAGATAGTAGATATATACGGAGTACATTTGGTAGACGGAGTTAACGGAAGAAGCGTATTGCATCTGATTGGCCCGGTCGAAATTTCACACAACTTCGGCCGAACTTGACGGACGAACATCTATGAGAACTATCCAACGACTGTGGGCTTCTTTTTTGTTCTTTTGTTTAAGATTACGTAGGACTGGTTTAAGCTCCAGGGGTGCTTTGACTCTTCAAAGCTGTTGCGCCCCTTTCTCTGTCATCTTGTCTTACTCCCGAGGTCATTCCTACGAGAACGATGCTGGACAACCTACAACGGCCACGGATCTGATCAACTTCCTTGGCAACACAACCTCGGTGGACAGATGGTCTTATCTTAGGCCTTTTTTGTTTTGGATATTAAGATGGAGTCCTGGATAGACCAAGAACCGGCGCGAAAGCGGATGAGAAAGGGGACCAGAAGTTGCACAGAGTGTATGTGTCAAACAATAGATATTTGATATGCCTACGCTAATAGCGTTAATTATAGGTCGGCGACGCAAGATTCGATGCACATTCCACCCCAACCGTCCAGCAGTCTGTAATGAGTGTCGGTCCAGAGGCATGGAATGTGTTGATCAAGAGCATGCGGTTATCACCCCTCCATTATCCGGCTACCACCGGAACTCCCAACTTGGCGAACAGCCATACAGTCTCCGCGAAAGAGTTGCGCACCTGGAGAACCTTGTAGAGGGATTGACCAAGCGACTAGACCAACGGGACTCTAGAACTCCGCCTTGTGAGCACCATGAGATAAATCAATGTTGGTATCCTCCGCATGCGTGTGGATTGATGTCGCAGTGACTGACATTGCCCAGCGGACGGGATAAAAGCGAATTCAAGGCCACTGGCTACCGAGCCAGACGAACTAGGCCCATCCAGTGACCAGATTTGCAATGCGCCGATACTACAGCTGTTTGACAACTATCTCGTGAGTCGCCAAGAAGACTCGTCTAATAATGATAAATTCGCCGGTGTTCAGGACATGTCGCCCAAGGCCGAAGCAGTGCGTACAGAACTCATGTCTCTCCTTCCTCCCGCAGAGGATATAAATAAGATAATCAACGCGTCCTTCCATTGGCTCGTGTGGCACGACCATCTTCCAGAGCTGTTCGATCAACATGCCGACATACTCGTTTTTAATGAAAATCGCTGCGATAATCTAGTGGCTCCCGCCGAAGTTGCTAAGGCACTAATGTGCCTGTGTATCAGTGCGATTCATGCACCGCCTGAATTTGACATTGGTACCTTAACCGTGCCATTTGAACTTCAGAAATTTTCTGATCAATGCGTTGAGATGGTGGACCGTTTAATTGTCCGTGATGACAACTTCGCGGCTACCCTGCCCGGTATAGAATGTCAGATGTTGCTTCACAGGGTTCACTTGACTGATGGCCGGCTCCGAAAAGGTTGGCTGGTGATCCGTCGGGCAATCGAGTTTGCCCAGTTAGCTGGAATGCATCTGTCTACCAAGGTTCCAAGGCCAAGCGACTCTTTTTATGAAAGACGCTTGAAAATCTGGTGTTCGCTGGCAACATCCGATCGATTCCTGAGTTTGATTCTTGGCCTGCCTTATGGTATCAGCGATCAATTCTTTTTGCCCCAAATGGAGCAACGTCTCAATTCAGACTTATCAGCTCCCGAGGAATACCTGTTGCGCATTGGAAGTATCACGGGACATATGGTTGATCGAAACCAAGACCCTTCCAAGATGACTCTCACAGCAACATTACGACTGGACCAAGAGCTGCAGGATTCTTGGGAATCCATGCCAAGTCACTTCCAAGCCGCAGAGCCTTGTCAGGATGAGAAACGGGAACACTATGTTGAGAGAGTCCCATTGCAATTCATGTTCAAGCTACTGCGTGCTCTTCTCCATCTCCCCCTAATGCTGCAATCTCTGCACAAGCCTCAATTCCGTCCATGCCACACGATCGCGATTCAATCGGCAAGAGAAGGACTCGTTCTATACAAGGTCCTTCGATCGAACGTCAAGCCCTATTTGTGTAAGATGATCGACTTTATGGCCTTTACGCTATGTCTTCTTTTGATAATCCACCTGCACGGCTATTCCGACGAAGATCCAGATCAAAATAAAGAGCAAGATGAAAAAGACTGGGACATGGTAAAGAAGGTCATTGAGATCCTTCGCCAAGCGGCAACAGAGCTAGGAGGCTCGGTTGCTGCCGAGTCTGCGAATATCCTTGGTGCCATCCACGACAGCAAAGATCTCAAGCAAGATTGGAGCTGTATCTCGAGTTGCAAAATTACAGTGCCTTATTTTGGTACTATTACGGTCGGCGCAGGAACTAAGTTCTCCAAGGGTCGCCTCAAAGGCAAGAAGCAAACATCAGTAGTATCAGGCACAACGGGGACGGAGACTTCTTGCCCGGGACAATGCCCCAGTCAGCTCTATACACCGCCGATGTCTGACCCTGAAAGTGCACCAACTGCAAACTCTAATGTCTTAGATGGTGCTTCCCTCACACCCACGATGGCGCCTGGATATCCAGACGAGTCATGGCTTTCGAGGAGTGAAACGGGGACAAACCCACATGTTGGCCTGGAGCTCAACGCGTTCAGTGGACTATTCGATGATTTTGGGCAGTATATGTGGCCAAACCATAATGTTGACCTCGGACTTGATCAAGGCTGGAATCTGAACTGGTCAGATGGTGTGCCACCACCATGAATTTAGATACCCTTGTGACTTTACTTAACTGTCTGGAATCTGTATATGCTGTAAGATAAAAAAAAAACTTGACAATATATTTCTTCAGTTGAAATAAACGAGATCTTAATATCCTGTTGGTTAAAATTCAATAGAATAGATTCAAACATCCAGAGTGGTCTAGAAGTGACGTTGCCCCGGGGGGTTAAAGGGGGGTTTATGTAAGACTGTTTTCCCCAGCATCGACTCGGAACTGATCATCTCAATGAACCCGTGAAACAATCGTGTGATCTCTGATTTCTTCCCATTTTCCCGTTTGATTAGTCTGTTGCGCTTTTTCCAGTTGCATGGTTCTCTAGATCCTAGTATATCTTTGCCATTCTAACTCGCTATTGCCACCTCAACACCTCCCCCCCCCCTACCCCAACATACAGACCAGAGGCAGATAACCATGACTGAACGACGCCCCTCGGGGTTGGAAAGGAGTCCAACTGCGCCGCCGATTCTATCAAATGGCCACTTTGCTTCGGTCGGCGCTGAAGGCGATGCTGCCTCCTATGAGCATGGCGTGCAGGTGATTGATGGGAATAAGGAGTTCAAGTATGAATGGCCACCTCTCTCTGCCAGGCTCATCTAATTATGAGGCTTGAATGCTGATCGCATCAATATAGTCCCAATTTATCCAAATATTTGTCCCTTGAGAACGTCACGACGGCCGGTTTCAATTACCATCTCATCTCCGTGTTTGGTTCGCAATCCACCGGAAAGTCCACACTGCTCAACTATCTGTTCGGCACCGAGTTTTCCGTGATGTCCGAGCTGGAGAGAAGGCAAACGACCAAGGGTATCTGGCTGTCGAACAACAAGAAGCAGGGCGAAGCTGGCGCGGCGGAGCGCATGGCTGATAACATCTTGGTCATGGACGTGGAGGGAACTGACGGTCGCGAGAGAGGCGAGGATCAGGATTTCGAGCGTAAGAGTGCGCTTTTTGCGCTTGCGACGAGCGAGGTTCTTATTGTCAACATCTGGGAACACCAGGTGGGGTTGTATCAGGGAGCCAACATGGGGTTGTTGAAGACCGTGTTCGAAGTCAACTTACAACTGTTCCTAAAGGATAAACAGTATGTATTCTTACGATCGTCTCCTTGTCTATGCGCTTTGGATGCTAATCGCTCTACAGTACCACCCATCGGTCCCTCCTATTCTTCGTCATTCGTGATTTCATCGGTAACACACCACTTAAGAACCTGCAGAAGACATTATTGGAAGACCTATCCCGTCTCTGGGACACTATATCGAAACCTGCGGGCCTAGAGAAGTCGACGATTCACGACTACTTTGATTTCCAATTCTACGGACTGCCGCACAAGGGTTATCAACCGGACCAGTTTTTGACGGAGACAAAGAAGCTTGGCTTGCGTTTCCGGGAAGGTCACCGAGACCCAAAGAGAGATGCCCTTAAGGGCGAGTTCTCCGAAGGAGGAGTCTTCCTCCCCGAGTACCATCGCCGCATCCCGGCTGACGGATTCTCACATTATGCGGAGGGAATTTGGGATCAAATCGTCAACAATAAGGATTTGGATTTGCCCACACAGCAGGAGCTGCTTGCGCAATTCCGTTGTGACGAAATTTTGCGCGAGGTAATGATCGGCTTCGATGAGGCGATTATCGCATTTGAAGATAAGCAGGCCGAGTCCGTGCGCGTCGGTGCGCCCGAGGTCCTAGGGGGACTTGGTGTCGCCATGCGTGCTGCGCGCGTCAAGACCCTCAAGAGCTTTGAGACGGAAGCCAGCCGATACCACAAGGGTGTTTACCAACGGAAAAGCGTTGAGCTTCAAACCAAGGTCGATACCCGCCTCAAGGCACTTTTCCATGGCCAGCTGTCGGCAGCTCACAAGTCTGGAATTCGCGACTTCGGTGATTCAGTGAGTGCTGCTGTGAAGGATGGCCAGAAGAAGGGCGGTAGCTACGACTTCGCCGAAATCGTTACCAAGGAGGCCCAGTCTTCATTGGAGAAGTTCGAGGAAGTTGCTCGCTCTACATTGGTGGATGGAGCTTCTTGGAGCAACTACAAGCAAGAGCTTTCTTTGTACAAGAAAGAATTGGCTGAGGTCAGTGCCCGACTGCGTCGCGATGAAATGAGACGTCTGGCCACCCGCGTCGAGCGGTGGGTTCAATCTCGTCTGGGCGAATCTGTTGGCCTTGAGTTCAATGCCCTCGGGTCCGGAAGAGCTGGCGGTGGTGCTCCCGAGAACGGAGAGAAGACTACCGAGAAGGACTTCTGGGATCGGATCTGGAACTTGTTTGAAGAGACTGTCCTTGACGCCGAGCGTAGATTCACGGACCGTGCGAGCAGCTTCGATGCAAGCATTGATGAGGTTGATGTTGGTCTTTGGCGACTGCGCCGTAAGTCTTGGAGTGTTCTCCGCGCCAAGATTGAAGAGGAGATGATTGAGGGCAACTTGCTCCTCAAGCTTCGGGAAAACTTCGAGGACAAGTTCCGTTATGACGAAGCCGGTGTGCCCCGCATCTGGCGCCCTACTGATGACATCGAGGGAATTTACACCCGTGCTCGCGAGTCTACCTTGACGGTGATTCCTCTTCTGTCTCGTTTCCGCCTGGAAAGGACTACTGCCCCACCCCCGCTTGACCGATGGATTGGACATACTCCAAGCACCGCGACACCTGCGGATGAGGAGGATCTGGCCCCCATTGGAGGTGTGGATGAACACGAGGGCAAGAGTTTGGAAGAAGAGATGACAATTCTAAGCGATACGAAGCGCCAAGAGCTCACAGTACGATTTAAGAAGGCCGCCGACGGTGTCTACGTCGAGGCCAAGCGGAGTGCCATCGGCGGTATGACACAGGTCCCTTTGTATTTCTACGGTTTATTGCTGGCTTTAGGCTGGAACGAAATCTGGGCCGGTAAGTTTTCATTGAGGAATTCTTCATTTTCATATTTATACTGACGTGCTCTCTAGTCCTGCGCAACCCAGCTTACTTTATCCTGCTATTTGCGTTTGCCATTGGCGCATACATCACCTTCCAGCTCAACCTCTGGGGTCCGATGCTGAAGATGACCGAGGCCGCCTCTCAGCAAGCTCTGGTGGAAGGCAAGCGCCGCCTGCGCGAGTTCCTCGAATCCTCCGACACTGGCCGTCAGGCGATTGCGATGTCGGCTGGGGAGCATGCTGGGTCTTCCTCTCGAAAGGAAGAATATGAGATGTCAGATATGCAAAAGCGTGGCTCGAACGCTAATGATGACCTGGATGACATGTAACTTGTTTGCTTGCTGTGCTCTTCTGGCGATCACCCTGTATTTTACTCTTTCCTTTCTGTAGCTTCTATATGCATACAATATGATCCTTTGGTAACAATCTTTTTGGGTAGAAAATAGGTGATCTGGATCTGACGATATTACCAACTCCAACCAGGGGATTATAGAGACTTCATACATATTATAGTATAGTCATGCATAGCACTCATTGTGGTTTGCAGGTTGACAAGGAACGTGAAGGGTCTAGAGTGATCTAGATTCCTGGGATACAGAGATACAGAGGAAGCTGTGGGAGGGCCCTGGGTACTAGCTAGGCCTTCCGGATTTGCGTCCATTGCACCATAACTCAATATCTACAACAGCTCAGTCGGTAAGTCTCGGAGAGTTGCTCAAATCTGCCCAGGTGGCATCTGCTTATTCTGTTAGTATCTCAATGGCGACTTGTATTTACTCATAGACACGCTGGATGTCAAGTTCTGGGTCCTGAGTCACACCAAATTGACCGAGTCAAATCCTGAACAAGCCTAGGCAAAGGACTGGTTGATTCGACTAAATTGGCAATGACCTCTCATTGCTCATTGCTCGGGTCATACCCACGTCAAGGGACCGGACTTCCTCCGAGGTGAGGGGTATACTTCTCAACCAATGTATCTAGCGTGGTCGATTTCACTACATAGATTAGCTTGTGTTAAATTGAAGCCTTGAAGTCGTTCAGCTAATCTGCTTCTTCGATCTCCTCTACCCCGAACCATGTCTGGTATTCCCAATCTCCCAGAGACATTCGATGATCTCCCCGACAAGCGTCGGTTTTGGCCTGGGGCTGCAGGGTCAGAAGAGGAAGGACTGGGAATGCTCCGCCTTCTAACGCCCGAGCTAGTTGCTCAAGCTGCGCGAACACAAATCCAGTCTGGCGAGCGGGTATGCTTAAACTGGAACATGGAGAATTTGAGCCCACCAGGTAAAATAAGAGCACTTGACTATCGGATCAAACAAGAAACCATAAGACTCACGACTGGAGAAATTAGGGTTCGGCCGCAAATCATTCGAGCACCGTGTCAAATGGGTCGCCGAGGGCGTCGCTTTCGACGACGAATACCACTTCAACCCACAGCAATCCTCCCAGTGGGACGGCCTCCGACACCACAATGCGCCAGCCCCAACACCAGAAGACCAAGACCGACGCCTCTTCTATGGTGGCACGACCGCAAAGGAAATTCTTGACGAGAACTCGTCGCGGATTGGCATCGGGTTTTGGGCAAAGAAGGGCATTGCTGGGCGCGGCGTGCTGATTGACTACGTCTCCTACGCGGAGAAGAAGGGCATTAGCGTAAACGCGCTAAGCCGACATATGATCTCACTTGACGAGGTTCAGGAGATCGCGCGCGAATGTAACATCAAATTCCAGAAGGGCGATGTCTTTTTCTTGCGGGTTGGTCTGCCTGGGACGTGGGAGCGGATGTCGGCCGAAGATCGGGTGGCTTATAGTCAACAGGGTATGCCGCAGCATGCTGGAATCGAACAGAGTGAGCGGGTGCTACGCTTTATATGGGATAATCATTTTGCGGCTGTTGCGTCCGATGCTGTTAGCTTTGAAGTTTACCCAACTCTGAACCCGGAGTTTGATTTGCATCATCATCTTCTGGCTGGGTGGGGTATTCCTATTGGGGAGATGTTTGATTTGGAGGAGTTGGCTGCGACGTGCAAGCGTTTGGGTCGTTGGAGTTTCTTTATCTCGAGTAGTCCGTTGAACTGCACCCGGGGAGTGTCTAGTCCACCTAACTGCATGGCTATCTTCTAGTTATGGCGTAATAAGAAGCGTTCATCCAAGGAAATTTGAAGCGGTCTACGTATATATACCCATATATATATCTATCGAGGGATCCCACGCCCCATGCTTCAAGCCAGGAATATCCTGTGGCGAGTTGTATAGATTCCTGGCATTACACGGCCCAACAAGCCACTGGACTACGGACTATTTTGGTCCCAAGCAAAATCTAAGCCCGGGATGTTACATGCCTCATCAAGAGAAAGTTTGGGAGTGTTTTCAAGTATATGGCCGGGATTCTTGTTGGGAATATCCCTATCAGTGCTATCACCACCACCTGGGCTACCTAACACCTAACTTAGAAGGCCACTATATTCCCCTCACTTGCTTTTCGAAAGCACACGGATTCATTGTTTATTGTTCAGATGAATTCCTAAATCTAGTTCAAGCTCGAAATCATGCTTTAAAAACACCTCGGAAATCTCAGCTATATACAACTTTTGTTTCGTACGAGCTAGAGTGGACCCAGCACTACTACCATCTTATGAAGTTGTCAGGACCGGAGCAAAACTTTGTCCAAGTGAAGCGTGACTGGTCACATTTGGAGCGATAAATGCAGCATCTTTTTTCTCATGATGATGAGGCTCAACGAATTGCGGATAAAGGCGTTCAAATTTTCCGCGAGAGGTATCTCAGTCCTGCGGCGGAGGTGTGCTACTGGCGTCGGTTGATACGAGAGTGGAAGAAAGTCATTAGTTTCAAGCCTGAATTCTTCAAAATGGTTGGATGGGAAGAAGGAATGGAGAGGCATTTCCGTGGAGAGTTTCTTGTTGATGGGAGAGGTGGCGTATGATCCCCGGTGAGAGTTCTCAAGAAATATATACATGTGATACCTTGATTTAATGCTCATATCTCTTATTTCTCAAATCCTTCGTAGTTGATACTTGTGCTGAACGCTCGAGCTGGGAATATACATCTATAGCTTACTAGATATCCCGCCCTAAGACAAAACAGGTACCAGTCAAGCGCAATTGACAATTGTATGGAATCAGGTTAGAATTACGGAGTACTGCAATTAAGTCTACAATCAAACCGAAGAGATTATTTGGCCCTTTAAGAAACCTATGCTTCATTCTTGTGAGAGATCAACATTTACCTGCCAAGACTGGTTTGATCTCCCATTCTAACCCTTTTCCCCTTCCCTCCAGGGCTTTTGCTTCCTTGTTGCAAATACTAAATACTTGATTAAACTCCTACATTCCACATGCTCAAAGAGGATGTGTTTTGACACTATGTTTACACGACCATGATGATCATCGCGTGCCATTGCTTCTTAAATACCATGAGACCCAGTTCCCCATTATTTACCCCAAGTTAAATATTCAGACCGAAACTCTCTTTAACGCCTTTCCTAACCGGAGAATCACTTTCTTTACCAAACAAACACAATCCTTGAACAAGATGCACTTCTCTAAGGTAATTCCACCTTTCTACCATATATACTTGACCTATACAACTTGCTAACACACCACAGACCCTTGCCACCGCGGCAACCTTTGCCATGACTGTCTACGCCGGCTTCCCTGTCGCTAGCGTCAGTTTCCAGTCCTGGGAGAAGTGTGATATTGGCTATCCCACACTCGGAGAACCCAAGTTCTCTGTTGATGTGGCCGTCACTCCCGCGACTTGCGACAAGACCACTGTCAACCGTGACTGGAGCATTAACAACTATGCCTTCAAGGCTCGCTTGGACACCAAGGACACTGCCTTCTGCCAAGGCGTGATCATCTGGAACAACGAAGGCTGCTCTGGCGAGCCTGTGCACTTCCTGCCTTTCAACCACAGCCCCTTTGCCGAGGGCCAGTGCATCCCTGACATCCTGGACCCTGGCTTTGTCTCCTTCAAGTTGGCTTGTGCGGGTTTCTAGGAGGTGGAAAAATTGGTATCCAAGAAATGATGACTGTCGGGACTGCCGTGTTGGATTCTATTGTCGCCCTTGACCTGGCGATAGATACCTACATTCTTTTGCTGTCTGTTTTTTCTTATGTATTCTTACTCGGCTTTGATTCACAGATATCTCCGTGGTATTACCGAGTACTTCCTGGGCTATGTCTCCCATGATATTATACTTCATAGCATAATGTTTTGTACCGTTCAGAAACATCCATCATCTGCTGCTCTTTTGCACCAAGAAACTCATCTATAATCCAACACAGAAAACCACATCGTATTTCCAACTTAGTCCCAGGCATTTAGGTAGTTATTGGAAGAAAGATGGGGCAGGTGGGTTCTCAGCCGTACATGGCCTAACTGGCAATCAGGCTACAGACTTCTTTGGCCCTAAGGGAAGCGAACCTAGGGCCTTTGTCTCATCAAGACAAAATTTGACGTTGTTCTTGACTATTATATACCACCTGGGCTATATATACTAGGTCGTATGTAGGTATAATGTGAAGGATGTGCAAACTGGACCTGAGAGTAATATCATGAGGTTTCCACTTGGGTTCTTACATATTACTGCACATTCGTTAGTGAGATAGCCCCGAACACTAATTTTTGAACCTGGAAGCATCTATGTTGGCTATGAAGTAAACGTTCATAATATACAGGGGTATCCCTTAGAACCAGGAAGACATATGCACAGCTGAACAAATAAGACATCAGCCATCGAAATTAAAGAGATCATGCACGCTCAATCGTGAATTGCAAAGATACCTCCCATTTTTGACCCCCAGTGCCATACCCACCCCCCAACCTGTTGCGAATCAAGCTGGATATCTTCTCCCGTAGCCGGACAAGATTATCCTCGGAACCATTGACTCGGAGCTTCAGGTTTGCCATACATAGCCCATAATGGACCTGCCAGAATCGAGCGTCATCAATGCCAAATACAGCAGCATCGGCTTCAATATCCTTGATGACATCAGAAACTCCTTGGCCGGAGTAGGACATGAGAAGCATGGATCCTAGAGTCTTCACCAAGCGAGTTCCTAGGAAGCACATTGAGAAGGCAATGGTGCCAGACAGGAGCTTATCTAGCCAATCATAGATCCGGATCGAGACCAGAGGCAAAAGCAGTAGCAGAGCTGAACAAGAGAGGGTGAGGAAGTGAGACGGGTTGCTCAAGACCGATGGGAGAGATTGGATATACCCAAATCGCATAGCCTTCCCAATTCGAGCATGGTTCTTGAGACCAATTGCTGACACAAGCGTCGATGAAATAGCTAGAACTGCAGTCACGTCCACACTACCCAGAGAAACCCGATCATGGTCATGCTGATGATGAGGCTCATGACCGGCCTTTTCAAGGAAATGTTGCAGATTGTGGGAGATGAGATCCATTCCCATAAACAAAAGAAGCACAGCCATTGCGAATCCGGCTAGAACTTCTGCACGTTCAAGGCCGAACGGGTGGCGGATAGTCGATCTCTTCCAAACCTCAAAATTGCCCAGCACATCGACTGCAACACACAGAAGAGCCCCGAGTGAATCAAAGAGAATCAGATGCGATAATGCTGTCATGGCCAGGGACCCGTGTGCAGTCCAGAGCGTGTACGCCGCAACGAACATATGGCATAAACTCCACCAGAAGCGAGTCTTTTGGTCCCTCGACATGCTAGATCGGCATTCTTTCAGTGTTGGCATAGGCAGGGAGTTAGGGAGGGCTAGTGGCGCGCGAGGAGGAGGTTCGAGGAAGATCTGGTGCGAGATGCTACTGTGTTTGTATTTGTGGCCACGACGTTGTCCCATGTTCTGCAACACGAGGTAACAAGTTAGCACCCCGCCACCATAGGTCATCAGTGCAGTTCATCTCACCGATTTGATCACTGGGCTCTTCGCCATAACAGTAGTATTGAAATTGAATGGCCCGGCGGAGGACATGTCGCCCGAACCATTCTCGATCGGCGTCTCTGCATCTTCAGGCGAGGTTGCCAGATTGAAAGAGGAATTCGTGGGGCTCAACATATCTCTACTTTCGGCATCCATGATACCCTTCGGAAAGGAAGCCTTAAGCGGCGATAGGGAATTGCGATCGATGGGTATCCCTGAGTTGATCTGGGAGGCATATTCATCGTCCGCTGGCGGAGTGGGGGTGCGCGGTGGGAGAGGGAGAGGAAGGTTCGAAGCCATCGCGCTGGCTTTGCGAACAAAATGCCTTTATAAATTGATGGCTATGTACATATACACATGAGTAGACATGTAGGTTCAGGCTGGGGCATCAACCCCCCGGATGAGCCCCGGTGTTTCTGCCGATCATCACGTGGGCGGCCTAAGCACCCTGAAACCTAAAAGCCTTAGCGCATTTCTCTAGGGCTGCATCTATAGCCCTCTGAATAAGAGATTGAATGCATGAGGGTAGGCTCATGGGAATTATTTGGACAAAAAAAGGTGATAAAGTAGTCTGTGTGGTTTGTTCCCGATGGGTTTTAATTTTATTCGGTACAAGCCTATGACATGCAGAAACATGCACAAGTACGAAAGACTTTATTGGTTGTGAGACCATAAGCAGACATGGGGACCTAGGTAGTTCCATACTAAGCGGCCTTTTCTCGGACTTTATCCCAATAACAGTTATCTATACATAGAGATAACTATGTGATGCACTGGATATGCACTTCCGGGGGGCTATACGGGTGAGTTTATCGGGGCAGGGCTCAGGTATGTACCAAATATCCAAATTAGCTCACTATGGACTAAACAGACTTCCTGTCTCCTCTTTACTAGATATCATTGTTTAAAAAACCAATCAATTTTAATCGGTCAAGTCCGAACAGGTGCAATGAGAGTAAATTTTGATGTATTTGAAAGATAATTCGGAGATTTAGACCTGGCATATATGCATACCTAGTCATGGAATGAATTTGGTTCGCAACGCTCAACAATAATTTACAAATTTACACTATTTCAATATATCGCTTAAACTCCCTATAAAAGCGTTAGTCTTGCATTCATATGTGCCACAGTATTTCCGACTTACCAATCAGTCACAGCCTCTCTCCAAAGACCCAATTCATGCTGTCTTGTGGCTGTGAAGTAATCTACGAACTCCGAACTCAGAATCTCCCGCGCGATGCTTTCCGGGGCTGAAAAACGGTCTAAAGCCTTGTCTAGAGTATTGGGCAGAAGCTCTGGACGGTCCCCTGGGGCGCGTGCAGACATCGGTGGGACCTTGATCTCAAGCTTCTTCTGTACACCCCTCCAGCCCGCTGCAAGGATAACACTCAGCGCGTAATGGGGATGCAGATCAGCCCCAGGAATGCGTACTTCAAAGCGAGTAGCACCTGGCTTGCATACTGGTGGCGTAATAAGACGGATCGAGGCAATCCGGTCCTCGAGTCCCCAGCTAATGTGCACTGGTGCCCAGTAGTTCTCAACGAGGCGCTTGTATGAGTTCACAGTCGGCGCAAACAGTGGCATAATATCTGGCAGAGCATCCAGAAGCCCGGCGAGGAAATGACGTCCTGTTTCGGAGAGGTGTGCGATGTCCGACCATTGAGGGTTTGCCTCGGGTGTCTCCCTTGCAAACAGGTTCTTCCCATCATTGTCTGCAAGTGAGATATGGATGTGTCCCGAGCTGCCTGGCATGCCTTGCATGGGCTTAGCCATGAAGCATGGTGTAATGCCGTGGTCAACACCCAAGGATTTGGTCAAGAGTCTGTCGCCTTGTTAGCTCTGAAAGGAACAGATGATTTGTGGTATTCGCGGCACTCACTTGAATAATGCCACTTTGTCTGCCATTTCACTTATCTCGGAAACCTTCAAGGCCTATGTAAAGTATTAGAGGAGTTCAAATGACCTGGATAGATGACATACTGCTTCATACACACCGGGCCCGCCCTCAGTGTGCCACCCTTCAATGCCGCAGTTGATCTCCGCACTGGTATTGAAAATATCGTAGAAATACTTCTTGTTTACAACCGGTCGCGTTGAGCTATAGCAGAACATTCCAGCTGTAATTGGTCGCAGGGCACTAGGGGCATTTTTCTCTAGGAAAGTAGCGAGGTTGGGATGCTGGGAGCCTGCACTGCCGTATCCGTCTTCGGAGGGAGTCTGGAAATTCATAAATTCAAGTTCGACTGTCTGGTATCAGCATTTTAGATTCCTTTGCTAGACTTTCCCGCAACTTACCTCCAGCTAAAGCATGAAGCCCCTCCCCTGCAAGCTTATCACACAAACTCCTCAGCATACTCCTCCCATCCGCAGAAACTGGGCGCTCATCATCAAGGAATCGGACTAGAAAGAAAGGGATATTTTCTTCCCACGGCAGACGGCGGAACGAGTTCAGATCTGGAACAGCCAGGAAGTCTGCGTACCCTGATTCCGGGGGTGCGACCCGTGCATCGGTTGTCCATAGCATATCGTGCATATCCCAACCGAAAAGAGCTGAGCTGAAGCCAAACCCCTTCTCCGCAATCCCAAGGAACTTCTCCTTGGCCATGACCTTGCCACGAAGCACTCCATCGCTGTCGATACCGGCGACTTTGACCTTGATGTCGTCTGCGAGAAGGGTGGAAAGTGATTCGACGGTGATCATGGTGGGTGTAGTCATTCTGATAGAATTTCAACAATGGCAGGAGGACTAACTAAATGAGTCCAACAGTTGGGGTTTGAATTGAAAGAGACATTTCGCTGGCCCCTGTGATTTTATACAATTCGCGCGAATAGTGGATTGTGAGGCTGCGGGTCCAACATGTGGTCCAAATTAATGCCGCGCCGCATCTCTCAGGTCAAAAATAATCCCGCGCGGTGCAGCCGATAGCGTGCAATAATTATTTACACGTAAAAACAATGGATCTCATGAGTGAAGCTATGATCGGATTTTCGGAGATGCTCCGCGGTCCGCGCTGTGGGGTTCAGTAGATAGCGCGCTTATCCTCGTGTCGGAATTATACAAAACTTGAAAGTCGGACTTGAGATTAAATTGGTAATAGATGGGTTCATTGTTCATTGTGAATCTAAAGCGGAAGTACACATCTCCAGTATGACATCCTCCATTCGCATTCACGTCGCCATCCTCGTGTGTGACACGCCTATCCAGCCTGTTCTCAGACAGTATGGCGACTACTTCACAATATTCCAAGAACTTTTGAGGCAAGCCTTCAAAGACTTGGAAATATCCAAGGATTTTGGAGATATTACGGTGGGATTTAGTGAGCATCAGATGGTGGACAACAACCGATTTCTTGATCTAGAGAAGGTTGACGCAGTTCTTCTTACTGGAAGCAGTACGTTACCAGCAATTTCAATATCCGAATGATGCAACTAATATTACTTGGTAGAACACGATGCCTGGGGTGATGATCAATGGATCCGCGACCTTACAACCAACGTTCGTGAGACCGTTTTAACACACAAGAAGCCTGTAGTTGGGATTTGCTTCGGCCATCAGATTCTTGCTCGGGCGCTGGGAGCCCGAGTTGGCAGAAACGAAGCTGGATGGGAGATTTCGGTTGAGAAGCTCACCCTGACTGAGGCCGGGAAGAAACTGTTTGGAAAGGATACGCTGGTAAGTGAAGAAACAACCGAACAAGCTCGAATGAGGGAGGTTCTGATTAAATACAGAGCATTCAACAAATGCACCGGGATATTGTCTTTGATTCTCCAGTCGGTTTCGCGAATCTCGCTTCAAGTCCAAAATGTGAAGTTCAGGGTCTTTACTTGCCCAAGCAAGTGCTATCGGTACAAGGACACCCGGAATACAATGAAGGTATCATGTCATGCCTCCTCGAAGCCAGACATGATAATGGGATCTTTGATGATGAACTGTATAACAGTGGGTTATCCCGAGTGGGTGATTCTCATGACGGGTGGTTGATAGCGAAGGCAATTGCAAGATTCATTGTAGATGCGAAGACCAAATAGTTTGAGCTAATACAAAATAAAACACTATTGTTACAAGATTGAGATAAAAAGGAATAATAGTCCATAGATGTATCCCATGTATCCATACATATAAATGTATAGATGTATGTAGAATAATAATAATAATAATAATAAGATAAGCTATCAGATCAACCGCGGCACCGGCTCCGCGCTATAAAGTCCTCCTCTCCCCACCTTCGGGATTCCACTCTTTTTTATCCCAGACCAAATACACAACCTACGCTATGTCAAACCAAATTCGTACTATCTGCCCTTCGACGCACGAGGTCATTTTTGACCAGCCTGGTACTTCACTCAATGAAGCTATTAAAGTTGCTGCTGCCTCAAAGCAAGCCTTTGAGTCCTACAGAACAACCTCTCTGGAGGATCGGAAAAGCATTGTGAAACGAGCACTAGACATTATTGAGCAGCGCCGCGATGATTTGGCTAGAGAACTGACTGCCCAAATGGGGCGACCCATTCGGTACTGTGCATCTGAGATCAACACCATGCGTCTGCGCGCCGAATACTTGATGGATATTGCCGAAGATAGCCTGTCCGATCTCCCTGGTCGGCCAGAAGCCGGCTTCCGGCGAACGGTTAAGCGTGTTCCCGTAGGACCAGTGCTTATTGCGAGTGCTTGGAATGTGAGCGAATACTATTATTAGAGTGTACTCAGATTTGCTGATCAATATGATAGTATCCTTACTTGACTACTGTCAATGCTCTTGTTCCAGCGCTTCTTGCTGGTAACAGCGTTATCCTGCGCCCTTCACCACAGACCCCGCTATTTGGAAATAGACTACTCGAGGTCTTTACTGAGGCAGGGCTCCCACCTCAGGTCCTTCAGATCATCCACATTGGAAATCTGGATGTTTTGGACCAGGTAGCACAGATTCCCGAGATCCAGTCTGTCTCATTTACCGGATCAACTGCAGGTGGGATCAGACTTAGGGAGGCAACCGCCCATCACATCAAGCCCGTCAACCTCGAGCTTGGCGGAAATGATCCTGCATATGTTCGTCCGGATGTCGACGTAAAGCACGTTGCAGAGCAACTTGTGGACGGAGCTGTTTTCAATTCGGGGCAGAGTTGCTGTTCCATCGAACGGGTATATGTGCATGAGAAGATTTACGACGAATTTGTTTGCGCTGTGCAAGAGGAGCTGAAATCGTGAGTTGGATTACGTCTTGAAGAAAATACCTCTCTGACATTCAAATCAGGTATAAGCTTGGTGATCCGCAGGATCAGAGCACAACCACAGGCCCTGTCATCTCAACGCAGGCCGTGGAGAAGATTACTGCTCACGTCAAGGATGCAATTGCTAAAGGAGCTGTCAACTCTACTCCTCAGAACCTAAGTTTTGAGGTGGCGAGCAACCCTGAGATCCAAAAGGGTAACTTTGTTTCTCCGGTTGTTTTGACCAATGTCAACCATACCATGGCTACGATGAAGGAAGAGACTTTTGGTCCTGTGATGCCAATCATGAAGGTCTCTAGCGATGACGAAGCTGTTACATTGATGAATGACAGTGATTATGGTCTGACGGCGAGCGTCTGGACGAAGGATATCACTCGCGGAGAGGAGTTGATTGATCGCATCGAGGCTGGGACAGTGTTCATTAACCGCTGTGACTATCCAAGCCCGGTAAGACACTTTGACAATTTCTAACTCAATTTGCTATTGATTCCTTAATGCTAATATTGGAAATTAGGACCTTGCCTGGATCGGCTGGAAGACATCAGGTTTGGGATGCACTCTTGGCCCACGAGGATACGATGGATTCGTGAAGCTAAAGAGCTACCACATCAAGGATGGCTCAGCATGAGTGGACAGTTTTGAAGATGATTAGATAGTGTTATAGTCTGGAATAATTCAATAAATTTCAATATCAATCATTCTATCCAACTATATCCGAGCATGTCCCCTATGTCGTACAACTTTAACCTTAAGAGCCCACCAAAGCCAACTCATAAGATTGTAACCGAGAGTAACACACGAGCGTGTCAAAATCCATGGACGTCTACGGAGTACTCCTTACGTTATTCTCGACATATTGTATGAAGCTCATCCAAAAAGCCCCACTATAGCGCGGTCCCGGACCGCGCTTCCTTAACTCCGAAACCCCACCAAAGATAGTCAATGAAACTGCTTCATGCCCCTGAGTGGTTGGAGATCTACCTAACAGCTACCCCTCATGCCCCGCATAATGAGCTCACCGCGCCGGCGGGGTAGTAGGAGCGCGATAGAGCTTTGAACTCATACTCGTGGAGATTATTTGAAAAGGGTGGAAGGGGGGATTGTAGCGCGTTGAATCGCGTGGTTGGGTCTGATTTACCATGTGGGCTAGATAACGGTGGAAGCTGCTCCGGTATGGAGATTGTTTAATATAGACTGTGGAGATTGGAAATGGTATAAATTCAGGCCTTTACCAAGGGCCTACCCTCTGTAGTTTTATTTATTTATTCTTATCAACCACTCAACCTGCATCAGCACACTGTTCTATTCTCCCCGACCCCTTCTCTCCTATCACACACAACACAATATCAAAATGGTCGGACGTCTTGAAGGCAAGAATGCCATCGTCACCGGTGCAGCTGGGTATGTACCTCTATCCACCTATGACCAACAAAGCAATAAAAGACGCAACTAACGAAAAGCAGAGGTATCGGCCTCGAAACCACAATTCTCATGCTCCGCGAAGGCGCCTCCGTCCTGATGGCCGACATTAGTGATGCAGGCCTGAACAAAGCCCTGTCCAAGGTGAATAGTGTCGTGCCCGCCTCAACCCGCACCGGAAAAGTCGAAATCAAAGTCGTCGATGTGTCGAACGAATCCCAGGTCGAAGCAGCAGTTGCTCATCTCGATGCGTGGGGTGGACTGGATATCATCTTCAATAATGCCGGAATCATGCACCCCAAGGACGGAGATTCGGAAGAGTGTCCCGAGGATATCTGGGATCGCACAATGAATATCAATGTGAAGGGTGTGTGGTATGGCTCAAAGCATGCTGTGCGCGCATTCCGAAGGCATGGCAAGAAGAGCGCTAGCGTGATCAATACTGCTAGTATGGTTGCGCTGGTTGGGGCTGCGACGCCGCAGTTGGCGTATACTGCTAGCAAGGGTGCCGTATTGGCAATGACCCGGGAACTGGGTATTGTTCATGCCCGCGAGGGTTTCCGATTCAACTCGCTTTGCCCTGCACCTCTTAAGTATGTTGATATTTTGCCCTTTTCCGGTTGAAACCTTTCATGAAACTGACATTCAAATAGCACGCCTCTGTTGCAGGATTGGCTTGGTGACGATAAGGAGAAGCGCTTCCGTCGTGAGGTGCATTTCCCTACCGGTCGGTTTGGCGAGGCGATTGAACAGGCCCATGCGGTGATCTTCCTTGCTAGCGACGAGAGCAGTTTCGTGAACGCCACTGACTTCGTCGTTGATGGTGGCCTGACAAAGGCATATGTTACGCCTGAGGGCCCGGCGACGGAAGCACCGAAGAACTTGGCTGCATGAATGGATGGCGTATTTGCTAGTTTGTACATAATATGAGTAACAGAATGACGATCAACATCACGCAAATGAGATCCATATTTGGTTTTCCTGCATTGCTCGACAAATATTCCATGGCCCGGCCTCGGAAGCAGGTGATCGCCACATTGCTTCGAGGAGTAGAAGTGTTCGATGCATATTTCCAAGACCAAATTTCTCGATCATAGCATTCAATCGTCGTCGTAGACAGTCCTGTTGATCGGGGTTGAGAAGGCATGAGCCCACTAGAGCGATCGGCCAACAAAGGCCGGAGTTGATGCGCGCACTGGGCGACAGCTCACCCAGGTATGACATGGCTTCTGTCACTGAGTTTTCCACCATGCCATTATACATTCCATCTTTGGTGTATTGGAAGCCACCTAGGGAGGTGTACAGATAAATGAGTATGGCTTCTTGGAAGATTAACCCAGCCAGACGGACCTCCGTCCCGACATTGGGATAAGGTGACCAGCGTATGATCTGGGATTGTATGGATGCAAACATGGCAATATCATCAGCTGTTGGAACGACTGCCTGGGTGTCATCCATGATCCACTGTCGGCCGAGATCGAAGATGCACGGGATCAGCAACAACAGTTCCAGCCAGCAACCGCACAAGTTACCCACGTACTGGGTCCGAAGTAATTCGCGCGACCGTTGTTCCAGATCCAAGTTCAAGAAAAGCTGACCGCTAAAGCGAGCATCGATTGAGATCATGCTGACAGTCGCAGTATAGGTGTAGTATTCGATGACGAAATCTTTCAAGTCTCGTGGAACTGCCGAGTCGCTCTGGGCAAGCAATTTGACTAGCAGAGAGTTCGCGGCGGATAAGTGGTCGAATATTGTCCCGTTCATATCACCCTTTGCTGTCTAGTTTTGTTAGATTATTGAACACATTATTTTTGGATCATAAATTTCCTACCTCAGTAAAACACATCAGAAGTGCCCCCACTAGGAGCATGAGAGGGTTCGATTCTTTCCCGTCGATAAAGTCCGTTACCCCACGACGGAAATGCTGGAGGGCCTTTGTGTAGTGACTGTGGGCAATTGTATCCGATTCATCCCGAGATCGAAACGCGCGGTGAGCGGCGCTTTGAGTGATTACCAGCTGCAGTAGTAAGTCGCTGGAAAATGCCAGGGGTACAATCTGTACTAGAAAGGGGTTGACGGGCGTGGATCCATTTGCCATGCAGTCGGCCGTGGTGGCTAGGTAATGACTGAGAAGCTGATAAGACTCGGCATCATAGCCAGGCAGCATGGATAGGCTGCGCGGCAACGCATTTCTTATTGAAACAGAAGTGACAAGAGCATCACTGATAGGGGTAGTCCCGGTAGCTGTTGATAATCGGCGTTGATTGTTAGGCTCCTCATGCACTATCGTGTTTTCAAACTGCTCTCCAGTAGTCACCGAGTGCCCTGAACTCGATGAAACAGATGGGGCGCGTTGCGATAAGGGACTCCTAGGCATCGAGATTTCATCGAGCTGCTCAATGGCATCGAAAATATTCGGTCGGGACTCATCTGTCGCAGATACTTGAGCTTCGTCCTCATGGCTGGGATCTCTCTTGCCAGGAACATGGGGCCACTGGCAGGCCAGGTCATTGCGCTGACAGCCAGCACATATTGGACGTGTCTCGTCACATTTCTTCTTGCGACGCCTGCAGGTCAAACAACCAGTTCTTACTCGGACGATTCGCTGCACACGTCGATCCGGCGGCATATTTGAGTTAAGGAGATCAGAAGAAGGCACCTGGGCAGGCAATTATTAGGGGATCTCGGCGCCAATCCTATCTCGGGGCAGAGCTGATAAGAAAGTGTGGGGTAACCCTAGAACTCCCGGCCAATCTACTTTTTATACATTTAAAGAGGCAAAACATTAATAATTTAATTTCTTTCGATGATATATCTCAAGGTTCGTTCGGCAACATATGATTCATCATCACGGTATTGCATTTATCTAGAACGCCCTGGACCTCAATTTCCTCATGCCAGATGGTCACAGGTTATACACAGAAAAGTCGCTTGCACAAAGTATGCTTTTTTTTACCGCCTACATATACATATAAAAGCACCAGCTAAAAAGACATTTAAAAAGACTAATAAAAAAATACCAGCTAGAAAGACCAACTAAAAAGACATCACAAGGCCGCAAACGCGGCCGACTATTCTTGTATCGTTATATACAACACTCGAGCACAGACTATCACGAAATATTTCTAGGGAAATATCGAGGCCAGTTCCTGGTTCTTCCCCAGTACCCAAAAGTCATCTAGCTTGAAATAGCTGTGCGCTGAAGAAAGATGTTATCAACTGATGTTAGATCCTGCAACAATTGGAAGGAGACTAATCAGTCCACGACCAGACTCAAGATGTGAGCATGAAATGAACCTCATAGCTGGAATTGGACATCTGAAGTTGATTTGACACCTAGACAGCAAATTTGACGCTCGACATATACTTCGCTGTATACTCAACTGCGTCGGTATATTAGAATATCAGACGGGTTACCACGTAATTCAAAGCTGTTGGGTCCAAGCTTCGCTTTGTCCATTCAGTCCTCTCAGAAAAACAGGTACCAAAACAAGAAAGAATTGGGTGACAGTCATGCACTATAAACCGGCGGTCTAGAATAAAAACACTGCACTATAAATCGGACATCCGAAGAAAGCGCCCCGTACATATAGTGTCACCAGTAAATCCCCGAGCGAGTTGAGGCTGCATAACTCCGGGGGTTACTATCCATGGATGTATGTAGCGGACATAAACCACCTGGGCAATACAGCGCTGGAGATGTCAGCCAATGAAAAACTCACGGAACCGGGGGAACCCATATACCGGTATCCTAATACGGTATATAGCACTGGCGATCGGTTAATGCACGTGACCAATGTGCCGAAGACCCGATAATCGACACCTGAGGCTGAAATTGAGCCACAAATATCAGGTTTCAGGTTTCTTTCCGCATGGACAATGCCCTAATGGCAACTCAAGACGGGTCAGGCCGCCGGTATTCAGCAAAATTTGGGACAAACAGGGGGGCAAATGGGGTCTGGCCAGGGGTCACCCTCGTGTCAAGCTTTAAGTACCAGCCAATCACTATGCTCAATGTTGCAAATTGGAGACCCTGTGGGTTTTCTTCTGGCGGTGTTAAGGGCCTTTTTGCTTTATCGCCGTTCGTAACGGTCAAATTATGCCGACTGCCTGTCTAATGTTTGTGACTATTGATTTGATATAAAAACGTTCCCCGCTGTTGCAGTCTGGTTCATTTTTTTTTTCTAGGGACCCAGTGTCGCGTGCCCATTTAGTTGGCCTTGCATATATATTTTTTTTCTTTCGTTTCCCCAATCATATTGTTGATTAGTTCTCCGTATGAGCATCGATAATGTCAGCCCATAAAGAATCTGGCTCGACCAGATCACGGTCGACATCAATATCCAGTACCGATTCCGAGTTTCAGGCATTAAGAACGCAGTCAAGATCTCAGAGCTTGGCTGGTTCTCTGAGGACTAGGTTACGGTCTTTGTCCAACCCGGGAATGACCCAGGTAGATCGAGTTTATTCGGGACGACATCTCAATGACCAGTCTGTATACCACAGCGACGATGGGTCTAACTATGGTGAAGCGTCCATCGAAAACGAGCAGAAGCCCGACACTATCCAGGAAATCCGGAACGGGATTGTGAACGAGCGCGATCTGGATCTAGAAAAAGCCGTTGCTGCGCAGCCCGAACTTGAAAAATCGAGGACGGCAAAATCAAGCCGGTCTCGTCACGACCCAAAACTAGTAGGTTGCCCCATACTCCTAAATCTGCACTCGGTATTAAGTTGTATAGGTAAATTGGGACGGCCCTGAAGACCCCGAAAACCCGAAAAACTGGAGCAACAAGAAGAAATGGGCTGCTGTAATCACCGTGTCACTATTCACATTTATCTCGCCTGTCTCTTCGTCAATGGTTGCGCCGGCACTGCCGTCACTAGCAGCGGACCTCAAAGTCACGGATGAGGTAGTCTCACAACTTATGCTCTCAATCTTCGTTCTGGCCTACGCTGTTGGCCCATTATTCCTCGGACCACTATCAGAGATATACGGCCGAACCATCGTTCTCCAGCTCGCCAACCTCTTCTTCCTTGTTTTCAATATTGGGTGTGCTGTATCACAAACAAAAGTCCAAATGATCGTCTGCCGATTCTTTGCTGGACTAGGAGGCAGCGCCCCGCTAGCAGTAAGCCAAGCCGGAAGACTCCCCCCAAGGAAAGCTTATATCTAACGGCATCTAGATCGGCGGCGGAGTCCTCTCGGATTGTTTCCGGGCCGAAGAGCGCGGAAAGGGAATCGCAATTTACAGTCTTGCACCACTTCTGGGCCCAGCCCTCGGCCCCATCGCAGGAGGCTTTATCGCTGAAAACACAACCTGGCGCTGGGTGTTCTACGCAACCTCAATAACTGACGGTCTGATCCAATTGATGGGTCTCTTTTTCCTACGCGAGAGCTACGGCCCGAAAATCCTCCTCGACCGCGCTGTCCGCCTGCGCAAGGAAACTGGCGACGAATCCTACCAAACAGAAGCAGAGCGCCAAAATAAGACCCTACCCGAAGTCCTGCGCAGCTCGCTCATCCGACCCTTCCGCCTCCTCTTCACTCAGCCAATCGTCCAAGTCCTCGCCCTATTCATGGCCTACATTTATGGAATCATGTACCTCGTGCTCTCAACATTCCCCACTCTCTGGACAAGCCCAAACTACTACAATGAATCGACCGGTATCGGCGGCCTGAACTACATCTCTCTTGGACTGGGCTTTTGGCTCGGCTCGCAGATATGTGCCCCGCTCAACGACCGCATTTATCGCCGCCTCAAGGCTCGCAATGCCGGTGTCGGAAAACCGGAGTTCCGCGTCCCACTGCTCTTTGTCGGCGCCTTCTTTATCCCCGCTGGCTTGTTCATCTACGGCTGGACCGCTCAATACCACTGCCATTGGATCGCGCCGAACATCGGTGCTGTACTATTTGGTACTGGCAACATTATTGCCTTCCAGTGTATCCAGACTTATATGGTTGATACCTATACACGGTTCGCAGCTAGCGCGCTTGCTGCTGGTGCATTCCTGCGCTCGCTCGCTGGGTTTGGGTTTCCACTTTTCGCACCGTATATGTATAGTGCTTTGAACTATGGGTGGGGGAACAGTCTGTTGGCATTCGTGGCTATTGTCATCGGGGTGCCGGCGCCAGTGTTTTTGTGGAAGTTTGGGGAGACGTTGAGAAAAAGGAGTACGTTTGCGGCTGGCTAGGTCATTGACGAATTCCTTTTGGTATTAGTCTCTTTAGACAGAATTGTTAATTGTTAAATTAATATTTAATTCCTTTAATTCCTTTAATTGCTTTACAATGAAACTAAGAATTAATGGCGAATACGGAAGTGTTCTTTTTGGCATGTGTCCGGGGTTGTCGTCACGAATGCCTCGGCTCGGATCCTATGCCCTCAATATTTTTTTATCTACAACTTAGGACGTGCAATTTATGCCGAAGCACATGCATGTTTTTATTTGTTCGAGATACGGGTACAGATATCACTACATTTCCTCCAATCGACGTTCGATCTGCAGGGGCCTCCGATGTCCTCGTTAGGTATGAGTTGCAACACAGACAAACACGGTGTGCATCTTACACAAGGCTGGATCTGAATGAAATGCCTTCGTTGACTTGACCGACTTTGCACTAAACTCTTAGTACGGAGTATATGAATTATGTACGTATTATAGCCAAGCCTTCTTTACTTCTATCTCCACCGAGATACATACTACTGTGCTGATCTGATCCCAAGGCCGCAGGAGCAAGAAGCATCAGCGGAGATGCCTCATGTATTTAGACCGTTTAGACCCAGTACAAGAACGTTTAGATAGAATATTGATAGGGGTGAAAGGTATGTATTTAGATCAAATGAAATATAGAGAAAACAAAATGAGATTGCAAAGCAGACTATTTACATACTAGTCCACCCGCTTTCCCGTCAGACAGGGGGGGGTATAGAGAATCTATGGTCACATGATAATATGAGATCCGAGACAAATGATTAATCCTATTCGCACTGCGAATGTCTCTCGGTCGACATTAGAAAGGGCAACCGATGGAGCATTTACTCTTCGTGCTTGGTCTCACTGCCGCTGCTCATGGCAGTCTCAGCCTTCTCGGCTTCGGAGATGACCTGGTGGTCGGGGGTATCAAGACCCAGATCATTTTGCATCCGAGTAATCTCGGCAATGGAGAGCTTAGGCAGCTGCTGTGCGACCTGGTAGGGCCACTTGCCCTCAACGTGGGCCTTGGCGAAGATGATATCAACTTCCTCGAGATCACGACCGGCAGTCTCACAGTAGAAGAACCAGGCGAAGGGGATGGCGATGAAGTTAACAAGCGCGAAGAATAGGTAGATACCCCAGTCGGACTGGTTGGAGAACACAGGAGTGAACATGACGACGGCGAAGTTGGTGATCCAGTTCACACAGGTGGAAGCGGAGGCGGCCTTGGTACGGGTGCGGAGAGGGTTGATCTCCGGGGGGTAGATCCAGGGCAGAGGCAGCGTAGTAAAGGCGAAGAAGCAGATAAACAGGAAGATACCGACAATGGCACCCTTAGCGCTCTGCGCGCTCGAGTCGATGAGGCAACCCATAGTGATAATGAAACTGAGACCCTGGCCGAGGAAACCAATCAAGAAGAGGTTACGGCGACCGACCCTCTCAATCATGAAGAAGGATGGAATAGTGGCCAGAGCGTAGACAGTGGCGAAAACACCTCCTAGAACCAAGGGAAGCTTGCCGGTCATATGCAAGTTCTGCTGGAATAGCAGGGTCGAGTAGTAGATAGCGGCGTTGCAACCAGTGAATTGCTGGAAGAACTGGCCAGAGCAACCGATCATCATACGCTGGAAGTTCTGAGTCTTACCACCAGTGAAGAGAATACCCCAGCTGCTAGCCTCAACACTCTGCATAGCCTTAAGATCAGCCTTCATGAGGTTGAAATCGGCAAGCACGTCATCCGCATCGATATCACTGTCGTTAAGCTGAGCGAGGACTTGAAGGGCCTCCTGGTCATGACCCTGCATAACGAACCAACGAGGCGACTCGGGGAGCATGAGAGCACCAACAGTGACGAGAATAGCAAACAGAATCTGGAAGGCGACGGGGAACCGCCACTGAACAGAGCTGTCGACATAAGAGAGACCGAAATCAAGCCAGTAGGCGATGAAGGTACCAACGGCGATGATAGCACCCTCGAAGCAGACGAGGAAACCACGGTTGTGAGCGCGCGAACACTCAGACTGCCACACGGGAATAGTAGCGGTGTCCATGCCGTTTCCAAGACCGGAAATGACACGTCCAACAACGAACTGGCCCAGTCCCCAGTGGGGGCCGAATGCAGCAGTAGAGATAACAGTACCGAGGATCATAAGGAGACCACCGGTCACCAGGAGAGGAGTGCGGCCAATGCGTTGACCGTAGATCATAGTGAAGATAGCACCGAAGAAACAACCAAGTTCGTAACAGGCAGTGACCGCGCCACGAAGGACGGCGACGTGCTCGGAGTCACCATGGAGAGGGGGGAATTCTTTTGTGAATTGGTCACCGGAGATGATACCAGACATCAAACCCTGATCATAACCGAAAAGTGAGAATCCAACGACGGATGTAAAGGTGATGGCAAGATGGAGCTTCTTGCCCCGTAAGCCGGAGGTTGTGGTCCACATGATGAACGTCCTCTATTAGATGGAGAGAGGAAATGGTCAAAGCGACATGGGGGAAAAAAGAAAGCTCAGACACTTGGGGGGGACATTTCGTTCCCTTATATGCATTTAGTCCTCATATCCATTGGGTTAATGCCAAGGGGAGAAAAGGTTGGAGTGACATCGGCGGCGCTACAACATTGGATAGGCAAGTCTTGCGACCCGCCGTGGGGGCCGAGAAGAGCCAAGTAGGGTCAAGCAGGGGCCAAGGACCATATTAGTGGGGTTGCGGGGATGCGACAAGAAAGTCTCGCGGGTTGCCAAGTGTACCAAGCGGCTTAGATTTACCGTTTTGGGCTCTTGGTAATATATCAAACTGCGCTAATTCAATAACACTGTTTGTATTCTGTAGGCGTGTATATTCGCTATGTAAGGGGCTTCGTTGTTTTTTCTTTCACATGGCTTTTGTGGGGGGTGGATCAAATTGATTCCTGGGGGCGCCTTGAGGCGTCTGGAGGTTGCGGGTACGGGCGACGGTGTGTATAACCGGAAGAGGAATCTTATCCGACCCTCCACGACTACTTGACCCTGCAACGACCCATGGGGAATTGGAAATTGGGGGGGAAGTGGATCAGGGGAAGATTTCGTATGGTCATTCGTTGGCCGCAATTAGTAGTCCAATGCTTTTTCTTCTTTTTTTTTTCTTTTCTTTTTTCTTTTTTCTTTTTTGTTTCTTTTTCTATTTCTTTTTCACCTTTTTTTTTCTTTTTTTCCTTAAGCCTCGGGACCGATTGGTGCTCAAGCCTAGCCCGAATATTACGTTACTTAGAAAAATCTCGTGAAAGTTGCCTTTTTCCTCCGAACATCGCCATTCCCGATACCCCGGCCGGTTACGGCGACGGTTCAGCCGTACTCCGTACAAAGTACAAAGTACATTAATTTCCCGGGGTTTCTTTTGTGTGGGATGCCGTCTTAAGAAATGATCATCGGAATCACAAGGCACCTACGGAGTACATGTACTCCGTAGGTTGTAGTGACATGAAATCTGTGAGATATGAACTAACGGCTTGCGTCAGGTCTAACCCTAAGGTCAACATTGATATCTTCTTTCTATTTGAGAGTTCGTTCTATAGAAAGTCTCGTGTAATTCTTTTTCTTATTCTTTTAATTCTCGAAGAAGCACGAAGAAGCCCTTCCCGAAGAAACCATCCGGGAATTATTCGAGTACTGAGACATGTGCTGTTTTAACGTCAAAAGGGAAGTCAAAAACCTCGACCAGAGTAAAAAGTGGGTGGATCCATTTGCCAAGATACCTCCGCATTGGGAAGGGATTAGCCTTACAAAGAGAGTTGATTTCGAAGATTTTCACAGTTAAGCACCCATCCAAGGTGGGTATAATTGCTTACCACTACTTGGCTCATCGACCAAGCATTCCAAGTATTTTCCAAGACAATTCCAAGACTCCAAGAAAGTATATCGAAGCGAAGCATTTGACAACCTTGGAAGCATACCTTGGCCATATGTACATTCGCGATATGGAGTACATATATTGAAAGAAAATGGAGGGGAGAAAAATATTCACCCGGGCCCACACAAGATCCCGGGTAAAAAATACTGAAAAGGCAATTTCTTGGAGTCGAGCGGGCATTATCGGACAATTTACCTCCGATTTGACATTGGGCTACAAAAGTTCTGCATGCGGAAAAAAAAATTGGCAAACTAGATTGGTAGACGTGGTGGTGTGCAGGCACATACTTTGTACACATCTATATTAATTTTCCTATTAGACCAATAATATAATCTCCCGAGTTGTTGTACATATGAGCACCGCAACAATCCTCGGCGCCTTCCCGAATGAGAATATGCGCTCTGTCCCCGATGATGCTATGTTCGATATAAGTACATATAGGTACTTATCCCGAGGCACGCGTTTTGGGTCGTCGCTTCCACAACTCATCATACGAGATGACCGGGGGCCGACACTTTGCGGCACACGGCTTGCAGATCACGGCAAAGCCTTTGAAAGTCAAAGCAAACTCTCAAAAGACGTCATAAAGTCTCCATGAGCCTCCAGGATGTGGCGCTTCTAGGGTCTTGGCGTCCCTCAAGTTCCTCGAGGGAACCATGGAAAATAGATTGCCCTGCGGCATGGCTGAACTTTCCGCAAACCTTCTCGATATGAGCGGGTATCTATGTTGTAGGTACCTAGGTACTTCCAAGGTTGGAAATCAATCCCACTATCGCTGATTATTTGGGGAATCGATCTGCTTTGAGGTCTAGAAGCCAGGAATGTTGATCGGAGTATTTCGAGTTATAGCAGTAATGTGCGTAGTTGAGGTTGTGGTTGAAGAAAACATTCAATTTTAAGAAATGAGGCGGAGAATACTCAATTTGCCAAATTTCAACATAAACTACGCTATTCCAATAATAAGAGAGGGGAGTATGCCTTTTAGCACTAGCTAAATAAATTTCTTGCCAACTTTACGTGTATCTTAGATGTCATAGAATGAGTGCATCCGCAGCATAAAATCGTCTATACAATGTCTGATGTGCGCAAGGATTCGCATTTCAAACGATATCAGAAAGGGAAAAGGGGAAAAGGGGAAAGACTAAGCTCATATGAAACGTCTCTTCTACGAATGTACTAGGTTTATTCGCGATTGATCGATCAAAAATCTAAGTATTATTGTGGAGCAATATATGTATGCATTGTTTGAATGCGGAGATATACATTTCGTGGGGTAGAGGCAATCTGGGGATGGCCCCATACTCATCAGCATAGTCTGTGCGTATCATACGTTGGAAGTCAAATCATGCGACACATTCACAATGGTTGCAATTAAACCGGAGAACCCCTTTTTAACGTGGTAAAACAACATAGCATTCAATCAACTTTTTGTAGACAAGCACAACTGCGTATGTTCACATCTGACATGGAAGTAGTAGTATATCATACATATATGTATGGATCGCTCGTTTACCCAGTGATACCGGACTCCGTCTTACCGTGCTTCTGTAAATTATTAGCATAAATCATCAAGGGAAGAAGGGATAAGGGACCATACCAGAGTACGGTGGTACTTGATGCCGACGTTGTTTCCACTGGTCGCGTCATACGGTACAGGGCTGGTGTAGTCATAGGTAGGCTGAAGACCGTGGTAGGTTTTTTTGACAACCTCGGCAATACCATGGCCAGCAGAGCACTTGCCCTTGGTGGCAGGAATAGCCCACTTGGAGGAATAGTTCTTGGTAGACAGAGGGCCAGGGTAAGTCTGGTTGATGTAGGCATTGCCGGTATCAACTTCCCAGTTGACATAGCCGGTCTTCTCCGCAACAATCTTCAGCAAGTTGGCGCCACAATCCCAGCGGCCAAGCGAGGGAAGACCCCAGTTAGCAGACAGGGAGGCGATGATTGAGTAGTGTGTGTAGAAAGTGTCGTCGGTGGTGCCCTTAAGGTGCTTCGGGATAGCACCTCCAACTAGGAAGCTGAAGACCCGGTTAGGGTGGGAGTAGTTGCCCCCCTCGTCAAAGGTGAGCAGAACTAAGCTATCCTTGTTGAAGTGCTCGTTCCTCAGCAGGGGAGGCAGGAAGCGAGCGACCCAATCGCCGGCCACAGTGATGTCGGTGTCGTGAGCGTCATTAGTCATGTTAGGTGTGATGAACATGTGTTGGGGAAGGCTGTGGTGTTCCAGGTCCTCGTAGAAAGTGGTGAAATTCTTGATTTGGCGCGGGCGCACGGCGTCGTCGGTAACCGAGTCATACAGAACCAGCGGGTTGTGCTTGCGTACGTACTGGTTTGGACCGCTCAGAGGATACCTCATGCCCTGGTAGCCGGCATAGGGCATGTCCTCTTGGTACTCACCCCAAGCGATGTGCTTGGTGTCAAACAGATCGGCAATAGTTGAGACATTGGCGGGGATCTGCAGGAAGTTGTCACTGTCCATGCCGAAAGTGTCACCCCCGGCGGAAGCACAGTAGTTGGGCTCCGAGGGGTGAGTGACGGCAAAGTAGTTGGTCAGGAGGATGCCCTCCTTAGCCAGCTTGGACAAGTTCTCGTCTGAAGCAGCGGTTTCAAAGTCCTGCAAAGGGGTGAGCACGTGGCCATTGTTATCTATGCAAGGGGAAAACCAACTGTATTCTCTAGCCAGATGTTGACGAAGCGATCAAAAACCAAACCCTTTACATTTGACACAGGAGAGTAAGGCAGGACCGTAGCACGGGCTGCATCGATCTCAGCCTGAGTTGGGGTCTTTTCAGTGGTCGTCTTGGCCGCGGCCAGGGATAGGGCCCCGACGAACGCGAGAAGAGTTTGTTTGGTGAACATGTCTGAGATCGCGGTAGTAGCAGCTGCGACGAGAAAGGTAATAGAGGAGCGGGTTGGTCGGGCGACATGCGATCTTATACTCGAGCCAGCCTTAGACGCATAACATTCCCCTCATCTACCGAAAGAATGCGCTATGTTGCACGGCACTTCTAACCGATACCACGTTGTGATCGATGCATGGCTAACTGGCTGCATTTCCAGGCCTTTTATCCCGAAGAGTCAAGGCTTGAACTGAACTGACCTGAATTGAATTAAACCAAGGTGGTCTTCATTGGGTGAATAACAGATGGTGGTCCGGGTACCTGCCCGCTGGTGGTCCCTGCGTTGCACGTTGTTGCTGTCCGTGCCCTAACTGGCTAGTCACCGGGCTCACTGGGTCAAGTGCAATACTTGGCTAACCATACAATGGGCTGCTTTTACCAATGTGATAATAGCTATCCGGATAGCTACATAGCTATACATATTAATTCGTATAATACTTCGTATAAAAGCTTTTGCCCAGAGGGATATATGCTTACCTTTTCTTGGCTTCTCCGTTGAAAACTTAACTCTGGAATCTTCACCACTCTGTGTTCTCATTGAGAAGGACTGTATAGACCCATTAACTATAGTATTCTGGTCAACATAGCTACATATATATATCTACAACAATAGTCGGCCGCTTATACGGTCTTGTGATCTTTTTTACCTTTCTTTTCAGTGGCTTTTTTAGTAGTGTTAGATATCCCCTCTCTTTTCAAGATTTATAGGTGGATATAGAAAAACGTGGAAAACGTGCTTTCTATTTGTCTAACGTTGGATTAAAGTTTAGGTCATACTACCTGTTTGTCTCAGATCTAGCTAAAATAATAACAGTTCATGAATAGAAACACCAGCTCTTCTTCTCTTCCTTCTCCCCTTAGTTGTCAGTTTATGAATGAGGAAACAAAGGAAAACAACCCAAACTCCTTCCTGACACATGCGACCTTTCCATCCATGCATCCCCCAGGTGACCGATGGATATCTAAGCTTTTAATCACATATACTATAGATGCTACAGGTTGCCCATTCAGAACGGGACCACATGCTAATGGAAGAGGTGAGAATTTTGATACACCCAGCCAACTCAGGAGCCTACACAGTGCCAAGAGTAGGGATAATACACGGCTCGCCGTAGCAGCGAAAAAGAAAGCGGTCCGTCCGCGGCAGAATCTCGTGAACTAGAATGTACCAACCGTGAAATGAGCGACAAGCTTGATCACGCCTTCATGAATCTGGAGAGTCCCATAGCGAAAAGTACAAATTAAAAACAGAAACCCTTCTACTTCAAGATGAGCTAGGCAGTGTGATATCCGGCGTGAACACAACTGCCTCAAATGCAGTGAATATTTGCCTATAAGTTCAGGCACTCCAGTCATGTAACCAAGGTAACTCAGTAACTAGCCGCCAGGTGCCTTCTACATGGTGCCACCATACTAACCCCCCCTTTAGAAATCAATCATGTCACACTTCAGTTTTACAAGTCTCTACACTCCCAAATTTATACCCATATACTGGATACTCCTGACCCCTACAACATAGGTTGGTGGTATTACATTAGGTAAGGATCGACTCCTCACTTGGACAGGGCGATGGGTGCCCGAGCTTTCAGCCCCAGTTCAGTCAGCTAACATCTTAGAGATCTTGTGTGTTCAACACACAACAATTTTCATACTAGGTCACTTACCTCTATTTACTTTACAATATGATTTCACTCCTAGATCTACCCGTTGAGGTTGTGCTGCTTATAATCGACTCCCTCTTCTCCGAATTCGCCGCAACCGAACCAGGCAACAGCGACGCTTCTATCGCAACCCAAAAAGACTTAAATGCGTTCTCACAAACAAATAAATGGCTCTATAACCAGATGGAACCCCGCTTGTACAAATTCAACGCACAACATTGTGGTCAAACGTCATTGGCATTCGGCGCCTTCCGCGGCTATGATACAGTCGTTCAGAAGTCTCTGGCAGTACACTCGTCAAAGATAACGAGAGATTTGAGATTTCCAACACACGGCTGTCAAATATTTCATTCTCCACTTTGCTGGGCAGCTCAGGGGGGTCACGTCCCTATGATCGATACACTTCTTCAATCTGGCGCTGATCTTCACGAGGGATGTGTCCACGATCGCTGTGATGCACAGCTTCTTGGCCAGGCTGCAAGAAACGGCCACTTGGATATGATGAAAGACCTTGTACGAAGAGGTCTTCGTCCTGAAATTATGTGGGAAACCACTTTCGCAAATCTGATGAATGAGGACGAACCAGGGCGCAAAGCCACTCTCCGCCTGGCTGCCGAGGGTGGCCATATCCCGTGTGTGGATTACACTCTTACTACGGGAGAGTATGAAAATCTCACTTGCAAACAATATATGCACAAAATAGCGCTGATTGTGCCTGCCACAGTGGCAAACGGCCATATAGAGTGTGCCCTGTTTTTGCTGAGTCGCAGCGGTATCCTTGAGAGAACTGGGTTCTGTAACTGTGGAGGCAAGCCAGCCAAGTCTCTAGCTTCCGATCTTCCCAAACTGACCATGGTATTGGAAGATCCACATATCATGGAGAAGTATGGCGCTATGCTTCTTTACCTAGGAGCCACTACCGGCTGTCCACCTTTATTTGAAGAGATGGTTCGATTAGGTGTCCATATTGATACAAGATTCCGCGGGGGCAACACGCCGCTTTGTCTGGCCGTGATAGAAGCGCGAGCACCCGAAGAAGTAAAGAAACTGTTGGAGCTAGGCGCCGAAATCAACATGGGGAACTCACAGAATCAGACACCACTCTATCTTGCAACTCTACTTCGGCTCAAGGGAGTCATGAAGATGCTTCTGGATGAAGGTGCTGATACCGAAGCACGCGGGACTCAATCCAGGATCACTCAAACCCCGCTTTACCTCGCTGTTGCCAAATTTGGAGTTCCCATATATACAAACCGTCCAAGACGTGCTCCCCGCTCTCCTAGTAACGAGGTTTTGTCCTTGTTGCTGGATAATGGTGCCAACCCCAATTATACTGATCCAGATTTTGGGATCACTCCTCTCTGGCTTGCTGTTCGGGGACACAGCACAATTGGGTCATTTAGTAGGGATGATCTTGTGCGGTTACTTCTTGAGCATGGCGCAGATCCAAAACTAGCATTGCGAAACCAGTCAATCTTGTTCTGGGCTATATCAAGCTGCCACTACGATACGATCAAGATGCTTCTTGACTGTGGTGCCAATCCTAATGACTACGCACGCAATTTTGATGGTTCAAAAATCCGCCTCTCAGGAAAACCGCTCTCACCTCTGGCGAAGGCTATGAAGCTGAAACATTATGAAATGGCTGAACTTCTGCTTGATCATGGGGCAGACCCTCTTGTCTCATATTGGAAAAAGGAAACGTCACTGCTTAATGCGACTGTGTCTATGAACTGTTCGTTCATTGGTAAGATGATTGCCATGGGCTTAGATGTGAATGAGTCTGTGATGGGGCAGACCCCTCTCCATATGGCTGTCTGGAAAGGTAACGTTGAAGTGGCGGAATTACTGCTTCGTCGTGGAGCAGATCCAAATCTCACTGTTGGGGGAACTTCATGCTATTCATCAAAGTCAATCTTGTGGTGGGCTTCTTATGTTTCTCATCGAAGGGGTGCAGCTATGGTAGAGTTGCTATGTGCGTATGGTGCTAGGGATTTATATGATACAAATGTTTACACGGACGGACTCGCACCGAGCTTTGTCCCCCCAGTCTCGGGATACCTATGATATGACAAAGAGGGTGGATTGTTCAGAAAAAAAATCTTCTGCAGATCATAACAGTCCATAGATAGCTCTTCAACTACCCAACAGCCGCTTTGGCAGTGATCCAAAGAGATCAATGAAATACATACATCACAGGTTATACATAGAAAAGTCCCTTGCACGAAGTATGCTTTGTTTTACCGTCTTTCTATACATCTGACAAGACTTCTAGAACAACCATCTTAAAAAGACCAGCTAAAAAGACCAGCTAAAAAGACATCACGAGGCCATAAGCGCGGCCGACTATTCTTGTATACCATAGTTAGTTATCTAGTTCTAACAGTATGTGCGCAACGAATACTCCGTACAGAGATCAAAGTAACATAAAACAATACCAATCCTTTGCTCGTTATTCTTGACTCAATGACTATTACAATGCTATCTTGACAGGTAAAAGAAACAAGAGAAGGAAAAATTAATGACACCATCGATTAGGAGAAAGCGGCACGCGGCTCGTTCTCTACCGACATTGGGTCAGATTTGAGCCAAGAAAAAACCCCTGGTGACATGCGGAGGGTGACATGAATAAAGAAGATGAAATAAAATGTGATAAGGGGTACCAGGGAAGAAGGTGCACGCCAGGGGTAATATTTTTTACACAGAAAGACCGTTAACACCGTTGTTGCTCAGGATTTACTCAGGCTTCTTGCCGACCATGAGGTACATGGGAGTGAAGAGGTTCTTCTGAGCACCTTCAACGAGGCAATCAGCAGCCAAGGCCAGGCTGTCGGCGGTCTTCTGGGAACCCTTGGGGAAGAGACCGATGGACTCGCCGGCACCGACGAAGCGGTGGGCAAGGCCACGGCCCCACCAGGTCATGCGGGCGATGGTGAAGAAGTCCCAGGCCGAACCCATGTGCTTGAAAGAGCCCGCCAGCGGGTAGTACCAGGGAATGGGGTCGGGGCGAGCAGCGAGATCCTCGTGGTGCTTCAGCTCAAAGCCAGCGTTCTTCATGGCTTCGAGACCCTCGGAGATACGGACCATGTTGGAGATACCGTCACCCTGCTCGATACCGAGACGGATGCGACGGTGCTCGGCATCATCGTTGTTGTACTCGTCGGTCATGAGCCACTCGTACACAGCGAAGGTACCACCGGGCTTCAGGACACGGAAGATCTCGCTGTAAACACCGACAAGTTCGGGGGCGTGGACGGTGGCTTCAATGGCGTACACGGCATCGAAGCTGTTATCGGGGAAGCTCATCTGCATGAAGTCGCCCTTGACGAAGGCCATTTTGTCCGAAAGACCCTGCTTGTGCGCGTAGTGGGTAGCGCGGTCGATCTGGTAGTCGTTGTTGTTCAGACCGGTGACGTGAGCACCGGTGAACTTGACCATCTCACGGGCGGGACCACCGACACCACAGCCAACATCCAGAACCTTCATGTCCTCCGTGATACCAGCCTGGAGGGCAAGGTAGTGCTCGTGGCGGGCAATGGCCTGGTGGAAAGGCTCACCGTAGGCGAAGCGGCAGAAGTGGAAGGAAGAACCCCATCCGTACTCGTAAAAGTCGGTGGCCAGGTTGTAGTAGCTGCAAAGAATCATCAGTAAGACGAGCATGTATCAATGGGGTTTATTTCCGAACGTACTGTCGGGTCAAGGTAGCATATTCAGCCTTGCGGGCCTATCACACGGGAATTGTTAGTGATAGGAATCAATTGTTTTAGATGCGCACTCCCATACCTCACGAATCTCAGGTGTCTCATCAGCGGCGCTTTGGTTGTCCCAGTGCTTGAAGTACTCATCGACAGCAGCCTTCTGGGCGGTGGTGTCCTTTCCGAGCATGGCAGCGAGACCACCCTGGGCCTTGGCAGATTTGCCGTGCATAGCCTTGTTGAAGGCGGCATCACGCGCCTTATCCTCACGTTCCAATGCAGAGGGAGCCATGGTGAAGAAACGAGTCGCAAAGATTAAAAAGGGGTAGATTGTAAAAAGAGGCAAACAAGCGTCAATGTCCAAGATTTTTCAAGAGAAAAAGACAAGGTGAACCAAGACTGGAGTTACCACAAGAGAAGCGAAGCAAGAGAGCACAAGTGAAGGGAATGGATAGCGACTTGGAGAAGTAGGAGAAAGGGGAAATAAATAAGAGTCGAATCCCAAGCAACTTTTTGGCAATCCAAAGTGGAGAGCCAATCAGGGGTTCCTCCGAACAACTAGACCGAGCTTTAGTGTCCTCCGGGGGGGGGCTTTGGGGAGTGGCCACACTCTTTTTTCCTCGCGGGACACCAAGTTCCGGTCCTGTGGCTGAGTCGGACACTGCCTCCCGGTGGGAAAAAAAGGTGACCTGAGGGCCAGGATGCACGTGATCCACTAGCCACATTACGCCACACGCCACTTCCATTGATCTTGATAATCCAGCCTTGGAAGCTCCCACCTCTCGGATCGACTAAGCCCATACTATACAACATGCCTCCCCAAATCAAGCATGATTTGAACCGATCCGGCTGGGAGTCGACAGACTTCCCCTCTGTTTGTGAGAACTGCCTTCCCGAAAACCCCTACGTGCAAATGATCAAGGAAGATCATGGCGCAGAATGCAAGATTGTAAGTCTTTTTTTTTTTGCTTCCTCAAAGCTAGTTCATAACCAAATACTAACTAATTAGTGCACGCGCCCTTTCACCATCTTCCGTTGGAAGGCCGATCGGACCTCCCGCCAAAAGCGATCCATCATCTGCCTCACATGCGCGCGCTTGAAGAACTGCTGCCAATGCTGCATGCTAGATTTGTCGTTCGGTCTTCCCCTTGCTGTCCGTGATGCTGCTCTCAAAATGGTCGCCCCAGGACCGGAAAGCTCCATCAATCGCGAGTATTACGCGCAGAACAATGAGAAGGAAATCGAAGAGGGCCGTGGTGCCATCGAAGAGTACGAAAAGACAGACGACAAGGCTCGCGAGCTTTTGCGACGACTTGCCAACAGCGAACCATATTACCGCAAGCCCCGACGGATCGAGGCACCCACCGAGGAAGAGAAAGGAGAGGAAAGTACGGCAACAGATCAACCGCGAATAAACAGCCGCTATGGAAATGGGCCCGGTCCGGTTCGTACTAGTGAAAGCCGTGTCGGAAACCGCCTTCCAGGTCGTGGAGGACGAGGTGGTGGTCGTGGTGGTCGCCCATTCCCCAGTACCACCCAGTTGCCGCCCTCAGCTGCAGATATTCTTCCCCCTGCGGATCCCAACGTCACTTCCTTGTTTATTACAGGCGTGGAAGACGATCTGCCTGAACACGCGCTACGCACATTTTTCAGCGAATTCGGGCAGCTCCGGTCACTTATTTGCTCCCACCGCTCCCACTGTGCTTTCATCAACTACGTCAACCGCTCGGACGCCGAAACCGCGGCAAACCACTGCCAAGGCAAGGCTATCATTCAGGGCTGCCCTCTGCGTGTTCGTTGGGGAAAACCAAAGCCACTGGATAATCTGGATCGCGAAGAGAGAATGCAAAATGCCCGCGAGGGTCGCCAGACTGTGGGATCGGTTGGCAAAGGTAAGCAAGCAGACCGACGAGCCATTACCTCTGCAGGCGAGGGTGCTGGCCAAGAGAAAGCTCAGCCTCATGTTGTTGCACCGCCGCCCGGGTCGGGTGAGGTCCAGTATGCCAGTATGAATGGCGACTGAACAAATTGTGCGCAGAGATACCATTAAATCAAATCGAGGTCGTATGTAACTTAGGGTTTGGAGCGGGCGTTGTCAAGGATTGGGTTATTCTATGCAGATCTATGTACTTCAATCGAAAATACCCCGAAGACGCCAATGGATAAAAGAGTCGGGTATCTTATAATACATGTCCGGTCACTGTCGTAGCTTAGTGTAGTGTTTCATATGCCGTTGGTTTGACATAGGCTCACAGACTGGCTTCGACGTCGTTTTCAGTGTCAATTTTGGACTTTGAATGGACTCGGAGAGTGCGCTCAGATTCAACTGAGCATCATAGTAAGGGAGAACTCCCCCATCATGACGAGCAAGCCTTGTGAATCTTAACATCCTGATCACCGACTTTGATAGAGTCGTTATCACCGCGTTCGATCTGGTCGTGGATATTGAGTTCTGGAGAAACAATATCTTGTTAGTAAACAGTTGTATGAGCGCCATAGGTACCAAGTCATGAAGTTAAATCGCGAGATCAATGAAACACATACCCCACTTAGCAGTTTCATCTCCCTGCTGCCTCGAGCCTTGGACGATGTTGTGACGCAGGATGTTCGCAACCTCGATCGCGTGGTTGATTTGCATTCCAGTGTCGACGGCCGGGCGACGGTTCTTCTCAAAGTTCTGGCGCGCTTCTTGGCGCGCAGCGGTGAGGACCGGGAGATCGTCTATAGCGGATGTCAGTACGAGGGAAACAGATGCCTCGGTGGCGGTTGTGTTTGTCAAACGAACTGTGGAAGACAATCCGGGTGGACCGGAGGAGTTGTCGATAGGCACTCTTAGCGGCAGCGGCAGTTGAGGCGGCCATAGTGAGAAGCGGAATGCACAGAGAAGTATAGACGTGGGTTTATGTAGGAACAGGTAGAGAAGCACAGGTTGCAAATTGTCGTGGCGGATGGTCGGTACAGACAAGGAGACGAGATAAAGTTATGGCTGATACTGTGGATGCGATGAAGGAATTACAATTGTTAGAATAAGAATGCAGATCGACGAGGCCAGAAGATTTGAATGTACAAGTTAACAGAAGAAAGTAAGGCCTGGCGCCATCGCCAATCTCGAACCTCCAAAACATCTGACCTGTGATTGGCTGGAGGGGCGGATATTGGGGGCAGAAAAAAAGGTATGCAAAAAATTCCATCGCGGGACCCAACGCTCTCCACCCACAACTTGGTACCATCACCAATACCATTTACAATGGCTGCTGCTCAAGTTGTTGACATTTCCCTCCCTACCTTGCCTCAAGGCTGGGCTGGCGAGAAGGATTTCAAGATTGTCGGTGCTCTTTCCGGTGCCACCAAGCGCAACGTGGAGCCCGTTGGCCCGCACTTCCTGGCTCACGCTCGCCGAGTAAGTTCTCCAAATTCACTCATTTTTCTGTTTCGTCAAAATTGACCACCCTTTAGTCTCGTCACAACCGTACTTTCTCCGAGGATGAGCGCATTCAGGCCCAGAACAACGTCAAGAAGACTGAGACTGAGGAGGATGATGATATCTCTGAAGATGAGGACCCTATGATGCTTGCCCGTGAGGCCAAGGACTGGAAGGTTAGTAATGCAACATTTATCCTGGTCGATCACTATCTAACTCCTAGCAGGGCCAGGATCACTACGCCGTTTTGGGTTTGAAGAAGTACCGCTGGCGCGCAACCCCCGAGCAGATCAAGCGGGCTCACCGCAAGAAGGTCCTGCGCCACCACCCTGACAAGAAGGCCGCTCAGGGTAACAGCGACGAGAACGACAGCTTCTTCAAGTGTATCCAGAAGGCTACCGATCTGCTTCTCGACCCCACTCGTCGTCGCCAGTTCGATTCCGTCGATGAAAACGCCGATGTTGAGGCCCCCACCAAGAAGGTCACTGGTAGCAAGTTCTACAAGGCCTGGGGCCCCGTTTTTGTTGCCGAGGGTCGCTTCTCCAACAAGCAGCCTGTGCCCACACTCGGAGACGAGAACAGCACCCAGGAGCACGTCGAGACTTTCTACAACTTCTGGTACAATGTTGACAGCTGGAGGACTTTCGAGTATCTCGATGAGGATGTGCCTGATGATGGAGAGAGCCGTGACCAGAAGCGTCATGTCGAGAAGAAGAACGCCAACGCCCGCCGCAAGCGCAAGACTGAGGACACCGTCCGTCTGCGTGAGCTCGTTGACGAGTGTCTCGCTTCCGATGAGCGTATTAAGAAGTTCCGCCAGCAGGCTCGTGCCGGCAAGGACGCTAAGCGCCTCGCCAAGGAGGAAGAGATGCGCCGTCTCAAGGAAGAGAAGGAGAATGCCAAGGCCGCCGAGGAGCAGCGCAAGAAGGACGCTGAGGAGGCTGCCAAGGCTGACCGTGAGAAGAACAAGAAGGCTAAGGAGGCCGCTAAGAACGCTTCCAAGAAGAACAAGCGTATCCTCAAGGGTTCCGTCAAGGATGTCAACTACTTCGCCGCCGGCGAGCCCACTGCCGCTGATATCGACGGTGTCCTCACCGATGTCGACCTCATTATGGGCAAGATCGATGTTGATGAGCTCGCCGCTCTGGCTGAGAAGCTCACCCTCGCCGGCACCGATGGTGCTGCCGTCAAGACTGCTTGGTCTGGCGAGGCTAAGCGCCTTGTTGATGCTGGCAAGCTGAAGGCCGGCGAGGCTAAGGTCTTCGTTTAAATATTCTTGTCTACCAGATAGATGAGGGGTAGCCTATATACCTAGGCTTTCCTGATTATGACTATTCACGCCACATAGAGTAGAAAAATGAATGGTGCTCTTATCTCAACCCGGTGTATTATCTATCATCTATAATTCTTCTCCTGTTTATAAATCGTCCTAGTTACTCGATTCCGCCTTACGTACCCGACAGAACAATTGACTCTGAGACTATGGGCTAATTACAACTTCCAAGGTTACTACATTCAGCCAACTGCATATCTGACCACTCCCAGCCAAGTGATTGGTCATGGCCAGAATAGTACCTCGCTATCTTATGATCTACTTCTACACGTCGGCGCCATGGATGTCTCTAGCGAGGGTAAGTATGTTTAAAGTGATCCCCAATACTTCCATCATCTTAACTAGTGGAGGCACTTAGAGCGACAACAACCGAGACTTCGACGGATTGTACGAGTCGCCAATGACAAATTGCTTAAATACGGACCGTCCCAAGATATAGAACTTGAAGCCAAGAATATGCGCTATATAGCCGAGAAGACAACCATCCCGATTCCACATGTTCAAGAAATCCAAATCCATGATAGTGACGTTAAGTCTATCTTAATGAACTATATTGAAGGCCGCACGCTACAAAATGCCTGGTCCAGCATGATCCCATCACAAAAAATGTCCGTCGCACAGGAACTGCACGGATATATAAAGCAACTACGAGGGCTAAAACATGAACATCGGGGACATTTCAGTTATAAAGATATGTATACCAGATACCCAATCTGCCTCGACGAACACTTATTTTCGAGATTGACCACCTCAAACCCAGAATGCCTGCGAAATTATACGGCCCCTAAACAGCCAGAGGACAGTACGGTCTTCACGCATGGCGATCTGGCATCGAGAAACATACTGGTTGACGATCATGGCCATGTCACTGCAGTATTGGATTGGGAGCTTGCAGGTTGGCATCCTGAATGGTGTGAAACTGTTAGAGCGTATACTTTTTGCAGTGATATTCCGGGATGGACCGCCTATCTATCGGCTGTTTTCCCACCAGATCATGCAACAGAGTATATGGCTGTGGCATTTGCTAGACATATGACGCGGTGAATTGGATGTGATGTGTCTATTTAGGCAGAGTTCATTTTGAAAGCCATCAAATCATTTCCTCTCTCATGAATCCACGTCCGACAATTCATACCCCCACTAGAAATAGGCATATTCCGGAAAAATACGCGAAGAACGGCCGAGCATAAACCCCAAAATGGATCCGACACTCAATCAACCCAGAGATGGCTGGAACCCTATTCTGTGGCAAAAAGGAGCTAGGAGGCTATGCTGGCGTTGTTATGAAAATCGCCGATTATGGCGATACTACTTCGGCTTGTATCTACATCGAGGATGAGTCCAGTGATCAATCCTTAACCCCAACGACACATGTTACTCCTAGCTTTCAATATATTCCGAGATAATGTAATCCCAAACCCACGCAATGGATATGTTAACCGCGGCCCGATTTCGCTAAGCTTCATGATTAGTGATCTAGCCTGCATGTCCAGGCGAAAGCCGAAGCGTGGCCTGACATATAAGCTAGCAATATATCTCAGCAAATGACAAGGTAACTGCAATATAGTTCATCTCCAGCAACCACAATGATGTTCGACCCAGACACTATCGATATTCCCAAGTCTTACGAAACTCTTCCATTGACCGATGTTAAAGTCTCCCACCACCCGGCTGGGGCCGTTGAAGCTACCCCTGTTATTGTGGTGACGCTGGACCGACCAGAAAAGCACAATTCATTCACTCTAGAGATGATGCATGTGTTTGAGAAGATATACCCTATGTTTGATGTTGACGAACGCGTCAAGGTTGTGGTGCTTACCGGGGCTGGCAAAATGTTCTGTGCTGGTGCAGACCTTGAGAGAGGATTTAGTGGAATGGAGAAGGAGAGAAACAAGGACCATCGCGATAGGTAAGACAACAAAGCCCCAGCCCATAGCTCTTGTATCAAATTATCTTACTAATACCGATATCAATAGCGGCGGCCGTCTCGCCCTGGCCATCCACCGCTGCCGGAAGCCTACTATAGCGGCCATGCAGGGCTCTGCTGTTGGGTTGGGTATGACAATGTCTCTGCCGGCTGCCATACGCATTGGCTGCCAGAAATCCAAGTATGGATTTGTCTTCCCGCGACGGGGTCTGACGATGGAATCAAGCTCTTCATTCTTTCTCCCGCGGTTGATTGGTTATTCCAATGCTCTTTACTTAATCACCACTGGTGGCACCTTCCCACCTACGTCGCCGCATTTTGGGACGTTGTTCCAGGAGACATACCCTGATCCAAATCAGGTAGTTGCGCGTGCGTTGGAGCTTGCCATGGAAGTTGCAGAGAATGTTAGCCCCATGGCATCATATCTTTCGCGGGAACTTATGTGGCGGAATCCAGGGAGTGCCGAGACTCACTTAGTTGATTCGGCAGTGTTATACCACATGTTTAGCGGGAGGTACGTTTTCTCCTACTCGTTTCATCAAGCCTCGCCGGGAAGGTTCACAAGATAGAAATGACACTGATCGTGTTATAGGGACTCAAAGGAAGGCATCAAAGCATTCTTCGAAAAACGAAAACCAAATTTCAATGCAACTCTTGAGGGTGACGCACCGCACGAGTTTCCTTGGTGGTCTGATGTTGATACAGGGAGACGTCCGAAGGCAAGCAAGGCAAAACTGTAGGCAAGGGCCACTGGCGTCCACCAGCCTAGAGTGTGCACGCATAGGTACAGGGGGCAACAATAAATAGGATAATGTAGCCAGACAGAGATGTGATGATGAGAATCCTTGGCACAGCCATACGAAAAATGAAGAGATATCCGCATAACAATAACGCCAAGTGAATATTCGTCCAGGTATTCCTTTGGAGGCGGGCTTCTGTGGAATTTCATCAATACAGAGCAAATGGCCAACATCAAATCAAATCAAATTGGAATATGTGACTCGAGAAGGCAAGCAGGTCCGGGATGCGATGGAACTCTTTTCAGGCGCATTCCCTCTGAGATAAAGTTAGAACTGAATCTGGCAGCCGCTCCTAACAGTCTCCATAATTTCCAGTTCCACCCAGCTCTATCCAGCTCCAATTGTGTAACCCAACCTCACCTCATACCTTTAGTCCCACAAAATTATACTAGTTTGCAGTTGTCGAACTGCTTAGGACTATATGAGACGAAAGTGGCCATTATGACAGCATCAATGAAAGAAACACAACCGCTTGTTTTATAGATAAGTAGTCGTAATTTGATGTCAAAGTATTCAAAATATGAATAGCTAATTCCTCATGAGCTCTGCCATGGCCTCCTTTCCATCACTTGGGATCCGGACGCGGTCCTGAACACAGAAGTAGACGATGGCATTGGATGCAGAGACACCGGGTCCTGGAGATTGCCATCTCGCTGCGTAATGCGCTCTTTAATCCAGGGCCGGAGGTTGAACATACCGCCGCAGATAAATATGCCCACCCAAAGTGTAAGCTCAGTTCCATAGATAATAATCCCAAGGACGTCAATAGTCGATCCAAACACTGCTTGCATATTAGCCATTGACCATCTCTGCCTGACAATCAAGTTGACTTACAAATAGAGACGAGCGAAAACAAGTCACCCGCAGCATCAATTCCAACAAATATGAAGCTGATTCCCCGAACGGTCCGGTGGACATAAATATCCCAGTAATGTCTCAGTACACCTGCTGCAAGTAAACATGCACTTAGAACTGCCATCACGATGAGAGGCCATTCCAGTCCATGGCGCTTTGCAGCCCGCAAGGCAAATATGAGTCCAGCTTCAATGCCGCCCAGCAGCAGTAGAAGCGAAGTGACTGCGACACAGCATTTCATGATTGGGTATTTCTGAGGCTGAGTGAATATTACGAGTATCATGTTGGATAAAAAAAGGGGTTACCTTTCCATAGTAAAGACACTGTGCCCAAGTAAGGAGACTGAGTGTTGTCAGAATTTGGGGCTGAATCCTTAGGGCAATGTTGAATTCCTCCACGATGTTATACACCCCGAGGGGAACCCCTGCGACAGCCCATAAGAGCATCATTGACCCTTGTAGCCCTTCAGTATCATGTCTCCTGTAATTAATGATTATCTGAGGAAGGAGCTGTATACGGAAGGGGTTAGCGCGGGCTCAAAGACAGTTCGTACAAAGCAACCGCATACTTGGATAGACCAGCAAACCTAGAATGAATAGTTAGTTTGATCTACCAACCTTAGTGAGAAAATGTCACTCACCGCGCCCAGGGTACCTAGAACATTCTCTGCGATTTGATTGCCCATTTGTAATGGGGCTTTGTTATTGGAGCGAAGGACAGACCTTGGAAGAGACCGGGAATGGAATCTGATAAGAATATATTTGTGACACGTGAAGGTGGGCCAATTTATCCACTTCTCATTGGATTAAAGTTGCATCTCTTGTTCTATCGTAGTTCGAGTAGGATTGCTTATACTTTTGACGAGCAAAATTCAAAATGCTATTCCAAGGTTGTATTCCCTTGATGAACACAGGCGGGGTATCATATCTCATACCCAGATTCTACAAATTCCCAATCACCCCGGGAACTTAAGCGACATGTGTGATCGGGAGAAGTACAGGCAATGACTCGGGTAAAAAAAAGAAATGAATGTTCTATTTAAAGACTTTTTCTATCTGTTTGATTTGATAGAAGGTCGTACGTAAAGTCCATACGTAGATGGGGATGTGAAGAGTGGAGGCGTTGGTGATTAGACCCTGAAAGGTGAAACGAGTCTAAACTGTCAAAGTCTAGTTGAGGGATCGATAGCGATCGGAATCCAAATCCGGTCACTGAGTGGAAAGTCAACCAAATAGTATAATAACTTTTGGAGTAAACAACATTTTTGGTGACAACTATGTTGAAGTCAGGGGCATTTGAAACATTCTACACGGTATTTAAAACATCATGGTAGATATGTGAAAGGCCCAACGAAAAGAAAATATACCTTAGGTGAGATTAAACGATGTAGAACCATGGATATGTCAAAGGGAATCATGGAAGACTCGAAGGTTTCTCTGCCGATCGGATAAGGGGGGTTTTTTTTGTGTATGTTGTACCCTGTTTTGCCCCGGCTGAGACGTCCGCATGGTTGCCACCTGTGCCACCTTATTTTTGGATATTCCAGCCACCATTTTTATACCTGCAGTTTGACCAAGATCGAAAGAATATCAGCAGAGGAAAGTGGTATTTTGTACGGAGCACTCCGTATGATTGTCTGAATCCTCTCGGCCTTAGGGGAAGAGTACGTATGCATCTGCGTAAGACAGGCGTTCCAGCCCCCCCACACTTACCCGAATAGGACTAAATGATAATCAAATCGGGATGATATCATCGGGAATGAAAACCCGTTGTCGGGGGTTTCCACATTGTGTGCATGTACGGAGACGGAGTACAAATTCCTGCAGATTTGTTGAATGGCTGGGTTCGACCCAAGTCTAAATACAGCATATACGTGTGGGATGCCCTGGACGTAATCGATGCTTGGCATCTTGAAACATCCATGGATATCATTTTTCTCCTTTAAAAAAAGGAAATTCCTAATCTCGAAATATTGGTGGGTCCATAATAAATTGTGGACTTTCCCCTGTCAGTCTTTCTATCTTTCTAGACCCTTAAGAACCAGACCACCCCCCTCGACTACTTGCGCTTCTATAACTGTCTACAACATAGCCTTCTCTACCAAATACGGTCTATACATTCGTTCCCAAGACACCATGGTCTCTACTCTTCGCCTCTGCCTCCTGGCCGTGACTCTATTTTTCAACTTCTCCTCCGCATTCCCTCTCATCAGCCGCGAGGTTCAATGGTCTTTCACCCTTTTCCCGTCACCCTCATGTAACGGAACTATCGGTGACCCTCACGTCGGATCTGGCAGCACAGGCTGTCGCGCCGATCTCCACAGCGTTGCCTCTGCCTACACCCTGAACTCTGTCGCTGATGGCTGCCGCATCGAGTTGTTTGATAATACCATGTGCGACCAGAATGAACTCTCCGACATCGCCAGCCAAGCCAATGCCACTCAAACTTGCCACATCGCTGAAGCAAGACGCCGCTACGGCTCCTACCAGGTCACATGCGCTTGAACACCTTCAAACCTCTTTTCGAATGTCACTGTTTGAAACAGCCAAGGGTCTCGGGCGGGCTCCTAGATCCTATGCGCAATATGTTCGAAACTCCGCTGGGAGGTCGATTGGGATCCCTCGGTGGGAAAGGATATGTATATACTTTTTAATGATACCCTTAGATCAAATGAAATGAGTTTACGACCGTCAAAAATTTTTCCAATCTTGCGCTATTTTCCTACTACTTACTAGTCGACGGGGTTCCAATCCATGGCAATCGCTGGTCTGTTTTCTGGTATTTGGTATCGGATTGTGTCGAAGGCCGATGCAACACGGATATAATGAACATAGAGGAATTCGAGTAGTCATAGACAGTGCACTATCTCACCCCTCCTTCACAGCGGCGAACATTCATGCGTGGCCTCGTAGGCTGACTGGGATCAGCTTGATGAAACGGGGACGCGCAATGGTGGGTAGGTAGCCTGATACATCATGTAGGGATCATTTCCCGCGTGACGCGCCAGGGTACTTAAACCATGTATGAAATAATTAATTAGGAAGATTGCTCACACGATACGATGCCCAACGATCTTGACTTGTCCAACTCCATTGTTGACGTGCATGATGTTATGACACTGCGCTTACGAATGTACATGTTCCTGCAACACTCTTCTCGTATGACATGTATATTTAAAGTGCGGCTGTGACACTATCTTAGTAAACAAAGCTCTACAGGCTTGTATGTGTGGCTCTCATTTGCCAGAAGTCATCGGATCTTCTCAGTATCACTCGGAGTTAAGGCAGGGTCCTTCCAAAATTGGACAAACCCCGAGGAATCCTACATCGCCGCAAGCGGATATGCATATTTTCATGTGTAATTGTCAAGCTTTTAATATAGCCCAATCGCAGGTTTTCATAGTCACATATTCTCTACAAGCTGTTCGATTATGACGGTAAATGTTGAGGTATTAGACGGTGACACTAGCCCACCCGCGGCTGTATCATTCTTTGATCCATCTCTCAAGGAGGTTCGACGGCGGGTATTCTACCAATGGGCTCGCACTTGTGAGCAAATATCCAAAATTTCGGGCACTCGCGGAATGCAAGGGAAACTAACAGAAATTATTAGTGTTAATTTTGTGCGTTTTCGCGTTCGGTGTGCTATCTCTCTTCTGGGGAGTCCAATACAACACCGAGGCCAAGCTCCCAGCGTTGAAGGTATGGATTGTCGATTTCGACGGCAAAGTTGATCCATATCGCTCTAACGAAACCATCGTTGGTCCAACGGTTACGGATGCCAGCAACAGAATAGTGCAGTCCGACGGCCTTCACCTCGGCTACACTATCAAGTCCCCCGCCGACTTCAACTATGACCCTTCGGCCGTGCGCCAGGCCATTTACCATGAACATGCCTATGCGGCTGTGATAATCAAGGCCAACGCAACAACTCTGCTTCGAGATGCAGTCACCAATGGCAATACATCCTACGATCCGACCGGTGCCATTGAGATAGTACTCATCTCTGCGCGTGATGAAACAACCTACTACAACTATATCCTACCCAACCTGGCCATCCTACAGGGCATGGTGCTAGCAGAGTTCGGTCCACAATGGGTTCGGTCTCTCACCTCATCTGCCAGAAACCTGTCATCTGTGCCCCCGCAGGTGATCAACCCAGGCATTGGGTTCACAACCGTCGACCTACGTCCTTTTGCCCCGGCTGTCGCTGCACCTGCCATGACCATCGGATTGATCTATCTAATCATCATTGCGTTCTTCAACTTCCCATTCATGATGCCTATTCATGCCCAGTTCATGAAACCAGATGGCCATCCACCGCTGAAGGTGCCACATTGGCTCATTTGGCGCATTCTCTCGAGCATCATGGCTTACTTCGTCCTTTCGTTATGCTACTCACTCGTATCTTTGGCTTTCAAGATACCATTCAGCAATGACTCTGCGTCGGAGGTTTTATCCGCAAACAACGCCAATGCCTATGGTCGTGGCTCATTTGTCGTGTTTTGGATGTTGAACTGGGTTGGCATGGCTGCGTTGGGATTCCCCTGTGAGAACATGGCAATGGTCCTTGGCTTCCCATGGAGTGCTTTATTCCTTATCTTTTGGGTTATCACCAATGTTGCCACAGGGCTCTATGCTACTGATCTGGCTCCGAAGTTCTATAGATGGGGGTATGCATGGCCGTTACATCGAAGTGAGTTCCACCCCCTCATCGTGGTCACGGTGCTCTGTTGCTGACGACCAACTTTCCTTTCTAGTTGTCGATGCTCTACGAACCATAATGTTTGATATCCATTCCCGCATTGGATTGAACTTTGCTATTCTCTTCATTTGGATTGCAATATCCTTGGCGTTTTATCCTTTCGCGGCCTTCATCATGCGGTGGAAGATGCAGCGGGGGATGTAATGCAGGGATAAAATAGAAAGCGAACAGGCAGGGGGTAGAAAGTGAATAGGCAGGAATATTTTAGGGCAGTCTTTTTAACACCCAGTGGACTGCCTTAGATTTTACCTACAGTATAGTTTATAATATCATATTTTTCTATTATCTAATTCCCGCCCAACCATGTGCATTATCGTATATTCATCTATATAATTTGATAACTGGCTTAGACTTACTAAGGGGGCTATTTAAACACTATATAGAACTAAAAATTCCACCCAGGTGCTGTGTAAAGGCCCTACTTGTACGACAGTCTCAATGTTGAAAGCAAGAGTATATTCTTCTTAGATTGATTAAAACTTAATGCTGCCCCTAAATAGTACTTAAATAAATGAATGAAATGGCCAAAATGCATTCAGTCACGTCAGGTGAAAGGGCCCGTGGAGGTGCACGTACTTGTGCAAGTTCAGCCCTAAAATGCTTCTTCCTCTAGAGGTACCTCTTCCACCCGCGAAATCCTCCGCTAACAGCATGTCACTCAAGAGTATCCTTACTCTTTTAAGTGCATGTTTGTCACATTGCTTCAATTTACTTATTGAGACGCACGTGCCCTTCGACAGGTACTTACTCGCCCTATCAATTTGGCGCACAACCCAGGTACCTTGCTCCTATAGGCAGAGCTGGTGAATAGATCAATGTACCTGTCACCTAACACAAGATGCATCGCCCTTTGATCCACTACCTATTTATTCTAATTTCTTGCGTCTTTCTTTCTTTCTTCTTCCTCTTTCTCTCCTAATTGAGCATCTCGCATTGGCAGACTGCATTTCGCATGTGCTGTGATCTTTTCTCTATTTGCTTCCCATCGTTCACCTTCTACTATCAACCTAGTAAGATGGCTACTCTCAACCCTCACCTGCACGCGGGCTTGGCCACAAGAGAGCGCGCTGCAATGGATGCAGACTTTCAATTCCGGCACAATCCCCACGAGCGTCGTCGTCGCGCCCTTGCTGAGCTTGACGAAGCCCCCTTTACATGGGCACATCTCCACACCGTTATCATCGCCGGCCTAGGCCTCTTCACCAGCGCTTACGAAACTTTCGCCATCAACCTAACGGTCACCATGCTGGGTATGGCTTATTGGCAGGGCGAAGACTCTAGCTCTGGTAAGATTCCTTTCAGTGTGGAAACTGCCATCAAGGTCGCTACTCTTGCTGGCGCTGCGATCGGTCAGACCCTCTTCGGTTGGCTCGCAGACCGTATTGGCCGCAGACGCATGTACGGCTATGGGCTGATGGTTATTATTTTTACTACTCTGGCTCAAGTTGTGTCCTCCTCCTCTCGTATCCCTACTATGACTGGTCTTTTTATCTTCTGGCGAGTCATCATGGGCGTTGGAATTGGCGGTAACTATCCTCTTTCTTCTGTGATTACTTCTGAGTAAGTTCTCTTGTTTCCATTTTTACCGAGAGACAATGGCTGACTTGACAGATTTGCTACTACTAAGTGGCGTGGTGCCATGATGGGTGCCGTCTTTGCCATGCAGGGCCTCGGCCAATTTTCAGCCGCCATAGTCGCCTTGGCTGTCACGGTTGGTTTCAAACAGCCCTTGGAAAGTGCCAAGGATATTTCTCACTGCACTGGGGCTTGCCAGCTCGCTGTCGACAAGATGTGGCGTTTGACCATCGGAGTAGGGGCCATTCCCGCCTGTTTTGCACTTTTTTACCGTCTGGCAATTCCCGAGACGCCACGATTTAGCTTTGACGTCACCCGCAACATCGTTAAGGCCGATAAGGATGTTCGCAAATACCTAAGGAAACGAAGGGAGAGCGGCACAAGGGAGCCCCTGTACACCCCTCCCGTGCAGATTGGTATCCCCGACTTTGGTCCTAAGGCTAGTTGGTCCGATTTCTACAGTCACTACTCCCAGTGGAAGAATGGTAAGGTTCTTCTTGGTACAACAGTTTCTTGGTTTGTCCTTGACATTGGTAAGTCCAGAGAAGTCCACGGAAGTCCTCAATCCTGCCCAGTGAGCTAACATTGAATCAGCATTTTACGGTCTTTATCTGAATAACTCGATTATCCTGGGCGCTATTAACTGGACTAGTGCCAACAATGTTTACGAAGTCCTGTATCGCAATGCCGTCGGAAACCTTATCTTGATCTGTGCTGGTGCCATTCCTGGATGCTTGGTTACTATCGCCACTATTGACAATTTCGGACGCAAGCGTATTCAACTCCTGGGATTCCTCATGCTCTCTGTCCTTTTCGTCGTGATTGGCCTTGCTAACCTGGGCCAAAATGACAGTGGCCTACTTGCTCTTTACCTTTTGACACAATTTTGCTTCAACTTCGGTCCCAATGCAACCACTTTCATCGTGCCCGGTGAGTGCTTCCCCACACGTTACCGTGCCACCGCTCATGGAATCAGTGCAGCCGCCGGTAAGATTGGTGCCATTATCGCGCAGTGCGTCTTTGTTCCCCTTGTTTACCGGGGCGCAAAGATGCCCGGTGACGCGCCCTGGCTCAACCATGTTATGCAAATCTTCTCCGGGTTTATGTTTTGCGGTTTCGCAACGTCCTTCTTCATCCCCGAGACGAAGCGTCAGAGTCTGGAGGTAGTTTGTGGAGAGATGGATCCACCTCCTCGAACGCAGTATGCATACGTCAGAGATGGAATCCTCCTTCAAGAAGTTGGGCCTGTGGGTGTTTCCGCCGCCCCAAAGCCTTAGGGGTTTTGCATGGCGTTTTGCTAGGTTCCAGGGCTTTTAGCTCTCTTTGATAGCCTTTAGCTCTCTCTCAAATAACTATTCAATTAGTCTCACATTTAACCATACATTTCGACGTAGTCCTCCTAGTCGGCCTCATTTGCCAGGCCCTGAGCTCTCGTTAGTTCTCTTCATTACTATCCGGTGTTTCCATTTATACCTCTTTATGTTCTAGCAGCTCACCGTCCCATAAACACCATTCGCCACCAAGCTGTCGTATCTCATCGCCTCATGTCTCTGTCTCAATCTGTCAATCCAAGGCTTTGTCTAGCCCATTCCATAGGGACCAACTAGATTCCGCCATATCGATGCCTCATCTTCGGCCTTGTCTAGACCAACCCAGCTTCGTATAGTCACTCTATAGGCCAGACTTATACGCGATTTTCTATCTACGAGAATCTCTTCTAATGAGTCTTCCGGTGGCAGCTTCGCCTAGCCTAAGCTCTCCGAGCCCATGCTACTCCATATCAGCGAGACTAAGTTTACCTCACAATCTAACACTCCTAAATGCGCTGTCGACACCGATGATTTCAGGTCTTTGAGCCTCTGAACGACGGATACACTAAGCCAGATACCAAAAATCTGCCCCCCTCTCGAATGGACTCGCAAGTTATACATCAATACCGTGCCTAACGTCTGAATCTTCTTCTAAAGTTTCCACAAGCGCTTCACTGTTCACACTTTTCACACCGGCGTCGAAAGGTCCCGTAATTAGGTCTCTCTTAGTATGGCGACCCCTACCAATCCACAAGATCTCTTTACGCGGCGTACCGGCTACGCCGAATTCACCAAGCCGTGAAGGCACTTCAACCTTTCGACTTCCGCTTAATACTTTTTCTTCCCTATGTTAACCAATTATTATTATATTCAAGTATGCTTTTCGGCGTGGCCCTCTTATTATGCCTCTCTGTTACGTTAGGAAGACCCATCGATTCAAAGAACTATATCGAGAAGGGGCTCTAATTCACGGCGTCTTCTGATCCCAGGAAAGAGAGTTCAATACTCTTTCTCCGATATGTGCCTGTGTCCCTGGAATGGTTTTCTGCGGCTTTTATCTTGAATCATCTTGTTTTGAGGGGCAGAATATCTAACACCAGAATACGTGGGCTTTTTACACAGAAAGACTAACATAATTGTTATGCTGATCCCCTTCCCACATGGTTGGTTGTAAGGCTGTCCTTTCCTTGTATGGTAGTACATACGAAGGGCTCTTTTAGGTGTGTGGCCAAGGTTATACACGACTGGAACATTGTGAGGCAGTCCTCGAAGTAAATCTCATTAAATTATATGTCCATGGGATGAGTCTATACAGGTACAGACTCGAACCAAATAGCCTTGGCAGTATTCTAAATTATCCGAGAGAAACGTACGGAGAAAATACTCCATTCACAGCAATTGAGCCTTCTAGTACTTATAGAACGCAGTAGCTTCTAACGGCCTTGATCACGATGCACCTCGATCAATGTTGTTTGCTTCCCTGTGAAACGGTGTCACTGTAAACGCGTCCATCCCGCCTTAGCAGTCCTTGCAAATCTTCCCAGCTTTACTCATTGCTTACCCCTACCAATCAGAGACTATTCACCATGGCGCGTATGGTCACATCCCCTTGTCCAGGGGACCACGTTCCGACCACAAAGCCAAAGGACGCCGTCAACCAGAAAAAGGCCCGCCACGCGAGCCCAAGTACCAGCCAGGATATGCTCAACCCCATCGCGTCTCCAGGGCAATCGACCGATGTAGCGACCGAAGACTTCGAAATCGCCTCGGCATTGAAGCTCATCGCCGTCTCTGTGACTCAGCAGCGTTGCCTCGCCACCAAATCCCTCATCATACACCCAATTACCCTAGCTCTGGTAGCCGTGAGTTTCGCTTACAGCATCGGTGCCGTTTACCATGACCCATCTGGTTGGCCTTACATCGTGATTATCTGCGTCACCGCGGTATCGGCAACCTTGGGCATTGTCGCACGCTTGGTCGGGAGATATAAAGATGAGGCTGAGAAAGTCGGAACACTGAACTGGTTGTACGGGCACGATCCTGATGTCGGTGCTACCACTACTCAGGAGGACCCTGCCTTTAACTCGGATAGTGGAGTTACGTTTGTACTTGTTCATCGATTCGGGGGCCGCATTGTTGGTACCCTTGTTATGAGCATCGCGTACCGCGGCATCCAACCCCATCCAAAAGCCAACCCAAGGACTCTTCCAACGGGCGAAAACTACGATGCTTTCATACGTGCCTGGACAGTTCAGCAAGGCTTTCGTGGCTACGGAGTTGGCGCTGCGCTCCTCAACGAAGCTGTCATGATCTTCTATGAGCATAAGTGGAAAGGACTCCGGTTCGCGGATTCCCACGCTAACTCTCTTCGCGTCTTTCCCTGCATCTTACATTATGACATGGATCAAAGTTCCACCATGTGGAGCTCGTATCTGCGCAAGCGGACTGAGGCTCATCGTCAATCTCGTGCTGTTTTGGAAGCTCGAATCATCGATGCATCCCTGCATGCGAGGGATAACCAGTGCCCGATGGCGGATACAAATATGCGGTTGATTTGTACTCAGGTGAAGCTAGAGGAGTTGATCCGAAGTTACTTCAATGTGCGCCTTGAAAAAGCAGTAGAAGCTCAGACCCGATGGGAGAAAATCTCGTAATTGGTCACGATTTGAGATTGACTTGCTGTTTCCGAATATTTTGTCAGTGGAGCTCAGCGTATCGATATTGGGATTCATCTTCTGCTATTACTATCTATCTACATTGGTGGTTTTTGTTTCGGATATTCTCATAGATATTCTCACGAATCCGAGCTTTATGGCAATTCATTATTCCTACACAGCCAAATGAAGGGGGATATTAATATTTCTAGGCTCTGCTATCTAGCCATGGATCTTGAAGCAGTTGTCTAGCCGTCTTTCTGTCTTCCGGTCGCCATTGAAGCATTCCCCTCATGAACTTTAGGAACATTTCTTTGTTTCTTCCACTCAGACGCTCCTCAGAGTTTTCCAATGACATTCCCATGGGAACCTTGACTTTATTCTTCCAGTGTCCTATCAAACATATCTTTTCGTCAGAACAGTAGAATTTGGAATGAGTTTTAGCCATAAAGCATGACATACCGTCTGTAGTAAAGAATTCGTGGCTTCGCTCTCCACGCTTGAGCAAATCCAGAGGAGGGCCTAGTATTCCGATTACTTCAGCGAGGTGCATGTGGGTTGAATAACCCTTGCCATTAGGGTTAATTCCAATGAACATGTGTTTACCTTCAAACAAATCCCATACCTAATGTTTTCATGGCCTTAGTGATGTTAAAATAGACATGGTATAAGGGGTAACAAACCATAGTCCCAACATTCCAAATATCAATGGGGTAGCTCCATCCAGTCCTTAACATGACTTCTGGTGATCTGTAGACGGCGGGCTGAGCATCATGGTTCCTCTTTTCATCACCCCGTACAGCTGAACCGAAATCGCTAAGAATTGCCCTACCAAACTTTTGAGGTAACTTAAATCGTCGAGAGGCATAGATTGGCATATTGTTAACCGATTTCCGCGCCGATGGATGCGCTATCTCGGCGTCAGTAAGCTTGTCAAGTATTGACACCTCTTCTAGTTCTTGGAGAATATTGTCGCTCTTGATGTCTAGAAAGCTTCGTTAGCAACTTGCTTAATAACGATTACAGATATATATACTCACCAGTATGGACGAGCTGGCATGTATTGTGGATATAATCAAGTGCCAGGAAGATCTGCCTAAGTCCGCTCTTAAGAAGATCCTCGCTAAGCCGATGTGCAGGATCACGATACATTAAATCTCGAAAGCTCCCCCACATAGGTTTTTGGACAAGACAGTGATGCTCACTTCCCTGATGCCCGCTCCGTTTATGCGGAATCGTGAATGCATCTAATGCAGTCCTCACATGCGCATAGCCTGGATGTGATCTGTCCCCTTGACTCAGAACTTTGTAGGTCTGAACCTCCCCTTGGCCAGTTCCACCCGCTGTATACACCTTCAATGTGACATATTGATGACCACTGGTCCAGTTAGCATATTTTCGCTTCTGGGAGACTGAATGAGACTTGACTTACTCTAGATCACGAGCGAGCCACACTGTGGAGCTGGTCCCGAAGCCCAGCTTTCCGAGGACCTGGTATTTGAATACTAAGACGTCACCGATGTTGATAGGATAGTAGCGCCCTTTCTTGAAATCCTCGAAGCGCTCTTCTTCGAATATTTGTGACGACCTGATTGCTTCGAACCCACTTGTTGGAAACCGAAGCACGGGCGAGCGACCTCTTTTTATAGTTGTCCTAGCCCACTTGAGGAGCGAAGTCATAGTCGTCGATAGTCTGAAGAAACAGAGAAAAATAAAGGGTGACGCGGGCCGTTGCTCCGAGGCTCCCAATCGACACAGTTATTTCGAGTTTAGATTATGAGAAAATACATAGCACACCAGAAGTTATACCGGAAAGTAAATCTCCGGTTGCATTCGGGAAGGACTATGAGGCATCGACGGACAGGAAGGAACCAGTCAGGTGACTATTCCTTCGCCTGAAGTTTGACAGGAATATAACATTGGCTGTCTGGATTACCTTCTTTCCCAGTTCTTTCTAGTCTGATATTAACTTGCTTCCCTTTTTTACAGTCTTTGTTTGATCTCCTCTTAAGCAACATAAATCACGACCTATATACACTATGGTTATGATAAAATGATACAGGAGATGGGCTTGCCAAATGCCAGGGGTAAAAGAATCGGGACACTCCTCAATTCCATGACCGCAAGCTGACGAAAGATATATATCTAGGTTATGGCAAACCGAGAATTTTCGGGATATTCAACCTACGGAATCTGCATTTCCCACAGATATAGGCTAATTCAAATAAACATTATAAGTCTAGAAAAATGCTTAAGAAAAATTTTCACAAGCCACTCAACTCACCACATCACATAGAGACATGTTGAGTCAAAGTTGAAGTTCAGCCGGAGAAAACCGGAGAGCGAAACGTAAAATATCTCCGCTCGCAAATGCCCAATATCATTTGATTTGGAAGAAAATTCACACAAAATCAAAGAATAACAAGCATTGTGACAATGCAAAACATTGGTCTGCGCACACCTGGCGTGTTGAGCGTCGTATTTGGCGTTCAAGGTGCCTTTCTCTTGGCCAACGCTGTCTACACCTTGGCATATCCTTCCGCCGCATCGAACCTGCCAGACTCTCCTCTGGCTGGAGTTCCCAGTCATACAGTTCAATGCCTCGGGTGAGCTATCAATTTTTTACATACCTTGATGTTAAATGCTCATCGCAGATACCGCAGTGTGACGTCTCTTTCTACGGGAACGATTTACGCCATTGCGAGCTACCAGCGCAATATTCCGATTATGGTTGCTTCGCTGCCTGGTCGCTTTTTCGCCGGGTATATATTTTATCGGAATGGCGGTGCTTGGACTCGAGTTGCGATCTTTGAAGCCTGTATGGGGCTGGTGAATGCTGCAGCACTAGTTTGGGATTTGTATATATAAAACAGGGGGTTATGTAATAGCGGGTTATTTCCAAGGTTGTGAAGAGTCCTGCTCTCAGGGAAGGATCTGAAGCATTTTTACGACACTGAGAATTAAATGATACCACATGTATTCCACTTCAATGGCCTAGATGAACCTTCATCGGGAAATCAAAGGGAATCGGGATTTCTAGATTGGACGGGCCGAGGCCAGACGCGTATTTAATATCGGCGTTAGCCACAAGGCCAAAGTGGAGACTGTGGAAAAGCCATACACCCAAGCATCTAGACAAGCTTGAATATATGTTGTACAGCTAGCCTTTGGAAGTTTATTGTGCCAAGGCTATGTCTCTCATAGTTGACCGATCTATCTCCGGCAAGAAGCCGAAACATTTCCTAACATGGCTGGAACAAAGCCATAATATGACATAACCTTCCCTTTTATCCACGTACCAATATGCAAAGATGTATATACCATTGCCGGCTAATCGTGGGGTAGCGACGTTCGGTATTTACTTTGTAGTGGATGACCGGTAGCACGACCACCCGCTCGAACCCGATTTGTACAGGGATCAAATGGGACGATGATGTGCGGTCGGTGGTTATGAAGACAGGGGTTAAACCGGCTAAATCGAAGCAATTCAACCGGTCCAGGAAGGGGTTCGGATGTGGGGAAGTTGACTTCAGCTCAAATCATACAGCCTTTGCCTTGGAAATTTGGGGGAAATTTCGCCTTGGGGTATCATGACATGAAGAAGTACATTGTATATACAACTCCCAGATAAAAGAATAAGAGTTGGATGTTGAAACTTTTGATGAATCTCCAGATTTTGAAATGCGCGGGGTCCCCGGAATGTCTCCATCCGGTGGAGCTTGCCCGAGACTCTGAATCCTTTCGTCAGCGGCAGATGCCAACTCAGAAACTCCCTGGACTAGAGTCCTAACCGTAAAAATTTAGTCAGAAATCGATATTATACGCTACTATACCATGGAATTATGCTTCGGCCATTTCGTCCACTTCGTCTAGCCGTTACAGGGTCTTTGGCTAAGAGCACCGGTTAAATCCTACCTCGAAATCACGCACGGCCCAATATTATTGCAGCCACTGACAGTCTTGCAGAACCACGCTAGTCGAGCCTTTCCCGTCTCGCAGCCAATTCAACCTACCCACACGGCTTGAGGAGAATGGGAGACCACGCGCCACGAAGCTTGGTCATAATGGGCTGATTGGGCCGGTTACCTCGTGCTTTCAGGTTTCAAAATTGATCACATCCGGTCCATGTCCCCCATGGGGCTAAGTTCCCGGGGAAAATTGGTATTTTTGCGCTCATTATCCGTACCCTGTGAATAAATACTCGCAGGTCCCCTGTCGAGAGGTAGGGAACGTGCAGGCATTTCTCCCGATAATTGCCATTCTCTTCTTATTTTCATTTCCACCATAGCATAAGTCATCTTGCACCATCCATCCTTGTCGGTCTTTGTCATAATACAAAATGGTGGCTCCTCTTGCGGGAGAGACGGCCATCTCGGCCAAACGCGCTGAGCTTTCAGGCAAAAATGGGTTCAAGGGCCTGCTCAGTAACAAGAAGACAACATGTATCGGACTTTTCGCGTCACTGGGAGGTCTGGTCTATGGATGTAAGTCGATCAAGTCATATCAATAGCCTCGTGAATGCAATCTCATAGCAGTTATCCAGACAACCAGGGAATGTTCGCTCAAGTTTTGACAATGCCGGCGTTCCAGGCAGCGGTATGTCTCTCGATCGTCAACCCACGACGTTGCACTGCTAACGACATATAGACGCAAGATTATGCGAACGAAACGGGTATTAAGCAGGGAATGCTCACATCTATCCTCGAACTTGGTGCTTGGGTGGGGACATTGGCAAACGGATATCTCGCAGATGCGCTCGGTCGTCGTCTAACTGTTTTGGTTGCTGTGGTGGTGTTCTGCGTTGGTGTCATTGTTCAAGCCTGTACGGAAAACAAAGACTTTGTCTTCGGAGGTCGATTCGTGACTGGTCTAGGTGTTGGTAGTCTGAGTATGGTTGTGCCACTGTACAATGCAGAGTTGGTGAGTGAATGCAACGAGAATGAGTTCGAAAAGGGAAAGGGCTAATAAAAAAGGAAGGCACCACCGGAGATTCGTGGCTCACTCGTCGCTGTGCAACAACTCGCCATTACCTTTGGAATCATGGTCAGCTTCTGGGTACGTCACGTTCATTCTCACGAAATCTCTCAGTCCTGACAGATACAGATCGGCTATGGGACAAATTATATTGGTGGAACTGGGGCAACACAATCGGATGCTGCATGGCTGGTTCCAGTCTGTATTCAAATCCTGCCCGCTGTGGTTTTAGCTCTGGGCATGATGCTGTTCATGCCCCAGTCTCCCCGTCATCTGATGAACACCGGCCGTGAAGAAGAATGTCTACAGACTCTAGCTCGCTTGCGTAACGCACCTCCGGATGATATGCTTGTTCGCATTGAGTTCCTTGAAATCAAGAGTTTGTACCTCTTTGAACGAGAGACGGCAGCCGAGAAGTACCCTGACTGGCAGGATGACTCGTTCTCTAGCCGCTTCAAGATCGGACTACATGATTACATGTCCCTGATCACTGACAAGTCTCTCTTTAAACGCACCGCAACAGCCGTACGTTTTATTCCCGTGGTACTTCATGGATATTGCTAATGATATCACAGTGCATGGTTATGGTGTTCCAACAATGGAATGGTAGGATATGTGAACTCCCGAAAATTGAATCCATCACTAACATTATTATTTAGGCATCAACGCAATTAACTATTATGCGTAAGTTCCCGCAAATACAGTCTTGTGGCAGAAGACATGGAAGATCCATGATTTGATCACATGTGTTTCTTGATGGGTTCACCTGCTGACACCTTCCACAGACCATTCATCTTCAAGGAGATGCACCTAGGCGGCAACACAATCTCACTACTCGCCACCGGTGTTGTTGGAATTTTCGAGTTCGTCTTCACCATTCCCGCCGTCCTGTGGGTTGACAAGATTGGACGAAAGAAGATCTTGATTGCTGGCGCAATTGGAATGGCATCTTGCCATTTCATTGTTGCGGGCATCATTGGCGCATACCAGGGTAGTTTTGAAGAGCACACAGCTGCTGGCTGGGTTGCTATTGTCTTTGTTTGGATTTTCATCATCAATTTCGCCTACTCATGGGGTATGTACAAATTTTTTACCGGAGAGTAAACTCTGCTGATCATTGTTCCACTGCAGGACCTATTGCGTGGATTGTTACTTCGGAGGTATTCCCGCTCAGCATGCGTGCCAAGGGCGTCAGTATTGGTGGCAGCAGTAACTGGGTAAGTAGTGAGATAGACCACCAAGTTTGTTGGAAATCCTCTGACTGGGTACTTTGCAGTTGAACAACTTCGCAGTGGGCACTGCTACATCTCCTTTCCTCCAAAAAAGCAACTTTGGTGCATTCATCTTCTTCGGATGCATCACGACGATTGCTGTTTTCTATGTCATCTTCTTTGTACCCGAAACCAAAGGTCGCACTCTTGAGGAGATGGACGAACTGTTCGGATCGGTCGGGTTGGCAGCTGCCGATAAGGGACGCAAGCAGCGAATTGAACGCGAAATCGGCCTTCTTGCCCTTGTCGGCGTGGAGTCTGCTGATGAGAAGCACACTGAGGCTGGTATGGATGAAAGCAAGGTCGAGGTGTCGAAGCACGAGGATGTCATCCCTGACCCGAAGAACTAAATGCGGCCAAGTTCAAGTTGTTTTGAACATAGAGGAGCTGTTGATCGACAGGCTGCACAATTCTATCATCACAGGATCAGCAAAAGGTCGAAATATTTGATACCTGCATCTCATATCTCTCGTTCCTTGTCCTCCGTACGGGGTACTATAATATAATCCTTGACTTTTGTTCCCTCCTTACCTGTATGCAAATTTAGACATGCATAATACTTATCACATGTGACTGATCGCATATACACTTGTAAAACCAGAAAAAACACCAAGTAAAAGAGGTCAAATCAAAGTTTTCAGCCCATTACTATGTATAAAAAATTGGAGGGCCAAGGCTGAAGCCCAAACACAAGTCACATTCAAGGGAAGGCACTTGGGTACTGTTTGTCTTGGGCAGATTGACTCTTCTGACCTTTTTCTTTTTCGTATTCTTTCGTTCTCTTCAAACACTCCAACCTATCTCCTAACCCCACCCATTCCCTATAATTCAAAATGTCTACTACTACCACCTCTACCACCTCGTCCGTGAGCGCCACCAGCACTGCCTGCGGTGGCAGCGTCTGGCAAATCCCCACAACCGATGCAGCCTGCGCGGCCGTCATTAGTGGGAACATGACCGATGTGATGGATAATTGCTGCAAGAACGCGAAGGTTTCCAAGTACGACAATGACTGCGGCATCTACTGTCTCGCCCAAGGCCAAACCGTCGACAAGCTCCAGTCCTGTCTCACCAGCAAGAGCGGCAACTACCACAATGTCTTCTGCAATGCCGCTCTCAACGCGACCGCCACTGCCACATCCACAGGCTCCAAGTCCACTTCCTCGGGCACCGGTACTAGCACGCACTCTGCCACCTCCACTTCTACAAACGCCGCTATTGCGAACCAGCCAATCTCCAAGTCTGGTGTTGGATTGATTGCCCTCCTCTTCGGCTCTGCTTTGATGGCTGTTATTTCTTGACTCCATCCACGGATGGTTCAAGGTTTCACTCGGGAAGGATACAAAATGGCTGTTTTTATGATCTTTCTTTTTCTTCTAGCGGAGGAGCGACCATGTTTTCTTACTTCGCATCCTCTGGACATAATATTTTCAAAATGCAAACTATGATTTAACATGCATAATTGATTTCCCCATACTGCAATGGTCACACACATGTTGTAGAATTATTGTAGGTATAGTTGAAGGGAGGAAGAGATATTTATATGACGTCATCGGGTTGCACTAAGTAAATCGGCTGTTATTCTGCCCCTCCACGGACCCCATTTCTGTTAGGCCAAATATCACCAGGTACAGCCACATCCGAAAATGTCCTCAATCGCAAAAACTGTCATCGCGACAGGCACCTCGTCGGGCTTGGTACAGCCACATTCCCTTGGAATATCTAGGCTCCAGCTAACATGATCATAGGGATTCGAAGCAATCAAGCAGTTACTCCAGCAGACACAGCCATACAATTTTATTCTAGGAGTTCGTGACACAGAGAAGACCCGTGTCGCATACGATGATCTGAAATTCGACACTTCAAAGCACAGTGTGTCTGTCTTGCCTCTGGATCTTTTGAATCTGAAGAGCGTGCAATCTTTTGCCAAGCAAGCTCTCTCTGAATTGGGTCACAGACCGTTGAACTATCTTTTCCTCGTTGCGGGCTTCCTTGCCAACGCTGATGGACCGGGCCCTCATGGCTCGCAATGGTGCGAATCATACGTAGTAAATCATCTAGGTATGTCAAAATTAGATCGGCTACTGAAGAAAGGAGGAGTCTACGAGGCTGAAGCTAATCATCCATGAATTCAAACCCAGCCCAGCATTATCTAACCCACCAATTTGCTGAGGTCTTATCTACCTCCCAATCCCGTATCGTTATTGTATCTTCGGGTGCAATTCGTAATGTGAGAGGAGGCGACCCAAGTAAGTTTAGTTCAATATTTCCACTCGTGTCACCAAAAGCGACATCAGGATATTCGCAATTCTAATTTATATTAGGGACGCTTGACGTCGATCTAAGAGCAAACTCCGGCGCAAACGCCAGAGTAGTGTACAGCGCATCGAAATTCACCCAGCTTCTCGGTGCACACTACTGGCGTCGTAACCTCCCAAACTGCACAGTCGTGGCTGTCTCACCAGGTCTCATCCCCAACACCAAACTTGCCCAGCATTCGAGCTTAGGATTAACCATGGATATGCCCGATGCCAAGACTGTGCCAGAGGGTAAGGATCTTTTTATTTATGTTTTTTTATTTCAAGACCACATCTAACGATCAATAGGTGCCCAGAATATCCTCCGTGCGGTCACGGCCGATGATCTCCCAGCTGATCCGGAACAGATTTTCTTGACTAGCTGGGGTGAATGGTGGCCTAAGGATGTCTATGCTTCAAGTCTTGATACTGCGTTGCAAGATAAGTGGTGTTTGGGCAAGGAGGAGATCGAGAAGTCTGAGCCTGTGTTCGATGAATAGGGAGCACAGTATGAATATTTTACTCCAAGAGGCCTGCAAATAGTATATTCCATCAACACTATTTTGCTGAATTCAAGATCGTATTTAAGGAGCAACGTCATACATTGGTTCGTGGGTCTGAGAAATACGTATATATACATGGATCGGTCAAATGTATCCCTCTTGCAAGCGAGCCTCAGGGTGGAACTGCAGCGCCTCAAGCCGCGAAGGCAAGTAATTGACAACAGCAAACCATCAAAAAAGGGACATATTGCACAAGCGCCAAAAAAACGAAACAATCACAAGATTATTATATTTGCATATATAGGAAAGAATCTATGTGTATGTAACTGGCATGCATGCGTACCGGAAGTTTCCCAACCGGTCGGAATAAATCGTAATATGGAACTCGGGCAGTGCCCCAAGTCAGCAAGCAAGACTTGCAACTTAGTAAGCGTTGGCAAGCTTGCGCATGGCAGCAAAGTTGGGCGATCCAAGACCGGAGACAGGGTCCCAGCCCTTGGTAGCGTTCCAGCTGGCACCTGGGATCGACGGACCACCGTTCCCGGGGCCGGAGAAGCGGCCATTGCCATCGCAGCCAGTGCTACCGCCATCAACAATGTCGTTCAGGCCAGTGCGACCCTTAGAATACAACCAAGGATTGAGGAAGCCCATGGGTGATTTCTTGGCCTTGATGCGGGCGTCGTTGAGGAGGGCGATGACTCCGGCGAAGGCAGGTGCCGAGCAGGAGGTGCCGTCGACGCTGCTCAGCGAGCCCTTATCGTAGATGGCGAAGTTTTCACCCTGGGCTGTGACGTCGGGGAAGGCACGGCCGTTGGGGTTGAAGAGGCCGGACCAGCGGTCGCCCAGGTTCTCGAGGTACTCACTCACAGCGTCCTCTTGCCACTTAGGACGAGCCCAGAGATCGGAGAAACCGCCGGACGAGAAGTACACGGCTCTCTCGGGTGCGGTGTGGGTTGTCGCACCGACTGAGGTCACCCAGGGGCAGGCGGCAGGGAACTGGGGAGGGAAGTGGGTCGCATTCCGGCCGTCGTTCGTCTGGCAGGCGGCGCCAACGCCGGAGTCGCCAGATGAGAAGATAACGGACACACCACGACTACCAAGTTGGGCGTACAAGTTGCAAACGGAGCGGGCGTACTTCTCGGGAACACTCTGGAGATTGATATTAGAGACTGACGAAATCACGAACAAAATGGGGTGAGTATCATACCTGCTCGTCCTCACCATAAGAGGTCGAAATCACCTGGGGAAGGTCCTTCTTGTGCAGCTTGAGCACGTTCTGGAGGAACTCAAGGTAGGGCTCGTTGTTGTTATCATTGGGATCGGGCTGGTCAAGATCGGGAACAAGTTCACCGCGACCGCCAGTGCTAAACTCTGTAACGGGCACAGGAGAGCTGACTCCAACAATGTACTGCAAGTCAAGGTTCGCCTCACCGCTGCTACCGCTCGAGTGTTGATCATTAAGACCGCCGTTATACTGGATGACGGAGAAGTTCTGGCCCTTGGCAAAGGTCGCAATATTCTTCTCAAATAGTGCCAAATCGGAGTATCGCGCATACTCCTCCAGGTAGCTAGCAAACGCGACCTTGTTCCCATTGGTGGGGTCGGCCTTGTAGTCACCGATATTGTACAGATCCTTGAGACACTGGGGAGTGATGATGCTGTTGCAGTCCGGCGTAGCGGACATGGCATTCGAGCGGAAAGCCTCGTCGTTCTCCTTGACCTGGGTGTGCAAAATGGCGCGTTGGGCTCGCAGCTGGCCGAAACGGGTGGTTGGCTGGATCATATTAATGTGTGACACCAGAGCCTCCGGGACGGAGTACTTGAGTGTGCGAAGACGCTCAATGTTCTTGGCACTGTTAGTGTAGAATTGGAAGTTGGCTGCCAACAGCTCATTTGCCGTCTCCACGGTGGTGTAGAAGGTCATCCAGTCGGCATCTTGTTCGATCTTGGAAATACCGGCACTTTCGAGCCAGTTACGGATCGAGTCTGCGGACTCTGCGCTGGGCTGCAGCATCCGCTTCATTTCCTCGTGGGTGTTGAAATGATTTCCGTAGCTGGGGTGATCGGGAGTTGACATCTCCATCACAGCCGCTTCGAACCCGGCAGCATCTCCCTGAGCTAGAGCAATCTGTAGCTTCAGGGGCTGATCAGCACTCGGAGTGCGAGAATATCTCCATCCTATAGCAGGTCAGTGTCTCAATTTCGTCGGTTTGGTTTAGAACGCAGATCACTCACCCTGAGGAACAGCAGCCAAACTCTCAAATACATCAGCTGCAGCAGAGGATGCAAGAAGCGACAAGACCGCGAGCGACAACGCTCCACGGTTGAATAGAGATGCAATCATGATAGAGAGCGATATGAGAACACCTAGTCAGACTCTGATCGAAGCCTCTACACGGCGAATGCAGGACGTATAAATAGTCAGACGACTATTAAACACAAAGGAGGGGTAAAGATCGTGAATAATTTGTATTTATTATGGTTGCATTGGTGGGGGGAATGATAGGACGACAAAGAATGTGTGTTGAAGAAGCCTAGGATAAACCAGGATCAGACAATGTTGACAAGGACGGAGTGCTTTAATCGAAGTTTCACGTCATTCCCTTGGCATCGCTATAAGTTCCACTGTTCCAGTGGACCCTCGGTGGGTGCCCGTTTGGTGAGACTGTTCTAAATCAATGGCTGGGGATTGTGCCTTCAGGGTCTAGCTCCATGGCCCCATACTTGCATCGTCGTGACCAACCGCCTTTCCCAACTTGAGGAACAGCACATTGTCAGTGATGTGATCGGTATGGAGATAAACTCTCTATCCCATTGTGACATTGGGTGTGCGTCCGTCGGGGGTCCGTTAATGATCGGCAGGGGTTGACCCACTCTGTTGGAAGGAAGCAATGTGAGGGGGGGTCGGGGGGGGGGCTTGTATTGCCGGGTGGCTGGATGACTTGGCTCTAAAAATGAGATCAGCTCAGGTTCTTATTTGTGCATGAAGCCCACAGTTCATCTCCTATCAGATTTGGTCGATGGGAATCAGTTGGAAGAAGTGTTGTGTTCAAAATCATCAAAATCATTCGTCCCCTGCCAAGCCTCTCCAGGGGGGAAGCCGGGATGGTGATCATGTACTATTGCTATCAGCTGGCAGCCAATTAGGCTATCTCATCAAAAAGCAAGACAATCTTACAAGGATGGGCGCTAGGCCTCTGTGGCGCTGAAATGCACTGAAGCAATGTTGCAATCCAAATGACTATCGGTTCTGTTTGCATTGATATGCCTCGGAGTGCGTCGGAGTGCGTCGGAGGCTGGGGTCAGTACAAAATTCCAGTTGCCAGAGTCATAATTATCATAATTATTTAGGCACTGGAGACAGATGTGGCTGGTGATCTCGATCTTTCTTCATTATTTGATGTGACATCTCAGATTCGGGTGGAAAAAAGGCTGGGCAAGAATGCGAAGTGACAAGATGTACGGAGTACTCCGTACTCAGTACGCCTCCAAGGTTGCTCTTGTGACACAGGGGGTCGAGATAATAGTTCCCGCTGGTACCGAACTGTCTCGCGATTCTGTGTGTTGTGCAGGTTATATTAAAATGTTGCTCTTGGCTTGCCTTGGCAGGGCGGTTCTCCGAAGTTGCAAGTTGCAGCAATGTCGATCATGTTCCGCCGGTACTCCGTCTCAATCTATCCCGTGACTCTGCCAAATATCGTGTCATTTTTGGAATAAAATAAATAAAAAATAGATATCTGCAACATACATGTAGAATTGCTATGGAGTATCTGTTATAGCCAATGACTTCCATAATATTAGTGTTTCTGTCTATGAGGACGCACGTCAACCCGGCTCGAGACACACAAAACCCAACAGGGTTATGGTTACATATGCATATATACTACTCCGTATGTACACGCCGGTTTTGCACACACCTGTCCAAAAGTGGTATGGCTTTTATAAATCAAAGATGAAATCCCACGATATCACTTTTCATCAACGACGACCGGAGCTTGAACGGCCGGAACGGGCTCATCAACCCCTGGCTGGTTCATTTCCAGGTGGTGGGCGTAGACCATTGACGCGATGGCATCTTCGGTCTGGAGATAAGTTCGGTTACCTTGAATGAACCAGAATGAAACAGCGATAACCAACATGACACCAAAGACGGCAATGGCGAAGTTCATATCGCTGGGCGCCGGGTTAGGGCTCCCGGGGAAGAGGAAGAAAATGGTAGTGATGATACAATAGAAGATGCTGACCCAGTTCAACCACGGACCAATGCGACCGAGCTTGAATGGACCCGGGGGCAATTTCTCACGGCCGGTGATGAGCAAGGCGAGAATGGGCATCGCGTATGAGACAGTCAGGGCGATGGTGCTGACGCTGAGAATCGCCTCGAGCACGGTGTTGGCAAATAGGTATAGGATACCAACGATGCCGATGACGATACTCTGGCCCCAGAGAGCGCGGGCGGGGACTTGCCATACAGGATCCACGTGGCTAAAGTAGTTGCTGAAAGGCACGCCGCCGTCACGGGCAAAGCCCCAAGTCAAACGGGAGGCAGTGGTGAGGATGCTGATGCCCTGGCCTATGCCGTTGAAGATGAACATTGCAATCAGTACAGCGGCCCCTTTCACTCCAACAGTCTCGATCATAAGCTCCATGAAAGGGAGGTCGGCATTGACGACATTGTCCACATTCTGGATGCAGAACAGACAAACCACCATGAAAATGAATCCAGTCACGGCACCGAACAAAACAGCCATCCAAATCACTCGAGGAGCATTCTTCCGAGGTGCAGGGATTTCCTCCACCATATGAATGACCGAATCGAACGCGGTCAAGCCGTATGCTGCCTGTACCAATCCGGTGAACCAAACCACACCGTCGCCCCAGCCAGTCTCATTCTTCCAGGCACCAAACGCGAACGAAGCGGGCTGGAACGACAGGTCGCTCTTGGTTCCGACCGAGATAAGTAGCACAAGAGAGAGAACAATAAACAGGCCGAAGAACCACACTCCAACAAAGTTGTTGAGCCAGGGCAGGATCTTCTCCTTGCGGCAGCTGACGACGTTGATCAGGGTCAGCACGAAGACCACCCCGATATATACAACGAAATTGAGCCAGCCCTTGTTGGCTCCATCCCACTCGGGATTAAACATAGTCTTCATGCCCAGCAGGAATTCGGTCATGAAGGCGACCTGCGACGCAGTCAAGGTCCACCATCCAAATGTATTGATCCATGCACACATGTACGAGGTGAATCGACCCAATGGTGTATCCCACAGTCGATATACCCAGTAGGCCTGACCGAGGGCCGTGGGCATGCTGCTAGTCAACTCGCCCAGCGAGAGCGCAACACAGAGGTTGCATGCTGTGACCAACACCAGACCCCAGAGGATAGTGATGGCACCACCATTGGTCAGACCACTACTAAGATCCTGGGCGAAGGTCGAGTAGGTTCCTTGGACATGTCAGCATACTGGGGTTCCATCGGGCGGCAAAAAGCGCAAACATACCAAGTACACAAAATGCGAGCGCCAGCATACTCCATATATCGAATTTTCGCGTCAAGGCCTGGGAATGGCCCAGAGCAGCGAGATCCTGTGCATCTTGCACATCTTGCACATTCTGATCCGTCAGCGGTGGCTTGAGGGGTTGCGAATTGGACTCCAAATCCATGCCGTGGTAATTCAGCCGGAGGCGATATAGATCAACTCAGTGGGCAGACAGAAGGGATATGTGCCCATTTTCTGACTGAAGGTCAACAAGAAGAGAAATGATGATTTCTATATAGCTTATATCTGGCGTCTGGCGATTTCGGTCCGCGTTGACACCCCTCACGGATTAACCCTGTTCAGGGAAAATACCTAGATAAAGCGGGAGACCAATTGAAAGTAGCCAATGACGCGGCGGGCCTGATACTAGATTTTGGTTGAATCAGAACGATTGGTCATGGACAGGAAAGATGTTGATAATAGAAATGATCTGATTTTTTTTTGGTTTTTGCGGGGAGTCACCTTCGGGAGGACTTCCCTTCAGTGGGCCGTTATTCATAGTATCCACCAATGCACTCCACAGATAAGAACTGGGGTACAATTGGGATTGAATTCATGGTTGTTTGAGTAATTGAATATCATATAATATCATATTCATGTAGACATTTTGCTGCCTGTTTGCAAATACCATAGATTGCAGGTTTCATAGCTCCGCAGGAGGTCCGACCAGTGTGACTCAACAGATTCTCTTCAAGGATATTCCTCGAAATTCGATTAAGATGCCAGCTTCAACAGAATACGAACGTAGTTTCTTCCCAGTATAAAACTCAATGGCATTGCATGTCAACATCAAAGCTCAATGATCAGTGGCGAGGGTCGACCCAAAACGGCAAGTCCATGCGTGGACCGATAAGAATCAACGATTAGCGTTGTAGAGCGAAGCTCCAATACAGTTTGGGGGCGCCAATTCCGAGATTAAACATGCATTGGTGTGTAAATATACACCATAATAGTAACGGAAATAGCGGAAGAGCTGCATATCTGCATTTCATATGAGATATTAAACAGCATCCATGTGGAGTCAATACCACACATGCGCCATAGCCATGGCTTATCCGGCAGAAGTCATTGCGATATCAATGTGATTCCGAGACAACAGCATGAAACATTTATAGATGATCAACAGCTGGGTCTAGTGGGAAAACCAAGTATGATTCGTGACAGTATTCCCATCGAAAGCCACCGAAAGGGGAAACCTGACACGACGGATTCAGCACTGAAGCAGCAGCTTTGAGCTTCGTCCAGGGAACAGTGCAATCAAGGTCCACTTCTTCAATTATTGCTTCGTAATGATAGCCATCAGTCTGCGCTAAGGTGGGCGAGTCTCCTCAGTTGGGCATCGCAGCAGGGTCCTCGCCATCCATCTGACTGCAAAGTTAAATCACGCCCCAGCTCAACCCCACAACGGAAGGAGAAGGAGAGGGCAAGCACCGAGACACGGCGATGCAGGCCAATTAACGACACACCGCAGCACGCACGGTTGGTAAACAACCCGGCGAATCCAATAATGTATCAATTTGGTTATCGCCATAGTGTATTCATGACAGACCGGCAAGCTCGTGATCGATTGCAAATTCCGAAATTCCGTTCATGACAGGTGTATAGTCTTCTACTGGCAGCCGTGCAGGCGAGGAAGTGCGGTGATACTCAAGCACGGGGCAGCAGCCTAATCACAACCGGAAAGTATTGGACCTGGACAGCCCTGGTGGGCCACAGGGTTCGATGGCTGGCTTCTGGAATCACCCTACTTTCCGTTATTAGCGCAGTTAGCTCTTTGACGAACCAAAAAGCAACGTCTGCTGTCTTCTTCCATGGCCCCTGCTTGGCATTTTGGGGAATCCCCGATGCTAGTTTCGCCTATCCTATCCGCTCCCCCTGGCCAAGGGCTGGGAGCCGGGTGCATCTCTGGAGGTGATACTGGTTCTGTTCAACTTGCTGTTCAGACTGATCATGTCCGGTGACTATTATTCAGAGCATGGTTGTCGCTAGGTCAAGGCCATGTCGAGGGCATGTCGAAGGCGATGTGAAATCCGGACCAAGGTGATTATACGGATGGCATTCAGCATTGATTTTGAGAGTATTCACCATGCTAACTGGGAGTGACCAGTCAGTCCAGCACAGAAATCACAGAGGGAAGGAACTCCACTTACATTGCAGGTATATATATATCTGGACTGCATGGGACCATCAAAACGCAACTAATTCCACATTGGGAAGCATCACGCCATACTCACACACAATAGAGAAAGGAGAACGTTCGAGCAGAATGAATCATCCGAGTCTTGGCAATTATATTAATGTTTTAGAATACTATCCATGAGGTATTCCCATTCATTTGGGGGAATCACAAGTCACAAAACACTTTTGTGGTCGCCACGACCGGAAAATCATATCATATCTGAGATGAGAGAGGGCCACATTCGAGCCCAAATAACAGTTGATCCGAACGCCTCCGCCCACCCACAAAAGAATAAATGAAAAACAAAGCAAAAAGCGAACGCCGACCGGGACCGCGTTGTCCGGCTACTCTAAGAATACAACGCTCGTCGCGGTCATGACAAAAGAAAAGATACTTGAAGCAGCATCACTGTGGTACAATCGGCATGTGCCTGATCATAGTCGAGGATTCTTGGCGTGGCGCCAGATTCCGCCCGGTAGCAAGTTCTGCTTGAGAAGTGCGAGCTCCTTGTGCAGAGCCTGGTTCTCCTGCTGGATACCATCGATGTAGGTAAGAGCATTGGTCAAAATCTCAGACTTTTTGAGAGACCCCGCGCCAACCTTGGAATGTTTTTGAACACCCGAGGGGGAGATGGCTTGCTCGAGGGAAACAAACTTGGCGTTCATGTTGGTGCGGTAGCGCTTCTCGATGATGTTATGGGCGGCACGCTTGGCGGCATTCCGCATTTGAGGGTCTTGGCCGCCCGTTGAGGAGCGGGTTGAGTCTCGGGAGAAGCTGCGGGTCTTGCGGGATGTGGAGGCGGTGGGTTTGGAGGGTTGGAGCGTAGCAATCTCTTCTTCCTTCATCTCTGGACTCGATGACCATCTTGTTGAAGATGAGCGAGTCTTGCTCTGTGTTGGAAGTTGGGAAGAGGGGTAGTTTGTAGGTTGGTTTGTCGACTGGGTTTCGAATGTGTTCGAGTCGATGGATTGCCGGGCAACAGCAGACGGCCATGTTTGATCATCACTTTCGAATTCCTTTAGGGAGATTAGCTTTGTATTAAGATGTTGATGGGAGGGGGAGAGTCGTACCGATGAGAGCGAAGCCGCGTCCTCGGGCATGGAGAAGCCACTAATCCCAGAGCTAGCAAATGGGTCACTGAAGAGATCCTTGGACTCGAGATTTGTGAGACTGTCGGCGAAGTCGAATGAGACGGGCTCCATATCGGTGGGGTTGATGGAGAACAGGTCAATGGCGTTGTCATAGCTCCAGTTGGCAGCGAGAGGGTCGGGCCTGTCGAAGTAGTCGGCGGGTCGAGACTGGGGACTCAGGTGTTGGCTGAGGTAGGTCCCCTGGTCGATGGAGAGATTGGGGATCTCATTGGATCGGTTGCAAGCCATGATGCACATCTTGGATCATACGTTGGCCTCGAAGGCAGAGTATTGGGATATATAGTAAGTTGGGGAGAAGTACTATAATGGAAGGGTGGCGAAGGACCAAGGGTTTATAAATAAATCAGAACTGAAGATATCATGGAACAGGATATGGGTTTCGGCTGCAGGCCATTTATATAAATCCAGAGTGTGCCCCGAAAAAAAAACAGGGGTACGAAGGTGATCCGGAACAGACGAATACACTGTACGAATTGACCTGTGATGTCAGGTCTTGAAAAGAGACCCTGCGTATCCAAAATGGTCTAGCCTCCGTCTAGTCCCTCTCTAGTCACTCTCGCTTGCACTGTTGTTCGGTGAAATCAAGCCGAGTTTACCCCCCAAGGTGTTGAACGGCCGGCTCCGACGAATACGTTTTACGATACTCGGTAACGTGTGTGAAACCGTTGAAGTTAAAGTGGAGGGAACCAATGGGCTGGGCCTTCTTCAAGGCTCCCGCCGGCCGAGTCTCGGAGCCGATTTTATGTAATTTGTGTAATTTATACAACGTATGTAATATATGTATTAAATGTACCTCCTTTTCTTGCTTTCCCTTGATTTTGATTCCACATATGAACAGGTTGTAGAATTGAGAACTGACTATAGATATACTAGTAGGTCTACTCGACATGGGTGAAGCCAATCCCATCTTGACGAGTCAACTATTCCTAAAACTTCCACGTGGTATGCTTGTCAATTTATATAACTCATCCTTCATACGAGATTTGAATTTTCTTTTGTCTTGGCCGGATACCTATGTTGTATAACTAGCGGCTATTGGCAGGTATTTTTTTTTTTACGGGAATCATTATTTCGTCATAGACAATCTTCGCTTTGTTCGTTCATCCATAGTGACGGACTAGATGATAATTGATACCAAACTGTCTTTGTAACAGCGGCAATGTCAACAATATCAAAAAGCCGGTATGTATGTTGTATGGACTATTCTATTATGCAGGGGATTTGCATACTCGGATTTGCACCTTGACATTATTCCCGGTAAAAATCATACCCTGTTTCTTCAAGTATCAATGATCCTGATTGCTTGCCTCACCATATATACTTTGACGATCACCTGTCGCCCACCCTGTCAGGCAATCTATTTCCGATGAGATGGATCTCTTGACATATGCGATTAAATTATACGTCATCGGCCTGAAAGTCCTATAAGAGCTAAGAAAATATCGAGATATCACGTCCAATCGCCGACATGAATTGATATGACAGTAATGATGATGAAGATTGACACGTCAAGGCTGGGTAAAATCACCCAATCGAACACGCCACTGTGGCACATCTATAGTAAAGAATGCAATATACCGGCTTGATACTTTTATGATTTTCCTCGGGAAGGTCACGTACACTTGGCAATGCTTTCAAGTTCTGCCCTGCCGCTTATGGTAAAGTGCACGAAGTGTACTCCGTAGGTATCAGTCTAGTACTTTTGTCAGTCTCACTCAAAATCAGCGCCAACTTTTTGTGCCGATTTTACTATGAACATCCAAAACAAACATGTCAGATCCAGATGTATCAAACCAGATTACCTTGGATTGATAGGATTCTAAACAAAGTCTGAGAATTAAACGTGGAGTTACTCCGTAGTGCCGCCGCGACCTCAGGATCGTCCAGTAGCGAAGCAGGTAAATCCCGCTTATTCAAATTTCTCCCCGAGTCGACTCCACTCGTACTGGATCAGTGGGGTGACTCGGATGCTCTCCTTCCCTTTGCCCCTCGCCATACCCTCGAACCCGATGTCCACCGAGTCCATACGAGAAACTCCTGTGAAAAACCTTTCACACGAATTGCAAACGGACTCCGTTTCTCCAGTTTGGCCTCCGGTCAACATTTCCGCATCTATGGCATGAGGGTTCGTCTCCTGATACTCCGCGATGCAATGGAGATCCGAATGTACAGTTTCTTCTTTCGAGATTCTAGGAAGTCTTTGCCGATACAGTTCTTGACGACAGCAATGATATGCATTGTTAGACTTTGTGTGGCTAATGACTAACATCTCAACCCCTTAGCATCTTAGATCTATCACAACCTTAAAAAAAAAATTGCACCACTCTATGCCCGTATCGAGTCATCTATAGAGTCCGGAGTAGACCGAGGCTAATTCAGTACTCTGCAGGTGACCTGTTACCCCTGTGTCGCCGTGTCACTGTTTGTTCCAAGATGAGGAAGATGAGGGTCAGTCCACCCGCGCCTTGACCTAGTGGAGCAATAACGGGCGCTAGACCTGTCATCTGCACAGAATACACGGATCTTGACTCGATTCCGGACCCGAATATCGTTTCTGGATCTTGATTCCCGGCGGCTGGATCTTGATATAGCCAAGATGGCTTTTGACTAAAATAGGGCTGTCGGGATCCGCAGAGTACATAGGAGGATAAAAATTTTGCCGTCTTTGTATCCGTGATACCACACTTCATACTCGTAGAACTGAAGCCAACTTGTCCACGCTTGAAAGTCTGTTTTGTCAAATGTCGTTTCAAGACTAAGATGTATTAAATATACTTTGAAATCGCTGGCTTTGAGCTGAGATTTTGGGATAAATATACCACCGGATGTTTGAAATCTTAACTTCTGGAGCCCGAAATTGGACAACCAAAAACAGTAACCGTGCTTGATTCTCGCTTGATTCTCAACTGCCAAGTAGACCCAGTTGGGCTATGCATAGCCCTATGTTGTAGGCCACGCAACTACTTTACCAGAGCGTTGTTTCTAGTCCGCCCTTTTGATAACTATGACTTTAAATATTCAATTCTTGCTATGACTATGTTTATTGGAAGAAAATCAGACCTTTGGCACTTGGTACACATTGCTAGCAAGTTGATTTGCGTCCGACTAGTGAAAGTTCCTCCCGCTGACACAAAGATTATGCTCGGGTTGAACTCCCAAATCAGAAACACATCATACGGTCGGGCATGTTATCCACTTGCGGGTACCCATCACACGGGATCCACTTTGGAATTTTGATTCACAATACGTATCAGTATACAAGGTGGGGAGTACGGATTACAATGCGTCCTCGTTTCCACTCTATCACAGGTTATATACATCGAAAAGTACGGAGTAAGTCGCTTGCATAAGATATGCTTTTTTTCTACCACCTTCACACATAATCTAAAACACCGGCCAAAACGACATTGAAAAGACAAACCAATAAATACCAGTTAGAAAGACCTACAGAAAGATATCACAAGGCCGCAAATGGCCGACTATTCTTGCCTTTTGTAAACTACCAACCCCATTAGGCAACGTACCGCTCGGCCGAGGGGGAGGATGGGCCGAGGTTGAGGAGATGATTGGTGTGCTCTATGACGCACTTTGTCCGATTGAGGCGTGGCACTAGGATCTGATATATATATAGCAGGAACAAGATTTCCGATCATCTCAGAAAAAGTGAGTTGTCTAGTTCTAAGGGAATAGCGTATTTCTCAATTTGTGGATCAATGGGTGCATATCTAATTAGAGGGGTAATGCAATTATGACTACGGAGTACTCCGTATAAGCACACATAACAATAATATGAGTGGCTGGTGGACTGCAAGAGCTTGCTACTGCCAACGTCTAGGATTCCATTAGCAAGCCCCAGCCCAGCAAGCTCGAATACTTTCATAGAAATGATCGAATATGAACAGTGGTACCCAACCCGAGACAAACCCAATCAGCACGAAGTAGCAGGCAAAACATTCCGATCAGCTGAGGATGTTGATCCCATTATGGCGCACATGCAGTGAGGGGAGAATGGGGAGCGTGTTTGGAATGCAGGATGGAGTCATGCTCGGCTAAATTTGCAGTTAATGCAGACGGTACTTTTGTACTAAGTCTATGTGCAAATTTCGCATATGTAAGTAAATATAAACATGCGTCTCTGTGGCGCATCGCTAGACTGGATGATAGAGTACGTTGTATGCTTTGCACTATCAAAGTTTGTCGAGGGCTCTACAATAATAGTAGGGACCGAGAGAAAGGAGGGAAAATTGCTGCCTGAGGCCATAAGAACAAAGTTGATAACACGATATATTTAGTACGGGTCACGTGGCCAATGTGCCAGGTTAGTTTCCCAAGCGCAGATTGCCTTGCGCAAATATGAAATCCTAAATTAAAAGTCTATCTTCCTTATGATATTCTACTACCATAGTATCTTCGCTTGCCAGAGATACCTACGTGGCGTGCACTGTTGAACTCATAATTAGACTAGAGCACGTGACCTAGGTATTTGGTGCCTTAGGCATAATTTTAGAGCTCTCAGACTAGTTTTTCGACTAGTTAGATATAGGACTAGCCTAAACTGTTTGACTATGTTGTAGCTTATAATCCAGCTATTTGGATTGACTGAATGCCATTGTACTTCTAGGGTGACATCCTCCGTGAATTGCTTTACTTAACTATGCTCCGCAGAAACGCGGTCGCTTTCCGGCAGTCGCCCGTACACAGCGAGTCTTTCAAGAGGAACTGATTTGAAATCTGCCCTTCGTGGCTCGAATACCTTCTGCCTACACAAGTGAGTTTCAGTGTGTGATTTGCCTACCATCTTTCTAGATTGACTTGCAGATGAACGCGTTATTATGTTGTGGTCGATATTCATTGTGATAGACTGTTCGATTTTAGATCGTGACATATCTTTGTCGAGTATGGCTACCTTAGCTGGTGAAATATAGACGCAGTATGATTAGAGTTTGGACTAAGAAAAGGCTCGCCCGTGTAGTCCGACCCGATATACGGAGTAGGTGTCAACGGTTTCCAATGACCTCCGAAGAAAAGGGAATTGCTTAGAGTATACGGAGTAGTGGCTATGTTAACTAATGCTACTTTAAACCTACTTTTATATCAACCCTAATTTGGATCCACAAGTCTCTCCGAGCATTCAGGTCGATACTCTACAACCGTGAGCTAGAGTCGGATTTGATGGACGAACAACAAGCAACAAGCGAAGTCAAAAATAGTCGGTCTGAAAATGGGAAGGTGGGATAACTCATAGGATGGAGATCGACAAAGGTATTGCCCGGGATTTTGTCCACTCAAACCTGAAGATCGACAGGGGCTTGGTGGACTCAGTCTCACCCGTCGGAAAGAAAATATGGATATACCCGGATTTTAACCGATGATGCAGGGCCTGTCGGAGATTTGAGTGACATTCAAGGTCTCTGGATTTGGTAGGTACCCTGTAGGCAAGCCGATTGTTATGATATTATCAAACCTTAAACTCTATAGTCTAAAAGGTTAGCTTCATCAATAGTTCGATCTCTCAACAAACCATCATTTCGATATCTCTCAATTTGTAGAACCCTCTCTTTGGCAGATATGTAGGATCTTGTAGAATATGGGCCAAGTCGCTACCTTGGCAATATCTGTCGACATCGGGAGTAGATCTTTCGCCCCAAGAGGTTGCAAGACATGTTTCAATATTGCGAAATAATCGTCCAATAGAACTGATGGCGTAATTTAAAGTAGCCACTCTATTTAAAAATAGAGTCCTGCCCGATTTTATGACGCCAGAAAGCCGAGGCAGGTCTCGGTTTAAACTCTATGGCTCTTAGATATATAAGAGACCCTGGTTCTTCTCATTAAGTCTATCACCAAATCTACTCTACAACTCACACTCAAAATGAAGTTCTCCCTTGCCACCATCACCGCCTTCGTCGGCGCCATCAGCGCCGCCAACCTTCCCAACGCCTTCACTCTCGTTGCTGAGGGTGGCAAGACCGTCCTGACCGATGGTCAGAACGCCTACATTGGTGCCAACACCACCGACCATGAGATTCTGATCCGTAAGTATCCAGTCGTGCATAATCTTGACCCACCTCCTAACATAAATGCTTTGTTTTTAGTCCGTGGCGGCAGCCCTAACGGCCTCGTCTCATACACCGCCAAGAACGGTGTTCCTACCGCTTTCCAGAACCTCTACATTGTCGAGGACGCTGTCTCGCCCCTTGGTCTGACACTGCCTCACTCGGGCGCTGTCCCCGAGGGCGGCAACATCACTGGATTTAGTGTCAACGACCAGGGTCTATTCACCCATGGCGGCAAGGCTTGGTTCGCCATTGATGGTTACGGCGACAACGAGGTCAAGGAGATCTACTGGTACGGTGCTCACAGCTCTACGTACCGCGGTGAGAAGCTCTACGTTAAGGAGTTGAAGAACTACTCCGCCTAAATCATCGCTCGGGTTTGGCGCTGGGTCAAAGTGACAGAGGGGCTTGATGAGAGTTGCTTGTGCTTTTGGTGAAGCTTTTCACGTTGGTATACGCGTTTTACTACAGGGTTATTCCAGTTAGCAGTACATTGCATATATCACGAGTAGCGAAATTAAAGCAGCTGAAACTTCTCGAAATTTGGTTCTATCTCCGATCAAAACAATCTATTTAGTTCCTTGTATACACGCGTTCGAAGTGGAGCAGCGTGGAAAAGCTCATCTAACTAATGCCTTAATAGTAGTTTCAAAGCTCTCTGGTTCACGCCCTAGGATATCATGGAGAGCCGGAGACACAACTGCAGCTTCACCCCGCCTGATAGCCTCCCAGGCTGTAGCCCACTCTCTCGACAGATTTACCCCCTTGTATGTATGGTTATCTCCAATCTGAGGAAGCTTCACATATTCATCGACAGAGATCTCACGAATCTTGAGCGGTTTCCCAATCGCCCGACCGATAATCTCAACCGACTCGGCAAGAGAGATCTCCCGAGACCCAGAGAACAGAACAGCCTTGTTCAAATACTCGAAGCTGGTCGGGTCATTGACATACGAGGAAATCAATTTAGCAGTTGCCTCGCCCAGCTCATCGCGCTTGACCCATGCCACGCCTGGGCCTGAGCCCGAGTGAGGGATCGCCACCTCGTCCACTGGGTTCTTCGGGTCGAAGAATGCAGTATAGATTGGGAAGGATTCAGTGTAGATTCCCTCGCGAACAATGGTGTAGGACAGCTTGTCCTGCAGGGAAGAGAGGTATTTCTCAGTCTCGATGTGGGCGCCCATCACATGAGCGATGGTCTGGTCGGACAGGTCACCACCGAATCCAAGAGAGGAGTAGAATATGTACTTGACGCCGCGCTTGATGGCTGCATCTATCGCGAGACGGTGTGCCTGGTTATCGATGTTAGACCAAATACTTAGGGGGGATATATCACTTCATTTCCCCTACCTTGACTCTGTGATCTATCTCGAATGATGCATATGAAACCAGCATTAAGACATCTACGCCTTCGAACGCTGTGTCTAATGTCGATGGATCATCATAATCGGCCCTGCGTACCGTAGCGCCGGCTTGCTTGAGGTCGTGCAGTTTCTCGGGGCGTCGGGCACTCAGAATCAGGTCTGATTCTGGAACTAGTTTCGCTAAGTGGTTCACAATGCTTGATCCAAGGGCCCCAGAGGCGGGGAAGACACCGATTTTGACACCCATGTTGGTATAGGACGAGGATGATGAGAAGGTAACTTAGTTGGTAGACTGTAGTTGAGAAGGTTTTCGATGATGCACTTGATTTGGAGATCTTTCGAGCCTTTATGTCCAGCAGTTCATGATAGCATGCTTATAAATTGATATCAGTATTGGGTCTCTGGCAGCAATGACCGAATGCAATGACCCTGTACTTGGTTTCTCTATGAATCCATGAATGTCGATCCGTTGCCTTTCTAACAAAGAGGATTGCTAATACACCACCCCCTTGCGCCATGTTTTCACCGCTACCTGAGAATTCAAGTATGTCCTACCTAACTGGGTGTAGTTGTCCCCCTTAAAAATCATTGCTTGCTCAGCAGATGGGTACGCCAACGTTGGGCGGGGGTCTTGTGACCTCTTTGATTCGTCAACCGTAATTTGAAATTTCAAGAGATGAGATATCTAGTTCTAAACGCCCCCTAATTGACAAACGAACAAAGAAAAAAAATCATAGGCTTTATCATACTCCGAACTCAATGAGGAATAGCTCCGGTTCCAAACAATTCCATCTTGATGCGATCGGCACTCACACCTCTGGCCTTGAGACCCGACTCCACATCGGTCATGAACTTTCCGGGTCCACAAATATAATAATCTGTCTTGACATCATCAAGGAATAAATCCTGATCCTTCAACTTGGTCAAGTCAACGCGCCCAGCATGGTCGTAGTCCACGCCTTCCTTCTCTCCCTCGGAGGGATGACTCGTAAAGAATGTTGTTCGAATGGAGGGGAATTGCTTTGAAAGCTCGGAGATGTGCTCCTTAAAAGCACGCGCCCCCGATGAACGTGCGCCATGGATGAAATGCAGTTTGCGCGTTGTGGGCGATTTGGAAATCAGTGTGTTCAGAATCGACGTCAGTGGCGTTAAGCCCACGCCAGCAGAGATTAACACGATCGGGTTGCCGGTTTCCGAGTCGACAGGGGTAAGGAAAAAGTCGCCGTAGGGGTGAGACACCTTGAGTTTGTCGCCAATGTTGAATGTGTCGTGTAGCACATTCGAGATGTAACCCGGATGGGCGGCAGCACCTGGAGCAGCTGGGCTTAGGCCCAGTTCTCTCTTCACACTGATGCGATAATAGTCCGGCTTCGGCTGGTCGCTGAGAGAGTACTGTCTGGCCTGCGGGTACTTGAGAGCAGGGACGTACGTTTGGATGGAGATGTACTGGCCGGGCTGGAAGGCCGGCAACGGCTTTTCATCCACAGGGGTGAGATAGAAGGATGTGATTTCCTCGGATTCCTTGACTTTGTTCACAATCTTGAAATCTCTCCAGTCAGTCCAACCCTCGGCGTGTTCATAAAGCTGCTTTTCGCGGCCGATCATGATATTGGCGAGCTGCCAGTAGGCTGTGCCCCATGCGTCGTGGATTTCCGGGGTCAATTCTGCGCCGAGCACCTCCCCCATGGCTTCGAGAAGGTACTTGCCAACGATCTTGTAATCATCGGGCTTGATGTATAAAGAAGCATGCTTGTTGCAGATCAACTCAACCGCGGAGCTTAGTGCGCCGAGGTCATCGATATGCGATGCATATGCGTAAAGTGCACCTGCCAACGCTCGAGGCTGATGGCCGTTGACCTGGTTGGCAGTGTTGAACACGGTGTTCAGCTCCGGGTGGGCTTCGAGCATGTTGCGATAGAAGACAGTCGTGATGGTGTTGCCATGTTCCACGAGAACCGGAATCGTCGCCTTGATGAGCGCGATTTGGTCTGGGGTCATTCCCGGATTGGAACTCATGATGGATAGATCTGTTATATTTGGGTGGTTGAGGAACGAAAACGTTTGATGTCTGCACTATTCAATGGCGGGTGCAGGGGTTTAAATATAAACAACCTTGGAACTCGGGAAATGTGAGTAATAAAAAATCAGTTGCATTTGGTTGGTTGTCTAGCTAGTTATCTCCACCATAACCGGGTCGCTAACACACGTAAGACGGGATTTATAAAACTCGGAAGGTGCCTGGCATGATCTATGAGTATTTTCATTGCCGAAGTGAAGACATCTCCGCGGAGAGAGGAATACAACGCACAAAGGGAATAACTCGGTCTGTTTTCGCAAATTGCAACTTGTAACTTGTATCACTACATAAAATTGTGTTGCATGTTTTATATTCCCTAAAATTCGACGTGGAATGTCATTTGAATAAGGTAGGTATCTACAATGTATGATATACTGAGATCTGACCCACCTCCAGTCTCGTCGATCTAGATCCTGATTTTCCGCGAGAACCGGGGTGATGGTTCCGCAAGCGAACAAAAAAAAAGAAAATCGAGCCCTAGGAGATGATGGTAGCTGTTCATAACCTTAGAAAGCTCTGGAGCTATCTCAATTTCCTATTGGACATCTTGGGACTCTGGTCTTCCGTCTCACCGCTTTCCATGTCAAATTGGTAATCAGTCAAAATGCAGATCTTGGAGGATCGTCCCGCCACAGTACGGAGTATGGAGTACATAGCATATTGTTCGTCCAAGATAAGGCCCAAATGCAACCTCCCTAAAATGGAGAACATCTATTTCGATGAGGCTGGTTTTCAATTTTCAATTTTTGGGGTTTCAAATTTTTTTTTCAATACACCACCCGCATACTCCGTACTGAGTCGTGTAATGTCGTTACACGTGGTCAGGCCACACGCGAGAATGTTGTCGGGACCAACGGCCCGGTTTCTGCCGACCAATTAGGTAAACTTAATTGATTACTCACTAGCCCACCTGCCCACCTGGGCAGGTGACCTTAAAAAGTCACGACATGTCGGGATACTTTGCTACTCTGTACTAACTGAGATGAACTACACAGATTAGGAGCCGTTTTAACCGTTTTGACATTGTGAGTTGCTGGATCCAAGATTCATTTTCTCCATTAATTGGGCCGAAGATCCTATCATGGCTCAGTCCTTCGCTACCTACTGAATCAGAAAACCCTAACCCGAGCACTCTAACGTACAGCAATGGTAAAGTCCAAAATTGTCAAACCCTAAAGGCGTTCAGGCAAGGTCTTTTGGATCTAGATCTCGATGTTTGACGCTAGGCCAATCACAGGGTCCTGGAAACACATGGAGAAGATCAATACCTATTTAGACCATTGGACAATCCGGGGAGAATGACGCGTGTGGAGGTCTAGATGACTTTCATAACCGTTTCCGGAAGGGGATGCTCCCCATTCAACGGTTATTGGCTCCACCGGCCAAACCCGAGATCCCAACTTTATTATCTTCATATGGGGAGATAAAGATGGACCTATCCCATAGAACCTGGTAAAAGGGACCACTGCCATAAAATAAGCTCAATTGCAGTTGAGTCAAGTGTTAATCGATCATACATGGACCAGTCACAACACCGTCCGTATTGAGTAGTGACGTCTGCTATGGCAACGGCTCTAAAGTGTAAATAACGATGGATAATAGAAGAGGCTGCAATGTTCTCATTTTGACGAGCCATTAGCCAACTCCGGCTTCCACTAGTTCTTTTCATTCTAGCTTCTCACCCCTTGCGATGCGGTTCAAGAAACGCCACTCGTCTGATACCTCGACGCTCGGGGGGCAGCTGGGTACCAGTACACATGGCCAGCTGCCTATGCTGCGGCTCCCTGACCAGCTGCGGCACAACTTGCTCTGCCTGATTGGCGAGTTTGTGGGGACTTTCCTGTTTCTCTTCTTTTCTTTCGCGGGCACACAGGTGTCCAATACCCCCATGCCGGCACCTGGCTCCCCGCCAAATACTTCTAATTTAATGTATTCGGCGCTGTGTTTTGGGTTCGCTCTGACTGTCAATGTCTGGGCGTTCTTCCGAGTCACGGGTGGTCTCTTCAACCCGGCGGTATGGACATCGCCGCGCAGAAATGGGAATATTAGTAGCTGACATTTACCAGGTTACTCTTGCTCTCTGCCTGAGTGGTGGTATGCCCCCTATCCGGGGGTTGTGTGTATTCCCTGCGCAACTGGTCGCCGGAATTGCTGCCGCGGGCGTGGTGAGTGCTCTGTTCCCGGGCCCGCTGAACTGCGCGACACGACTCGGTGGTGGCGCATCGATTGCACAAGGACTCTTCATTGAGATGTTCTTGACGGCACAGCTTGTGCTTGTCATCATCATGTTGGCGGTGGTGAAGCACAAGTCCACCTATTTAGCTCCAGTAGGAATTGGTCTGGCTTTCTTTGTTGCCGAATTGGTTGGTAAGTGACCATCATAGATCGAATTACTTCACAATGCATTGTCATTTTACTGACCCTTCACACTAGGTGATTACTATACCGGAGGTTCTCTCAATCCTGCTCGTTCCCTCGGACCGGATGTGATTAACCGCTCGTTCCCGGGATACCACTGGATCTATTGGGTCGGTCCTTTGCTCGGATCCCTTCTTGCCTCTGGCTTTTACCATTTCCTTCGTCTTGTGCGCTGGGAGAGGATCAACCCCGGCCAAGATTATAACGAGGAAGAGGTGGCCAGAAAGGAGTCGTTGGTTGGTTCAGAGAATACCATCACCGCCAATGCCGCTCCTCCCCTAGATCCAAGAAGAAATATTCCGTTCGATGAGAATGTTTAACGCTGCTCCATCATCCGAAAGGTTGCTCGATGGAAACCTGGATTTTGCCCAGATGGCCACAACTGGAAGCAACCTTGTGTTCCCTGAATGAATTTCTCTATGTATACAGTGGAGAGATCCACCATGAAATGTGGTTGGTATAGGATCTGAGTCAATATTTTCGATAATAAGGCTAAGAATAGTTCATCAATGTCATAAAATGTCGATTTTGAATTGGAATCATAATAAACAATTACTGGCACTCATGGATCGAATATTGGAGGTGGGGGTTGGAAAATTTAATCAAATTTCAAGTTGACTGGTCTTCACGATGCGCATAGCTCGTGCCACCAATAGGCTGCAATTCAACTGTGATTGTCTCGGAATTGGTGCAGATCAGCCGCCCTCATAGCGCCAACATTCTCAATAGTCGACGGAAAGTGGACACGAATGTCTCACATTGGCACTTTTGCAATTCAAACGCAAGGGCCGAATCACGTTGCATGTCCCGTTTGCTGTAGGAAACCGCGATTATTGGAGACCGCCGCCAGCGGTTGGTCAGCCTTATTTTTTTTTTTTTTGGTGTGAGATGATGAGTTTTATCACCCACATCCCTTGACTTGACTCCTAGTTGATTTGGCATTTCAGTCATCTATCCCCACCATGTTCGTTCGAACAGCTACAACCTGAGTCAAGGCGTTTATGATGGACTCGCAACCTGCCGACCCCGAGGCAGTCGCACCAGTTGCGACCGACGCGAGGGCAGATGTCGGGGACATGCAGCTGTTGGGTACAATAGTGTGTTGCATTGGCGAGGGAGACCGGTTGCTAATACCTTGTCTAGCACGGATGGGCTACAAACAGGAACTTCGTCGGCAGTATTCCACCCCGCAGGTTTTCGCAATCGCATTCAGCATCATGGGCCTAGTGCCTTCAATCGCGTCGACCCTCTCGTTCTCCCTCCCCACGGGTCCGGTCGGCATGGTATGGGTAGGGGTTGAATCCTTGTCAGTCTGGCTGCGCTGTTGGCTGACTAGGATTACGGAATAGGGATGGTTCACGGCAAGCATATTTATCTTGTTGGTTGGGTTGGCAATGGTAGAAATCTTGTTCGGGGTCATCCGTGGAACTATCGCACTGATATTACTTAGGCTGATCTCGCGTCTGCCATGCCGACAGCTGGAGGACTATATTGGTGGACACATTACTTCGCTGGACCGAAGTGGAAGAGCCCATTGAGTTTCTTAATCGGATATAGCAACACTTTGGGCCTGATCGGTGGGATGTGTTCGGTGGACTGTGAGGATAATCCATACCAATTGCCGTCGATCACATCACTTACTCTTGTTGTGAAGATACCCTCGCGCTCATGATCCTCTCCTGCGTCTCGATATCACGGGGAGATGGTTGGACCGCATCGCGCGGCGTCATCTATGCTGTTTACGTCGGCTTAATTATCTTCCACGGGCTATGCGGCTCCTTAGGCGGACGCCTGATGCCGAAAATCCAGACATTTTGCATCTACATCAACATTGCCCTCGTTGTTGCGACTGTAATCGCTTTGCCCATTGGAAAAGTGACAAGAGGCGGGTCCCTCAACTCTGGCCATTATGTCTATGGTCATATCGATAATAAGACTACATGGCCGACCGGATGGGCATTTATGTTGGCATGGCTCGCTCCGATCTGGTCAATTGGCTCATTTGATTCTTGTGTGCACATGAGCGAAGAAGCTATGCATGCATCCAAGGCTGTTCCTCTTGGAATCATCTGGTCGGCGGGCTCTGCATTTGTTCTTGGCTTCTTGGTGCTGTCCGTCATTGCTGCTACTATGAACCCAGATGTCAGTGCAACAATCAGCACCAAGTTTGGTCAGCCAATGGCCCAGATCTACTATGACGCATTAGGTAGAGATGGGGCTTTGGCATTTATGGCTGTACTCTGCATAGTTCAGTTCCTCATCGGTCTCAGCTTGATTGTCGCTGCTTCTCGCCAAGCATGGGCCTTTTCTCGTGACGGCGCACTGCCGTTTTCTAGGTTCTTCCGCCATGTCAGTAAGCGCATTCAGTACCAACCAGTTCGCATGATCTGTGGATTAGTGGTTGTCTCTATTCTGCTGGGCCTGCTGTGCCTGATCAACTCAGCAGCCGCAAACGCCCTATTCTCGCTATTTGTAGCAAGCAACTATCTATCATGGGGCACCCCGATCTTCTGCCGCTTGGTCTGGGGCGAGGAACGGTTCACCCCTGGGGAGTTCTATAGCGGCTCCTTCAGTAGGCCTATTGCCTGGGTGGCCGTTGTATATCTTCTTTTTGGTGTTATCTTGTCTATGTTCCCAACTGAGGGTCCCAGTCCAACTTGTATGTATTTCAATGCTGGAAGGCCGCCCGATCGGATGGCTAACAATTTACTCATAGCGTCAAACATGAACTACACTATCGTAATCAACGGCTTTGTTTGGTTCGGGTGTATGGCTTATTATTTCCTTTTCGCACGGCGATGGTACATTGGACCTCAGATGACTGTTGCCGAGAGTGCTTCTACTGCTTCGGACAATATCGTTGTCGTTCCAGTTCCCCATGCGCTCACTAGCGAGCCACCCAGATCTTTCAATAATAATAAAGAATGATTCTTTGTCTCTTGGTATCTGCCTTCGTTACATATATCCCTTACAATCAGTCTTCCTCCTCCATATCCATTCCACTAGTGGTTAAATCCCATATATTTGTGTGCCTCATAGACACCTCTACCTTTCTCTCAGCTTGCCTTTAATACATATGTATGATCAACTGCTTTCATGCAAACCGATTAGTTCAGACATAATTAAGATTAAAATATGGGTTTCGACGGAGTTTAATAGCATTAATGAGAAAGGAAGTGTATTTTCTACGTCATCTTCAAATCCTGGTGAAATCGTCCCGCCACTGTCTTCATTGTCAGCCTGATATCGTTCTTATTCGGATTCTATTGGTCTTGTTCAGATTACGCGATGTCTAAATGGCGGCAGCCCTCTCCCAGTCACTCAACTGCTCATTATGGGGATTGGGAAAAGAGCTTTGAGAGCGTCATCCAAACCTTGAGCCAGGGAGTCGGACATAGTAGGCCCAGCCAGATGCCCTACGGCAAAGCCGTTTTTCTTGGTCTACGATGGAGCAATGATGACCTGGACCTGGCCAAATCTCAAGCTGCACTTCTAGAGACATTTCGGACACAATGTGGATTCGACACGGATAGTTTGCCTATCCCCTCAACCTCTAGCGAGGAGGCATTGGCAGCGATAGATGATACAATTTTTAAACTCCGTCAGAAATATGAAATGAATAGTCATATTAATTATCCTCGCCATCGATGTAGATTATTTGTGATACACTATCTCGGCCATGGTGTATCTGAAACAGAACGGAAGTTTGAAATCTGGTAAGGGCCCCAATGAAATCTATCCATTGTATCCGTTCAGCGTAACTGATATTTAGTCTTAGTGGAACCCGCAATCCTGATGCTATTAGAATCCAGTGGTCTTCCATCGATATTCGTATGAAGGCAGACGTTCTCGTTCTCGTCGATACCTCCTACTCTGGAAGCTTTCTCCAGTCATGTCACAGCCTACAAAGGATATTGCAGTGCAATGAACGTACCGCTGAGTACCTGTTCTCAACAGGCAACGAGATTTCCGATCAGAACGGCCCCACCTACGATGTTAACAACAATTTCATGACCCGTCTGACACAACTTCTAAACACTGCGTCACTAGCACCGGTTACTGTTGTGCAACTTCATGAAGCTCTCTGTACCCAAGCCAATGACCCAAGTACCAAGCTGCGCTATACTCCTCAATACATGGACTGTCGCAAACCATCAATCACCCTCCAGCATATCAATAATTACGCACGGAGAATAGAAAACCCGACAATCAAGACACAAATACCTACGGGGCGTGTCCATATTTCCATATCTGTTTTGGGGAATATAGATCCCGGCCAAGTCAAACACTGGCAGAAGTCGCTATCAAAAATGGACGCCGATGTGAGTATTGAAGGTGTGTTTGCTCTTCAGGGCTGCTCTCTCTGTCTTCTATCAATGCCCATCTCGTCGTGGGATAGTTTCCTACACCCAGGGTACAGCTTCGTGAGTTATGTATATTCTCACAATCTACTACCATCGGATTCTAGTGCTGACGGCCTCTTCGTAGCCACGCTACCCGAGAGATCGAAGGAGCAAGCGTATGTAGACTATGTAATGCTCTCCGACACGGAGGAGTGATCTGGCCACTTGATATGCCGCTGTTTCACCTCCTCGTTTCGGAGATAGAGGAGTGGGTCATTGTGTCTGTTTATTATCCTTACCATTTGAACCTTGTGTAAAGTTGGATCTGTTATTGGTAGCTTCGTTACTATTGCTTGATGGAATCTCTCTATTCGCTCTTCATTGTCGCTGTTAATGGGACCTTAAGTCATGTTTCTGTTCAATTTATATACCCGAGAAAGGCTACTACAGTGGGACATCTAATGAAGAACTATGTTCAATTGGTTATTGAAATGCTTTAGAACATGCCTATTGGTCGAGGGACTATCAGTACATTGAATGTATTGATATGGTCGGAGTGTTTGACCACAATGGAGGTTGTACAGTCGATGTATATGTACAGTTTGAAAAGAACACCGGTATTGGACCTCTTTTCCCAGATGCGCGGAAGAGTTTAACGAACAAACAGTTAAGGAAAGTCATGAAGAAAAGGCGTAGTGGATATCATGCCTGAAATCAAATACAGAATCAACGGAGCAACGTATCAACACTTTACAGTGCAACCATGAGGCCGAGGACACCGGCCATACCAGCAGCAAAAGCACCGACAGCAGTGGGACGAGCGAAGGCGGCATTGTCAGAGGTGGAGGAAGAGCCGGAAGTACCGGACGGAGACGTGGTGGAGATTGCGCTAGTGATAGTAGTGGACTCGGTAGCGGTGGCGGAGCCGGCAGAGTCGGTAAGAGTAGTCTGAGCAGAAACAGCAGTGGCAATCCGGCTGGTGATTTCAGAACCGATAGAGCGGCCTTCGCTGGCAGCGGCAGAAGCTTCGCTTTCGATGGATGAGATGGCGGCGGCTCCGCCGGTGCTCACGGCTTCGGCGAAAGAGGTGGCCTTGGAGGCGATTTCGGATCCGATAGATTGGCCGCCGCTGACGGCAGTTGAGTAGATACCTTCAATGTCGGAGACGATTGAGTTCACATCAATACCATCTGGGGAGGCCATGGCAGTGGTGGCCAGGAAGAGGGCAGAGGAGATCAGAGTGAACTTCATTTTGATGGATGGAGAGAAAAGAGTCGATTGTGAGGGTATTATAATGCAAGTGATCAGTGATTGAGACTGCCAGTGATTTAGATTGTGAATATTTATTTTTTCGAATTGAAATAATACGCTGGATATCCGGGGGAAAACTAATCCTTATGTATATTTTGGTAAATGGCTCTAGTTTCCTATAGATAGAATCATCGGACTTTGATTGCGCATGGACGCTAGGCAGCCAAAGTGGCTGTGGCTGTGGCGACATGACCTCAGCCTGGTGAAGAGCGGTTTTCATGTCGATCGTAGGGTCCGTTCAGGGATTGAGGGGCTATGTATCGGTACTAGCATGTGTGTGCCGTATTATAGCACGGCATCGGGTGTCCCACCATACGGGTTTGGGCAATGGCATCGTCATATCGGGGTCCACTTCGTAATGAGGGCGCAATTATGGGGCTGTTTCAACGCCTTAGTTGCTTCCTCCGGAAAACATCTGCAAGATTTAGACGTGCATGTCCTCGTATTCGTATGAGCTTGATTCGTCTTGGTCGTGGGCAATGCGACACAGCCCGCAGTTACAAAAAAGTATATTGTTGTGATATTTTGGGTATTTTGTTGCCTTGTAGGCCCCAACAATTCTATTCGCATTGGAGACCACGGCACCATGCTGACACATAATCTCCATCAGTTACGTGAGTGGTAGAAAATGGCACATATGAAAGCGAGTCCGATATAGTGGGTCTTGAATAAACAAGTCTCGGCGCCCGTCATTATAATTGGAACAATAAACCGCCCACTTGCAATTTCCAAGTATAGCAGCCCCTGTGGCATTTGCGGCTGGCCGGGGCTTCCATGACGCGTCATGGCAGGGTTGAGTGCCTTTATTGCAAAGGGGCAGCGAAGAAGCCTAGTGAATCATGACTGGTGGGAGGCTCACTGCGATGCGGGTCGGAATCTATCCACCGTGAGGCCTTAGGCATACATAGGGTCACGTGCTGTAGCAACACGCTAAAAAAAGAAACGAGGAAAATGCCAGAGCAGCAAAATACCCTGGAGGATAGAGCATGCTGAGACAAAAGTATCTTGGTGGCTAATGGTACATGATTGATTATTCATAAACGTTTTTATTAATGATTATCTATGATTTAAATTACTAACAAAATGCATATGTCCAGTGATGATGATGATGCAATAAACAAAACACGCCCAATATCACGCTGTAAACTGCCCATAAACCTGGATGATGGCTTCCCACCCGCCTTTGTGATCTGATTCACGGGGATTGCTCTTCCCATCAAGCACCATCACATCGGTCATGCGCGTGCTGATCGAGTACCAGACCAGATTCTGAGGGTCATTCGTCACCCGCATCATGTTGGTTTGGCATTTCCCGTTGCAAGGCTCATTATACAGACCATTCCAGTACCCGTCAAAGAAGGCCCAGGCAGCTGAGTTGTACAGCGCAATGTTGGATCCGCCGTCGACATTCGTAGCTAGCGCAGTGCGACACTTTTGGTCCTCTGCCGAACACCACGAGAAATCCGGGTCGCCGTATTTGGCAACGGCTGTCCATGGCGCTGGTGCGGCCTGATACTCGCCTTGACCTTGCATATAGGGTGTTTCTGTTTGCAAAAGACCCGCAAAGATATTCTCAGCGTTGTGGAAGCTATAGTTATACAGCCAGTGATGCTCGGAACCAGTTCCTGTGAGCCAGGTGCCCTTGGTGGATTCAACCAAGATTCCGCGGCCAGTTGAAACAATTGTGAGAAGCGACTCGCTATCAAGATTGTGATCGGCTGTCCATCCCCAGAAGTTCTCAATATATGCGGACGAGCTCTTGGTCAGGTGCATTACCATAAACGTAGCCATGCAGTCTTTCGGGTCTTGCGACGTGCAAGCACCCGAGATACTAGTATCAGCGGTGCCGCCCACCATCGCCATCGTGTTCCAAAGACCGACATCGCCGGGCTGATCCCCTGCAGCATTGATTTCAATGATCTTAGCTCCCGGCAGGATCTCGCCGACAGAGAATCGCATGTCCTGGATTTCAATCACACCGACGTCGCCGGGATTGCCAAGTTGAACAACAGCTCTCGGATTGTCGGAATCCTTGAACTTGTCACCATAACCAGAAATGACAGACCATGCTTCTCCGACAATGCGGGTTCCGACTGGGACAAAGATAGTGTCCGAGACTCGATATACACCAAATGGGATATATGTGACCTTGCATGAATTGGCGTTTTCAGCCAAGATAGCGTTCAGACCTTCGGTGTCGTCAGTCTTACCGTCACCTTTCACTGTGTGTCCAGATACGGTTTTCACATTGACAATATCCGCCGTGCTGTAATTTTGATACGTCGGCTGGGCCTTTGTGAAGTATTTGTCGCCCACCAGCAAAGCGGCCGGGCGCTTTGTCTTCCAGCTTGCCCCAGTCTGGTAGGTCTCTGGGGCGACAGTACCCCAGACCCAGGTATCGATATAAGGGGTAGCATCCAATACCACTTTTCCCTGAGCGTCGACCGCGATAGCGTTCGAGGTATCATGCTTGAGGTTCTGAATGAGGAACTGACTATTTCGGTTTCCAGAATCATGGGACGAGTCATAGAATCTGATCACCGGTCCTGTGTTGGTGGAAGTGGAATCCAGAAGCACTAGGCTACCCAATCCATTGCTAGTCATATCGATACCAGTGCCGCAGCTATCAAAGGTTGCCTGTTGGAGCAGCACCGTCCACCCACCTGCTGCGGAGAAAGCTGTTCTGCAAGACTCGAAATAGATGTTCTTGAAGTTGACCTGTTGGTTGGAATTTTTGATCCCGATGGCTCCGCCAATAATATGCTACACGTTGTTAGGCTGCTTTTTCTTCTTCTCCTTGAGCTTCTATGGATTACTTACCACATCCGTAACGGCAATTGTCGACCCGGCGTTGATAGCGATTCCGGTGTGACCAGTGGAGTCTTTTGGCATGCGAATCTTAACATTTGTCAGACCCGATCCTTGGGCAACTCCCCACTGAAGGGCAGTGAACTGGCGATCCGGCTTGAGGGCGGTCGTATCCACGATCACGTTCTTGACAAGCGTCGCAAAGCTAGTTTCAGGGTTACCATTGTATGAATCGTACCCCATGATGAGATAGTCACCACGGAATCCTGGCGCAGCCTTGATGATGGGTGGATTCAACGGATTGCCAACAATTATCGTACCCACGGTTAGGTTGAGAGTGCTTCCAAGCTGGTACAGGCCACCTGGAAGGTAGACTTGGGCAGGGTAACGCGTGACACCTTGGCCCTTGCGACTGCCGCCTACGCCGTCATCGTCTATGGCATTCTGTAGTTTTGGTGTTTGATCACCACTGCCATCATTGACGACCGAGTAATCCATCACATTGCGGTACACCGGGTAGAGTGATGTTTTAGCGTATGGGGCAAATCCTGCGCCTTGTTGGTTGTGATCCTGCTCGTCAAGCCAGTATGTCTCCGGTGACTTGTTGGAAGGAGCAGCACAAGTTTTTGTCGCGTGTGAATGGCCATTTTGAGAAATTAGACTGGATAGGTTAGTTAGAATTCAAGGATCGTATGAAAACATTAAATGAAACATACGACGGACTCGGAGCACTGGCTCTTGTCGATTGAGTGTGGGCTTTTGGGAATGGGATTGAAGTCCGTATGCTTGTTGCTAGCGTGGCCGAGGAACTAGCTAGCTTTGGCGAAGGAGTGGCCATCGAAGCATCGACAGCCTTCGATGAAGATTCAGTGGCTGTGGGGAGAGGATTTAGTGCAGCCGACGAAGTCGTGGTACTTGAGTCTTGCTGAACAATAGCAGTTGGTAGTGTATCGGTAAGGCCTGCCAAGTAAGATGCAAGACCCCAATTAAAGGGGTAGTCATCATTTGACTCTCCTGGAGCACTTATGGATGAAATTCCGTGCGGTGAAGACACACGCACCAAGTGCAGAGGCACAATAGCACCTGATGCTGTAGACACAACAGCTGCCACGGCAGCTAAAGAAGAGACGCCCCACATGTTCAGTCAACCACAAACCACAACCTCAATCTCGAAGTAGATAGAAAGAATGAGATTTGAAAAAGCGGACGAATGGATACTAATAAAGATGATCCCCTTGTCATATGTCAGGTTTTTCGACATACCATGCAGACCAACTTGGAATGTGCATAGAGGTCTCTTTGTATAAAGAATGTGTGTAGACTTTGTTGGTGGACCTTGAAGGGTCTGGCTGAAAGGGCTATTGATGATCGGCGCCCCTTGCAAGACCTGGGATTCGCAACCTTCTGGGCAAACTATCGCGAGCTTATGTCGTTACTATAACTTCCCTTGTAGTGATGAATTGGTTTGGTGGGATTTCAGGCTTACTTTACAATATGCTGCATCATCCTCATTCCATTTTACAGACGTACTGAATCTCCACTAGGTGTCAATTAAGATTGACAACCTCGCATGGCTATGGGCCATAGTGTTAATTCGGAGTTCATCTTGAATTGTGTATCCTTCCATCATCTCTATACGAAAGGATTGGAGGTGCGTTAAATGATATCATCAATTTCCTCACGCCTCTCCATCTGTTCCCTTGTCCTTGGGTGTATCAAAATCACTGGTGAAGTTCTAGGCTATACTTTGATTCCTACCAACTTAGTTCCTAACCAATACGCTTACAATCGGCGTCCACGCGAAATCATCTCTAGAATACATGTTATTTGGCATGTTTCTGGTGCCCTAGATTCGAGGCACGTGGTAATCGGTTGAATATCGGCACAATCAAGGTTTCTCACGACACCCCTTGCGTATGTCCAAGGTCCAAAGGTGTTCATAAAGACTTCCATGCCAACGGTAGCTATGTAGCCTAAAGTATGCCTCCTCGACTACCTAACTTGTGTTGTAGGGGCTTCGTTTATCATTCTATGATTGGGACACGACATGCCGACATTATTTGCCAAGCTTCATCTCCATGGGCATTACCTCGGAAGGTAGATTCTACACATTTAGTTGCAGCTGTAACAATTTACGCTTTGCGACTGTATTCAAGTTGCTTCCATCTCACATAAGTCTTGTTCTCTATTCTTAGCTGAATAAAAAAGTACTATCTAGGTATTTGTATTGCGTCCAGGTTAGGATCTATCAGCTACCGTAGTAGGTATATATTAGAACCTAACATGCAAAAATGATGAAATAATTAGTGAAATTGTAAACCACGACTTCAGATATTACAAGAATTCCTGCAGTGGTAGATCTCTTATTTAGAAACTTGCGCCTCTTCCAAATTGTAACTATGAAAGGAGTTGAAGATTTCTTATCTACAACCCATAGTGCAATCATCGGAGGCAGAGAATTGCGAATGGGCCAAATTGTCCTAATCTGTCTCTTTCAGGCTGCTAATGCATCTTTCTATAGCAAGTATATGATGATATTGAGGTCAATGCTAGGTGGCGAGAAATCTACAAGTCCGAGATTTGCGTGGGATAGTTTTCCGATGAGGCGACACCTGCAAACAATACCTCATGACTGGCGGAAAGGGCTCAGAGTCCCGTTGAGTTTGATTTCTGACATTGTTGACCTGCGCGAAAATTATTTCCTTGCTGATTTCCGACCGTGGTTCATACGCATACCCCAATCACGTCTCCGTGAGCTCATCTAACGATTATGATAGCCCAATTTGGCATGAAAATCCTGAAAGAGATTAGACGAGAAGACCTTGTACGGTTCAAAATTCTTCACCGAAAAGAGTTTTACAATCTGAAAACTCATTTGCTCCCAAACAATCGGAGACTAGATGTTGGCAAAGGAGTGAAAATCACGCGTCGCCTTCATGTCGGAAGCATCCCTCAGCAGCTCCAACGATGAGTCGGACCCAGAAAATACAAGCTCGTCCGAAGTTTGGCAGGATGCACCTCAAACCAGCCCGCAAGATGAGGAGTCATCACCTCACATACGATTTCGATCAAATGCGAGCTTCATGCAGGGGGCTCGGCATGACCCTCCAGCAGTAGGTCTCCGTGAAGAATGGGATCATGCCCACAGCCTAGCGCTGCCCCATCGACCGACAATGCCATACTCCCATGAGTCTGAGGATATTACCGATACGTCACTTCAAGATCGCGAGCCCCAGCCGGGGGAGACAGGCGGCGAGCCAGGCGTTGAAAGGATAGATCAGAACAAGCCACTGGAAGACGAGAAGAAGGGAGACGAGGAAAAGAAAGATGAGAAGAAGGAACCTGAGCCCCCCGAACAGCTATCCACACGGGAGAAATGGCGAGCTGTGACCAAAAATCTCAGACAGAAAGCATCGGAATTCGGTGACCGACTGGGTCGCCCACAGGCCGAGGGAGACGACTTAACATCCGGGAAGTATCACGCGGACTGGGCAACCGGCGGTGCAGTTGCCCTCTCTGACATGACAGACGATAAGCATAAAAGTGTGGAGGCGAAGAAGCAACACCAAAAAGGAACCAGCTCCGAAGCTCATCGTCTGGTGCGAGATTTGACACAGGATCATTCCCAAAAACGCCGCAAAGGTCGAGGAAAGCCTTATCCTCACGCCGGGAACGAGTTTCAAGACGAAGAGAATGAGACAGGAGCAGATGCGAGCTTGAGATATCGCTCTGGGGGCGGCGGGATCCTGTCGCAGTTGATCAAATTACAAGGTGGTCAGCAACAAGGTGCTGGAGGCCAGTCTCGAACATCAACTGACTCGTCCCACAGCGCAGAATCCGCCCCCAGCGGGGCCCCAACACCAACAGGACCAACAGAAAAGAAGGGAAAACAAAAACCAGTGAAATGGTACAAAAAGCCCCAAAATACGTCGACTTCGACCTTGATTGGTGGGGGTGCGGATAATTTCAGTGGTGCAAGCACTCCCGTTTCAAGCGAGATACTGTCACAAGCCTCGAAGCGTCGCGACAAGGAGGGAGGTGGCGGTGCTGCTGCTGCTGGCGGCGGCGGCGGCCGCAATATGCGGCTTGAGGATGAAATTCGAGTGACAGTACACATTGCAGAGATTATCTGTCGGCAGCGGTATATCATGCAGCTCTGCAGAGCATTGATGTTATTCGGTGCTCCCACACACAGACTTGAAGAATACATGCAAATGACCGCAAAGGTGTTGGAGGTTGACAGCCAATTCCTGTATCTGCCAGGCTGCATGCTCATGTCGTTCGATGACCCTTCTACGCGCACGACGGAGGTGAAGCTGGTTCGCGTAGCCCAGGGAATTGATTTGGCTCGCCTATCAGACACGCATCTAATCTACAAGAATGTGATTCATGATGTAATCGGCATCGAAGAAGCAATCCAGGAGCTTGATTCAATCATCAAGAAGAAACCTCTGTATAACAAAATCATCATTGTCTTGGTATATGGGTTGGCCACTGCAACCGTGGGACCTTTCGCTTTCAGTGCCAGGCCTATTGATATGCCGATCATTTTTCTCAATGGGATACTTGTCGGTTTGATGCAACATGTCGCCGCGCCTCGTTCGGTGTTGTATTCAAATGTTTTTGAAGTGACATCGACAGTGGTGACGTCCTTTCTTGCCCGAGCCTTTGGCAGTATCGCCCTTGAAGTTGTGGATGGCAAGCCACAGTACCTCTTTTGCTTTTCCGCCATCGCGCAATCATCGATTGCATTGATATTGCCGGGATTCCTTGTTCTTTGTAGTAGCTTGGAACTTCAGTCCCATCAGATCATCGCTGGCTCGATTCGGATGGTCTACGCTCTCCTCTTCTCATTGTTCATTGGATACGGAATTACCGTCGGTACAACCATCTACGGGCTAATAGACAACAATGCGGTATCCGACACCTCCTGTCCAGCGAAGGGTGCTTTTAAAAGTCCATATGTTCAACGGTTTCCGTTTGTTGCGATCATGACAGTCTGGCTTTTGATTATAAACCAAGGGAAATGGAAACAGTTCCCACCCATGAGCATCATCGCATTGTCGGGCTACATTAGCAACTACTTCAGCACGAAGAAATTGGGATCCAACTCCCAGGTCGCGAATACAGTCGGCGCATTTGTCATTGGCATCATGGGAAATATGTACAGTCGATTCTGGCATGGCCACGCTGCAACCGCTATTCTGCCTGGCATTTTTATTTTGGTTCCATCTGGACTTGCTGCAACGGGATCTCTCATCTCGGGTGTACAGTCCGCAGATGAAATTCGCCAAAATGTTGGGTCTCATGGTTCCGCTAGTTCAGCACCTGGCGCTGGCTTGCAGTCTGGTAATTCTATATTCAGTCTGGGGTTTGGTATGATCCAAGTGGCTATTGGTATTACGATTGGTTTGTTCATTTCAGCACTAGTAGTCTATCCATACGGCAAGGCTCGTAGCGGACTGTTTAGTTTCTAGGCTGTTCGTTGCTATGGCGTTGGACATTGGGATTTGGTCTGATATAGATATTAGGATAATATGTACAACAAAAAGAAGAAATAAAGAACATACATATTCACAACATCAGGTGGCATGTAGCATATGTCGATGTGAATAGGCTTGCCTATTTAGGGAAAGTAGCTTTATGCTTTAGGAAACTTCAAATGTCCCATGGATTGGTTTTATTTGAAAGGACGAACCCCTACATGTAACCCCATATTCATCCAAACCAGAGTAATTCTCACACTTCCAACTGTCCTAATTCGGAAACTCCATCACGTTTTCTACAATGCTATTCTTTTCACTCAAGAGAGGATTCAGAAAGGGGAGCAAGTTCTTCAAAACCCCCAGCAACATTAGCAGGTTCACAGTTCGGTCGCTCTTTTGGACTCCCCTCGTTCTGGGTAATATATGGACTGCGAAAGTCATAGACCAGGAAGGCAATACCGACATTCTCATTCGACGAGAGTAAACCTGACACAATAATTTTGCGGAAACACTGCGTCTATTCTGATGGTTGGGTATCTCCTATGCTCAAGTGATATGTCATTTGTCCCATGTTCCACGTTGTCTTTCTTCTGATTGATATGGTGAATGACCGCTACTTGTTTTAGTTCTCTATTTTCTGATCATCCGAGGAGTTAGAGAATGTATTTTCTTTGAATTATGATTTCTCATCTAGACTATTATTTCGTATACTTTAGTCATATTGGCACTATAGCCTTCCCCTGACTGGCCGAACGCTGTCAGCAGTTTGTGTGGGCTTGCTTTCGATAAGAGATCCCCGAAATAATTTAAGCAGCCTTCAGCCGCTATAACAGTCATGGCTTGATATAATGACGGGACGACCTCGCTCTATTTCCTCTTGTGTTGTTGAAATGGTGTCCCAAGACGGTAGACCAACGTCAATGGCTTGTGACCTCTTTAAGCTCGATGATTATTATCGCGTGACGGCCATATTAAGACACCAGTACGAGAACCAAGAAACACAAGCAAGATGGTGGGCAGGATCAAGTGGAAGCTTTCACTATCTTGCACAGCCAGCGCGTAGAAACCGAGTAATTTTGTTGCAAGAATACCTATATGAGTCTTTATCGATGAAGGAAATTGCAAGCAGTAAGACTAAGGAGAAAACTGACGGATTAAAGAGAAGAGACTATGTGGGGGACGGGTCCGGCGAAAGAAAGAGAGAAGTCCGTAAAGGAGAAGAGAGGGCTTATACCTACCTGGGGGCTTCAAGACAATATAGCGCCGTTCCCCGTCATCCTTTCGAGACCTTCGCGTCTGATATCTGGGATAGTTTTGCACAATGGAAAATCGTCGCGGCAAACATGATACGAATAGGAAGGTTATCACACTCAATCTCCAATATATTAAGAACAAAAATACCTACTGTATGCTAAAGACTCAAGTCTAGCATTTCTAGGGTAATGGTGAAAGGAATCCGCAATGCAATGCAAATATGCAACAAAATGAAGACTAACCGGCGACCAGCCGCCGGCCACTTGCTTCAACCTCATGAGCCCCCGGGAAAGTCATGAGATGGTAATAACATTGAACCTCGCATATATTAAGTGTGCTCTATCGCGCTATCTTGCGTGGCTGTTGTGGCTTTTTTGTGATCCTGATAGACGGCGTGACCGACAAGTTCGAGCAGGTGGCGTTCACGATATGTGAAAATGCGGACACCAGTTGTTCGTAGGAATTGCTTTGCGTGCTCTAGGATGAGATCTAGGTGTCTTGGGGGAAGGTGAGCGAGGGCGTCGAGAGAGATGGTGATTTGGTCAGGAGATGTGTTTGAAGATGGGAATGCGGCAAGAAGATGGCAGGTGGTTTTGTTCCGGGCGAGGGATTCGCAGTATGTTTCGAACATGTTTTCACGAACAATGAACCGAAGAATTGAGTCCACGGAGTTGGGTTGGACAATGGCCTGCGGTAGGGAATGTTCAAGATCGGCGAGAGCGTGTTGCATTGCAATCACGTATTGCAGGTCTTCAATGAGCTCAGTCACCTGTATTTCCGCTGGTGATGTAGTCCCAAGGAGTGGACGATCATAACCCAGCTTTTTCCGCCAGAAATAGTTGCATAGTATTAGTGAAATGATACATGGAATCAGGACAACGTATCCCCACCAGCGCTCCGCAGTAACCATCGAAGCGGCACCCGCCACAAGACCATTTAGCCCATTGATACCAGCATGCCATTGAAAGCGACGGAACCGAGTATGTAGACGGCAACGGATATCATCGCTGGGCTCGTGGGCCAAGACAGCAGTGTCGTGCACATGGAATCGACGAAAGAGATAGCCAGACCAGATGGCATTGACAAGGCCAAACACTGCGGCGAGACCATTACCAATATAACCAGAAAGTAGATTACTGGCTTTGAAGACGTGGGGGTTGGCGCCGCCAATGGCCATCAAAGTGCCAACGCCAACCAACAAGGAGCCGAGTCCCATCAACACATCCATCGCGATCCGGTCAATCACTTCGGTGCCAATTTCACGCAGTCCCACGCCCAGCCGGCTGTCAATGAGCCGGGAGAGTTCTACATTCTTGCCATGGTACTGCCGAAGACGCTGGAGATGATCCCGCTCCGCCCGTAGCAGCTTGACGTTTGTCCAGCTCAGCCGAAGATCATGAATAGCAACCAGCACCATTCCCAAGGCAAGTGTACCCCCAATTCCCATGAGCACAGCGGCAAACTTCGGAACAGGGATCTGGTTCCAGACATTGGCAGCGAAGTCAGCGGCGTTAGCTAGCTCGAGGTACCCGACACTGGCGAGCAAGCTATTTTTGAATTGCTGCTGGTGCAGTAGGCGGAAGCGACCGCCTCGCCGGACTAGCAAAACCTGGCCTTTTTTCGATTCCAAAGATTCCTGCCATGTGATGTCACTGGCTTCACGGAGGAGTTTGGGGACCACGGGCGGTGGAGACTCGGCGGGCGGTAGTAAGTCCATCTCCATGGCCACCGTCGTGGGCTTGGGGGTCGACTGTGAGATGTGGACAGGAGATGGAGGAGGGATTAAAGTGTCGGAGGAGTTGGTAGGGGTCATCATAGTAAAAGTCGTATGCAGGTGACCGTAGGAAGGAGAAATTCACACTGGGCTATCCATGCCGATGCTCTGTACAACCAGGTTCAGAGGGTTGGATGGTGATTAAATTGAAAGCAAGGGGGCGGGAGGAAAGGCAGGGTAGAAGACAAAGAGACAAAGAGACAAAGAGACAAAGAGGTAAAGAGGAGATGAGTAGAAGAGAAGAGAAAAAGACACGCAAGCAGGTAAAACCAGGGAATCCCGGGGTCTTCAAAGTTCACGGGTGGGTCGAGACACCCGCCTTGGCGTAGCCAGCCCTATAGGGCTGACAATATGCTTTGGTTCACAGGGTTACAGGGGGACCAATGTCCATGTACGGCCACAAATATTGCACTAGTTGTGAAATAAATTGATTAGTGGAAATGAGTGTCCACTAGTATGATCCTTCGACTATCAATGCCTACATATGTACATTTGCTACAGTAGGTACTACAGCCAACCCAACAATTTGGCGAACTATACATAGAAAAATCCAGGCAGCAATGTAATAGAAAACTGAAAATACGGTCTAAAAATACATAGAGCTGAGAATATCTATGCCTCTTTAGAAGATTTATCCCCATCCCCTGCTTTAGGTGTGCTTAATGCGCGAATTAGCTTGACGCCTGCGTCTGCCATGTCCCCTGAATACGCGCCCCAAAATTGGGCCTCACGGTCGGATCCACGAAGCACATCATTCCCCGGCTCCTCTTTAGTTGGGGATGGAGTGCCGTCGGTTGATGGGCCTTCTTCGTTCGAGCCGTATACATTAACTCGTTCGTTGAACCGCACCCGGTGACGGAGCCGACCGTTCGGCGAGCCCTGGGAACCAGAACTGGAGGAGGAGTTTCTCGCCAGACTAGCAGCAAGATAGTCCTTGCGTACTGCATACCTACCAGCTTCTTCTCTTCGGATCGTGTCCGAAAAGATCTTTTCAAGGGCTGTAGAGGCAGTGAATCGCATCCCCAGGTAGACCTGCTCGGCAACGAACAACGTCAACAGAAGCGAGGAGAGCCGTACCTCGGAAATAGGACCCCGGTAGACATGCACAATGGCTGCTGTAGATAGGGTCCCCAACCATGCTAACAAATCCAGCCCTAGTAGACATGGACCGATCGAGTCCGACCGGATTGGTGGTGGTCGTTGGCACTCTAGCGTGAGCTTGAAGAAGTCACCGCGTAGCTCCAGCCAGTTGTTCAGTAGAAAACCGAGCGGTACCAGTGGCCAGGCAACTCCAAACAATGCGAGATAGCCAAACTGTACACACATCTCCATGATGTCCTCCTCCACATGGTACTCCTCTGCACCGGCCTCGCTGCGCAGTCTTGTCATAAATGCCACTTCGTCTGGCGAGTCAACCAAGAATTGACCGGTGGCTATGGAATGCTTCCGCCTGTGGCTGTATTCCGCCTTGCGATCCCGATAGTTTTGCCACTTCTGCTTCAGGACATGCTTCACATATGGAAGGACTACTTCCTCACCGAAGCTAAGTACCTGAGCCGTCATAGACAGATAGATCACCTCCTGCTGAAATCGGCTTGTATCAACCTCGAATTCCTTTTGCCCGCTTACCAAGTCGGCCCTGATCCCCGTTCTTCGGAGGATGTCAAGGTGTGGGACGATTTGTTTGCCGAAGGGAACATAGACATAGGCGGTCAATATTGTCGGGAGGAAAGAGGTGATGAAATTCATGACGAAATTCTTCTGTGTCTGGGCAAGATCGTATTGATCCTGCGTTCGGTAGTTCTCATAGTCGGTCAAGCGGGTTGCGACGCTTGTGAGAAACGAGGTTATGGCGGGCAAGGATAGCGAAAACAGGACAGTCGGTACGGATTCCAGGTACTCCTTGAATGGACCATCGTATACCTCAGATATGAAAACCTCCGATGCGAAGGAGGCAACAATCAATGCCCCGAGGGCCACGCTCGCAACAGAAGCAAAAGGAACCAAAAGCAGCTGACGTGTGAACTGCTTCCAACCTGGGAAGACATAATTCACTTGACCACTGATTGGGTCCGTGACCTCTTTCTCCCACACATATTGCTTGCGATTCACCTTCAGTTGTCCAACACCTTTGACACCCCATCTCTGACTTAAATCGGCCTCTCGTACCTTCCAGTACTCAACGAATACAATGCACCAGGCACAAAGTACGATTCCATATATGATAGAATATGGACCTAGATATAGCCACCCAAAAATGCCCAATCCTGCGGGCACCACGAGGAATAGCGAATAGCAATGAATAAAAGCGTAGTAAAAAGCGACCTGTACATGGTTAGCTGTCTGTCACAATATTACAATAGAGCCGACTCAAGATCGACCGAGCTGGAACAATACCTTTTCGCCAAATAAGGCTCGAATCGCATCCAGGTCGCTGGTGGTCAACACGGTTTTTCGATTCCATTGACGTAGCATTTCCGCACAGGCCTCTTGATCATGCAACGGAAACGAGGCAGTGATGTTCTTCCATTTTCCAAAACCTGGCGTGATGCCTGCGCCTCCTAACTTTTTTTGCCAAGTGACGGCGTGGTATACCGATCGGATCTCTTCGGACGGGGTATCGGCGTCGGCGATAGCTGTTTCGTCGCCATCCGGTAAGGTATGCGTAATTCCAAACAACCAATCTTTAATTCTGCGATGTGTTAATGACTGTTTTTAAAATAAAAAAAATCATCCGACATTTCAAATCGCACTTACCTTGACTGGTGTACTAAATTCCCAAGATGATCCCGCGGAACCCGAATACAGACTAATAGCGCTTCACCGTGGCCGTGACGAACCTGAACCCGAAGACCAGCCTCGCCCAGATCATGGATAAGCGTTTGAAACTCTGTAATAGCTTGAGCTTGATCTGATGATCGTCAGTATATGCAGAAGGCCAAAGGACATTCCATGCAAGCACGTCATTTACCGATGTCTCCAAAGTCATATTGTAGTACCCAATCCACGCCCAGGTTGTCGTGATCATCTTCATCACGATTGCCATACCCTGCGAGCCAAGACATGTTGGGAGGCTAGGTGTGGCCTTTGGAGAAGAGCGCGCAGTCTGGATAGGTAACAGGTGTGGTTAAAGTGTTTAAACAGGTTACATCGGCAAAAGTTGAAAGGGAAAATGTGGGGGAAGATTCCAAGGTTGTCACTATTATTACATTACCTAGCACTACTCCGTACTCTATTAGTATTTATTAATTGTTCTATTTCTTTCTACTCTGGTTCCACTCTTGACAGGGGTGGGGGGGGGGGGAAAACAGGGCACACGGTATGCATCATCTTTACCCGTGGAGAGAACTGCTGATCACAGCTCTACCTTTTTAACACCTGAAACCTCCCCTATACGATTAGGATATACATTGTACTCCGCACAGTCAAAATTATGTGAAATAAACAATTGTATTCCCCAATTCTGATCTGATCCCTACAGTTATGCTTCAGGGAACGCAAGTCAGCCCCGCAAGCCAAGCTTCAGCCCTATGAGGGAGATTTTATTGCTTACTACCCAATGATATGCAGCAGGTTCCGATCGCCATTTCTCTGCCGTGCACCCCCTCACATTCTTGTCAAGAAAATTGCGTATACCTTGCAAAATTAAACGAGGAAATACTCGAATGAGCTGGTTAAGCGCCTGCACTGTGCCAGCTGACCCGAAGGGGTGTTCCTAGAAAGGATTATTGCACAAGGCTGGATCCACTACGGGCGCGTGTAGCTGTCGGATTGGTGGGAACTGGTGCTAGGGCTGAACACAGGGGCAAGAGCTTCGGGATAATTGAATCGGTGAAAGGGCCATATTCCCTATAACGTAGATCATAGATCATAGATGATCCAAGCCAAATTGCTATAATTGATCTATAGTATGGAGTGTGGAGTGTACTTAATCCAAAGGATTCGATGTAATTTCGTTAGAGAGAAATTGTTGAGGATAAATGCTGTTGCCTACAACAGCATAACTTTACGCCAAGCCCCCGGCACAATTCCGTGATTTTCGATTTTAAGGAAACCCACATTGGATTATCTTGCTATTTGCGAAAGTTTCCAATCTGAATAATATTGCCAAGGTTGAAAAAGAAAAAAAAGAAAAAACTTGACAGGCATCAACATTCAGCAAGCACGGACACAGTACACAGCTTTTGCTAAAAACGGTACCATGAGCCACAATGTTCGGTGGCACATCCGGCGCTTCCAGCGTAGCTATAAGTATATGGGGTAACATACCGGGGCGTAATGAGATCATTTACTCAAAACTTTCTTCTTGTTTCCTGAATTGACTGAATCAATTATCTACGTCCCTGGCGGCTTGGCTACCGTACAACATATGTACCCAGTCCTCGAGATCATGGCCCGTCGATTTGCTCGTGGGCAGAACTTCACTCTCGGATTGAGTATCTTCCTCTTCATTTTCATGTTTCTACCTACATTTGTGGTCCTACTAGCGGTCGTCGTATTCTTTGGGCTCGTGTATCCCCGATTGCGGAAGTCGTACAGTCTTGACTGTGAAAAGGAGATGGAATCTCGATCGGAGACCAAAGATTGAATGATGATCGGAGCATGGTATGACCATATTCAATGTGCTCGGTTACGTTCAATCACTAACTTGTCTTAAGATGCCATCTGGGTGTATAATCAAGCCCCGCTACCGAGTCCACGAAAATGCATTGACGCTTCTTTTTTGTTTGAGATTGATGACGCTGTGTAACGACTACGCACAGCATTTCGGAAGGCGTTCTGGGTCATATATTGATTACAGTAAAATAATTATGGACTTTTGATGTTACTTTATTTTACAGGGTTTCGAGAACTAGGTATATGTATGATCCATGATCATAGGATCTACAATGTATAAAATGTACACTTCATCCACTCCATTCCACCTTAAGTTGAAACATCGTACTCCGTATTTCCCTGGTTATACATAGAAAACTCGCTTGCACAAAGTATGTTTTTTTTTTAATTGCCTTCACATACACCTAAAAGGATATCTTAAAACA